TGGCATCACAAGAAAATGGGAAATATAACCAACCCATATCTTCATGTATTTTGTTTTCATCAGTCTCAGCTGAAGCCACTTTCACTTCCTTGAAATCGTAATCTCCTTTGTTGTTTCTTTCAGCAGTGACCTCCATGTGAAATCGTAATGGAGAGTGAGCACTTCTACACATGTAATCTGCAAGTCTGCATAGCACCTTGTTTGGACTCACACTCACCCAAAAAATGCTTGTTCTAGAGTAATCCTCAAGTACAGTGTATATGAAAGCGCACTCTTCTGGAAACTCTGTACTTGACCATTCATATCGCTCAATCTTGAGGTGTACGCTCGATGTGATTCCCATATGTTTGTAGTCACTGCTATACAATATTGGATGCATATGAATCATGATCATACATATATATATATATATGATGAAGGGAAGAGGGGAAGGAGTTTAATATAGCTGCCCTGATAGTGCATGGTTATTATATAAAGCTTAAGTTTTAAGCAAATGTACACATTAATATTCGATATTATAATATTACCATGTATTTCCCGTTGTGCAACACTTCTTTTACTTTAAATGCAGTGTTAAGAATTAAATTTTAGACCACTTGATCATGAAGGTTTAACATTATCTTATTAATTAATTATCTTGAAAAGTTTAAGTTATTTGGTAAATATTAGAGTTGTCAAATTGTGTTTGGCCAGTTGAGTTATCAAAAATTAAATTCACAAGTACTGTGGGTCAGTTACCATGATTTCAACTCCGCAAGTTATACTGAATTAATCTGTAATTAGTCGGCTGATTTATTTTTTAAAAAAAAAAATTTATATTATTATTTGTTTTGTCTACTATTGTGCCACTTATTATCATTTGATAAATATCGTAGATGAAATTGACAGGAGTGCGCTATGTATCTTAACTATTTAATTAACTTTCAAAATTTAATTGAAAAAAAGAATGAATATATTTGAAAAATTAATAATTGTTTCTACATTTAATATTATTAAAGTATTTTATTTGTTAAAAATAATATTTTAGATATATTTATTCTGCTTTGTTCATCGTATTTTTAAATTTTAAGAGTCAAAAACTAAATCCAATCATAAAGCACATTTAATTAATCTTTTTATAAGAAATTTATAAATGATAATTTTCTTTAATACTTGTCTTGAGCTTGTTGTTTAATATACAACTCTTTTTTCTTTTTTAATAAATATTTTAAATAAAAAATAGAATTAAAAAAGTATGATTTTACACTCACAAAATTATTGATTAAAGGGACTTAATATAACGTCAATGATTAATTTTTTGTTAGTTTCTCATCTTTTTGAACTGCAAAATTATTTATCAAAATTTTCTGATTAAGTAATTATAATATTTGTAATAATGTTGATCTAAGATAAAATTCAAGTAATTAGTTTTTTAAAAAACTTCTTTAAACAACAGCAACTCTCATAAGATTTGTCAACAATAATATAATCTTTTGACATAGATTAATAATTTTACTAGAGTATTATTTTTTTCTGTTAGCTTTTCTCAGAATGTCTTGAATAAATCTGATAATAAATCAAGCATTAATATCAAAATGTATAATAAAAATTATTTTCAAAATTAATATAATAGTTTTGCAATTCACTGTTATCAAAAGTTTTAAATTTTGGATTCAAATAAAACTTAAAAACCGTTCTGCATTGTTAAATTTGTCAATATGAAAATGAACTATCACAGAAGACGTAAATTATCTGATAAAAAATTATTATAATTTAACGTATGATCCCAAACTTGAAATAAAATATAACTGTATTAAATATTTAAAAGTAAACATTTGCTACAATCTACTGTGATCATAGTTACAAATATAAATTTGTATATTTGACATTTATTTTAGAAATAAGTTGTTCATGTTAATTTTTAAAAAAATTATATTTTTAAAGTAATGTATTATTATAACTATAAATTTTAACAAAAAATAATACAAATTATTCTAATAAAATGAAATAAATATTTATATACATAAATTATTCAATAGAATAAATCACATAGCATTTGAATTTTAAAATTTTATTTTTAATAATGTTAAATTTGAGATAAAATATATGTTATTTAACTTAAATAGTTTAATAAATTAAAATTAAGAAAAATTATATTCTTACAATTCTTTTAACAAAATAAAGATATTTAATCGTAATTTCTACTCACTATTTAGTCATTTGATTTTAAAAAATTATTGGTGATAATTTTCTATTCATTTTATTTTGGTATTAGTAATATCAATATTTTTCATTAATATTAATAAAAATTAATATCTAATTTATCATTTATGTACAATACAAATAATGGAATAAATATATAGTTAATTACTTTCTTATAACTCTTAATAATTATTTATCAAGATCTTTTAAAATTTTAAAAGTAACAAGTCTATTTTATTGTCATTGATATTACAATTATCGTAATCATTAGTAGGATACAATTTGACAGGCAAAGAAGCAAATAATATTTAGAATGTTGTATCTCTTTCCACAAATAAACACAACATAGGATAAATAGGTGGATAGAATAAGTATAAATTTGATAATACTTTTGACAAATACAAAGCTCATTTCGTGGCTAAAGGCTTCACCTGAGACAAGCCCCTCAATTATATGAAGAGAGGTTTCACCCTAACTTTAACTTGACAATCAAATGTGTAAAACCCCAAACAAATAAAGGTAAGTTAATGTACAAAGTGGAAGCAATCTATCTAGGGTGTTGCATGAAACTTGCATTGGTTGAATACAGAAGCATTACCATTACCTTGAATCCGTGCACCTATATTGTTAATGAGTCCCCGTGCTAACGATGCATAAGATTTGGTGCCACTATTCTCTTTGGGTCCTTTGAAAAGGGTATATTCTTTTCCCATAAACTCTTCCTCAACCTCTTCAATATAACCACTTGGTGGCTCACCCTTTACCTCACCATCAATCTCAAAGTCTGAAATCACAATATTTTTGCTGTATTTCATAGGGCCATTAAATTCAACGCGAAGTCCTATCTCTTTATCACAACGAATGCTAACATGACATTTAATTTCAGTTCTCCAAGTAATGTAAAGGAAATGATTAACCTCCCAAATCCTCTTATTCAAATTTCCACGAGCAATGCTTAGATCTCTGTGTCACAATACAACTACAAGGTACACCCCAAAAATGATATTGCTTTTTCTCTTCCATTGTTCTTTCACGATCCATGTTAGCTACAGCAACTTCCACTTTCCCAAAAGTGTATTCTCCATTGCACCCTCTTTCAGCAGTGACCTCCGTATGGAACCTTTCTCTTTCTTTTCTGCTGGAAAGCGTGTATGGGATACATGCATGTCTACATAGCACCTTGTTTGGACTCACGCTCACCCGAAAAATGCTTGCTTGAGAGTCATACTCAAGTCGTGAAGTGTATATGACAACGTACTCTTGTGAAAATTCTACACTTGACCATTTGTAAACCTCTACCTTGAGCTTTGTGTTGAGTAGACCGCACATTATTAAGATATCTCTTGTATTTGCATGCTAACGAGAGGGCAATTGGAGCTTAATATAGCCAACTTGTTAATTGCTTGTAAGACAATGCTCTTGGCATCGAACAATGATTATTCTAAAGTAAAATAGGTGGTAAGCATGACTCAGCTTGTCTACGTCTAGATAGAGAAAGAAATATGATCGATGATATGATAAATGTGATACATGATGTATTATAATAAGGAAAAAGAAATAAAGTAATTAGAGATATTAAATATATGCTAGGATTGTTTAGATGCTTACAAAATAAATTAAACGTTATATTCCAAAAGCTTTGTATTGTCTTTGGAATTTTCTCCTTGTTGACTTTATATTATCGTACAATCTTTTTAATTTATATAAAAATATAATACCGTGGATTCTTTTTATATTAGAGTGACGTTTAATTACCATATATTTTTAGGGTCTCAAAAAGAATAGAGATAAAAAACAAATAGTAACTAAATAAACAAATTATTGTATAAATATATAAAGCAATTATTATTTGTATTCATATATACAAACTTCTCTTAATTTACCGTGAACTATTTGAGTTGAAAGGAAGTAAAATAGTATTTAAAATTGAGAACTTAAACATTTTTATTAGAAAAACAGAGTCAACAATGATCAAATTATTATCACTTAGCTTTAAAGACTATGATATCATATTATAAATTATTAAGCAAAATTATATAAATAATTTTATATCATTTTACAAATCTAACTATTTTAAAACCTTAAATCATTTTAAAAAAGACACATGATAAACTTATTTTATATTTTTAATTATTAGATCGTTTGAGATTGATATTCCGTAAGGGAAATGCTTGTTGCTTAATATATATCGATACACATTTGTTTCTAATAGCAGAATTATATATACACGTGTATATGTGATAAAAGATGGATTAATTAGAATGAAATTGTGTGTGATAGGAATTGATTTGTGACATCATTTTGTTCACATATCTTTTTAAGAGTGATGTTTCACTTCAAGAATAACTTTAGGCAATATGTCACGATAATGGAAAGAAAAGTTGTAGATGAGGAATCAAACAGTGTGTTTAACTAAAAGAATAATATTTTTGTAAAAGTAAATTAAAGAATAAGAGTGAATGTATGTGTTGTTAGAGGTAAAAATAAGTCAAGTTAGATTTTATAAAACTTAAACTTGACTTAGACTGTTGACTTTAAGGCTAAGCTTAAACTATTTATTTGATATAGGTAATTTTTACATAATAAATTTATAATATTTATTAATAAAATGATGTCATAATATTAAAAGAAAAACTAAAGCACCACTGCACTCCTCTGTTTCATAGCATCACCTTTTTAAATTTGTAATTTAAATTATATGTAAATGAACTCGTAAGTTTGGGAATCCAATAGTTATTGTTCACGCCATTTCATTTTCCATGTAGATCCAATACCTATACAAGAAATTAAGTAGTATAATAAAGATGCAAACATAATTGCTAGTTACAAAGTTAAATTAGCACCCAAAAACCATGCACATATATCATCACATATAGTTGTTTCTGAAGTATGTGCATTTAAAAGTCAGCTAAAATAACAAAACACCCCATCGATTAGCACATAAAAAATAATAAAAGAAATGAAATTTAAAACATTAATTTTCATTTCAAATATCCTTATCTTACTCACATACCTAAGCTAAGCTACATAACAGATTTAGTATGTGGATAAAATTTTCAGCACTTGTGGTGACTTATTGACAAATAATAAACAACAATAAAGTAAGTCAATTACATGAAATTATTAGCTCCAAATCCAAATTTAAATTTTCAGAAATATTATCATGAGATGTCTTTTAATGATGTTCTGACAAATGGTAAACAAAGAAACTAAAAGCATTAAGAGCAAACATTTTTATTAACTAAAGGCAGTAAAGAGAACACATGCACTTAGAGCCCATGTTGTTGATGTAACTGCAACAGACCATGGCAATCTTCCCTTATCTTTCCTTAGGAAAAGGCCTTGGTACACAGGTATATTGAGGAGAACCAAAACCCCACTTAGTAAAACTTGCATTGCCATTGTCTCAAAAATTCTAAGACCCCCTATGAGTACTTGCTTTAGTAACACACCAAGAAGACAAAACAAGTTTAGCAATGCAAGTGTTGCAAGTAAAGTGAGCATTGGGGAGGAGTTTCCAAACTCCATAATTTCTTTTTCATATCGTTGGGAAACGTTTTCTTCAGCTACTTTGGCAGATATTGCAAAGGCTGAATTTGAGAACCCAAAAGACTTGATGATGGTGTCAACAAAAGCAAAGAGGTAAGAGCTTGTTCTCTTATAAAGCCATATTCTCAACTCATTCCACCAACCCAGAATTGTGCCTCCTGACCACAAAAACTCTAACAAGCAGTAAAAAGAGTCACCAAGCATGACATATGCAAAGGGTATGAACCATGGACTTGACATCTGATCAATCCATGAAAACAAAAAATTAGAAATGCAGAGGTGAATACTATAAAAGAAATTGAAATCAAATCTCATGCGTCCATTCAAGGTAACTGTAATGCAAGTTCTTTATATGTTTCTTACCTCAATTTTCTAAAAAACAATCAACCATGCTTAATTTATAAACTGAGCCCTTTATTATTATTTTTACCTATTGATGCAGTGAGAGAATAATAACTGTGGTCCACAAATAAATGTTCTTATTATCTCTTTTTCTGTATCCTTAATTAAAAAATGATAACATAGCAAGAAAACCTGATAACTAGGAGAAGAGTCTAATTTTTTTGGTCATGTGTCAATTTTTAATTTTATAAGAAACATAAATGGGTAATTTCAATCCAAACTTGCCCCCAGGTGGTATAAATCAAACTGGTAGCAATATGTTTATCTATTTGGAAAAAGGAGGTGCTTCCTTTAATTAACCTTGGTGTTGAGGCAGTGGTGTTGCCATTTCCAAGGGTAAAAAATTTCAAATCATTAGGTGGTAACATGGGAATGGTTTTATGTTTCTAATATGTCCCTTGTATAAAATTCTTTGGGCTTTGAAGCATAAGTATTAGCCCACTTAAACTTGTAGTGAAATTTAACTTAATTGTAAATAATGACATGAAAGATCAAAGAATGGAATGAAAGATCATAGAAGCTTTGAATAATTGGGTCCTTGACAAGTACACTTAAGCTGCTAAGAGGATCTCACATTCATACCTGTGGAAACAAGGGAATGCCTTTGAGGAGATAGAGAGATGGGATGATGCAGTAATATAGAGTTGGCCAAGAATTAAACACCCATAGATTATAGTAACAATACATCATTTGGAGGCCTGGACTGATCAATCCACGAGCATACCATGCAGGACTATACTTAGAAAGCAAAATATGAAAGCCTCCTTCAGACCATCTCTTATGTTGAATTAGTGTTTCTGGCAAGGTGGTTGGAGCTACACCTAAGAAAGCTCTCCTTTGAGGATTATAGAACACTGATTTCCATCCTTTGCATTGAATAGACAATCCTGTTATCACATCCTCTACTGAGCAACCATATAGTAGTCCCATCTACAATCAAAGATTGATATATATATAGATGCAATTGATTAGTCATTACATTTTTCAATAATATATATATTTTTAAAATTTTTAATTTGTATATAGTAAATTCTTATTAAAAAATTACAAAATTTAATACGATTTAATGGATTAATGTATTAAATACTATAAATTATTATAAGCGTAATATTACACAAGTTAAAAAAATCGTTTTTTTTAACAACTATAGAGGGTTATGAAAAAGAGTGTCACCTCTTTCCCCCATAATGTGTTTTCCTCATAGGTACAGCTTGCAAGAGCCTTTGATTTTTCTTCCAGTTCATGCAAGCTTGCTTCTTTGATATGATCAATATTCTTATTTCCACTCTCCCAATCATTCTTGAATTGATTATCGAACTTTCTTCCACAAAGTGTCTCTCTTCTATGAAAGCAGCCAGTTCCAATATACATAGGCCCACCAAGTCCATCCAAGCCAGGGAATTCCAACTTCATATGTTCCAAATTCATCACAAACTTTAAGGTAATTTATAGCGAAGTGCCATTTGTGAAAGTAAATAAACATTGCAACTTGTACAACTTTTGGTTTATATGCTTAAAGCATTAACTAATTTACCTCATAACAAACTCGTAGAGAACCACCATATAGATCATTCTTGGTGATGTTCGCAAAGCACTGAGGAGTTTGCACAAAAGCGATTTCATGGCCTTGAACTTCATCCATGAAGAAGCAGAGTGCATCCCTTAGAGATTGGGAATTGTTTGAGTACATGTCACAATCAACATTAAGAATGATTTCTCCATTGCTAATCATTGATGACACCCTTATCTGTGTCAAAAATACATTATTCACCCAATAAAATAATTTCACAAGAACATGCACAAACCTTATCATAAGTAATTAACATTAATGTTGCCTTAATATACACTACCAGCGAATTCATGGCTCCAGCTTTGAAGTTATGAGCAAATTGAGGTCTCTTCTCACGAGCCAAATATACCAATGCGGGCATAACATGTCCATCTACATCTATGCCACTCATTTCCTTTCCATGAAGTAATATCTACAAAGAAAATAAGTAAGATAACAATTGCAATGCTAAAATCCTTGATTGACAGAAAAAGATGATTGAATGAATAAAAAGAAGTGGAGAAAAGGGTAACATACTTGAAGAATGGTTTCATGGTCACGTCGAGAAGAGTACGAATCCCACTGAAGAAATCCTTTATGCTTTGAGCGTACTTCTTCTGAGACTTTACCCACCTTTGCTACATTTTCTATCCGATTTTCCATATCTTGGTATAATTTCTGCAACACGGAATAAATACAAATTTTCTAAATTATAAGGATTTTTATAGTCTAAAAAGTTTGCACTGTTTATATATATATATAAGTTTAATTACACTTTCTTTTCTTTATAAGTTAACGTTTGTGTAATTTTGCTTTTAGTTTTTTTGAATATTTAAATATTTTATACATTATTTATTTATTTATTTATTTATTTATTTATATAAATAAGAAAATCATATTTCCGTTATATTTTTATTAATTTTTAGATAAAATGTTAATATACAAAAATTAATTTGAATATTTAAAAAATTAAATAGACCAAATATGAGTAAAAGAACCAAAATCACACGTACTTAAAATATAAAAACAAAAATGAAATCAAACTTTTTTATAAAAAAAAATTATAATACTTTCGAACAGAGGTATATACTATATATGAGTCAGTTTGCTTTAATTTTAAAATAAAAAAATAAACTAGCAAAAAAAATCAATTAACTTAGTGGTTTAATTTTTTGGAAAAAAATTAAAAAATTTAAACAAACTCAACTCAATTAAAATGAGTTCGTTCCTTTTGGATCATCGAATTAATAATAAAAAATTATTAAAAAATATCATAAATTTGTCATAAAAAATACATAAATATATTATATAAAAAGTAACAATAACCTATGGATTTAGAATATCAATTAAAATATTTTGAAAAAACAGGGTGCCATTTTTAAAATATTTTCCCTGTTATTTTGGTCTATTAGTTTGACTACCCTAGTCAGGACTCAGTCACAATTTAGCAGGCGTCTATCTTTTTGGTGTAGACTTTGTATTTGGGTTTGACTATCCCTTTAATTAACATTATTATTTTGCCCATTTCAAAAAATTTTGTTGTTATTCTCATACATTATTTGTCAATATATGTGGATGTAAAGAAAACCTAAGAGAAACAAATTATTGCCTTCATTAGAAATTGGTACTTACTTAAAGTCATCAAAATCTAATTTTTTTGAGTCTGAAACAATTTCCTATATTAAGTTTTTTTCTGATTTATTGTAAAAAATATTCAATCAATTACATAAAACTTTTATTTTAATTTTTTTTCTAAATCATAAGTATTTTACTAAATTCTAAACTCAATCTCGAGACTACAAATTAAATTAAAACAATTCTTACTCATTGATTTATATATTTATTATATTTTATTTTACTTTATGTAACCTAATATTATATATTTAAAGGTAACTTTTATGCCTTGCTCTTGCCTTTAGTTAAAATATATGTTTATCTCAGTTTAATTTTTTTTTAAAATAATATTTTTTTCAAAAAAAAAATTTCTTAAAATAAACAAAAGAAAACATGTACTAGTGAACAACGTTACCTGGATGGCGACCAATTCCTTGGAATTATGAGGGGATGTGGAAGAGGTAACCTTTTTGAAATAAGCAGCTGGTGAAGTGGGTTCCACCTTCAATCTCTTGCAAAATGGAAGCCAATGTTTGGCAAATTTGGATGCCTCTAAGAGAGCATAGAATGTAATATCTGAACCAGCATCATCTGAAAGATACACACTCATCTTCTCTGTTGGATAGTCATAAGCCATAACTGATAGCACTGTGTTTATCACCATCAATGGTGGCTCAATCCCTGGGTCTGCTGTGCAGACAAATATGTCCACTCTTGGCAACTTCTTCTCATATCTATTTCAAATCATTACACTCAATTACCATAATGAATAGGTGGCATATTTATACCCTTGTTATCAACTTTAGAAGATTTTATAAATATATTATGATTCTCAGTATAATTTATCATGATAAACTCTTTTAAAATTCAGCACTTTCTAAAATAAATTGCTCTTTAATTTAGCATGCATACGTTTGAAAGTTTGAATTAGTAAAATGAACTCTATCAGTAGTGAACCAATCAATAATAATCAACAGTGTAATACTATGAGCATACATGAAAAGCATTTGAAAGATTCCTATACTTTTTCTTAACTTTATTCTATTAAATTTGATAATTAAACTTAAGATATAATAATATTTCATATTATTAACAAAAGCATGGTACCTTTGAGAGAGTATGTGAGTGAAAGGTTGCCTGAAGACAGGGTTGCATCTGAAGGGGTGGCGAAGGAGCCAATAAAGACCAAACCAAAGGTCAGCAGAAAGCAAACCAATCCATGCCCATTTCCCATTTTTGGGTAAGTGACTAACTCTATAAACCCATATAAAAAAAATGCACACAAACAAAGAGAGAGAGAATATTATGTAAAGGAACTTTCCTCTCCTTCTTATTGTTTCAAACAATGGAGAATACTCATCCTTCGCCATCTACTCTGTTGTGTTTGTGTGTGGTTCAACTTTGTTTATATAGCACACAACACAAAAGATAATATAATAATTCAATTTGATATTTTTTACAGTAAAGGAGTAATTGTAGATAAATACTCAAGAGTTTCAAGTTTCTACGTTTGTCTCATTAGAACTGTAGTTGACATCAATGACATATAAAATTTAAAATAAAAGGACCCACAAACCAAATAAGTCGTTACAAAATTAAGAAATGTGTCTCCAATAATTAATTTTATATTAAATTTATAAAATCGATAATAAATATTAGTAGTTAATTTTAAAAATATATAAATATTTTTTAATTTTAAAATATTAAATAAATTAATTTGAAGAGAGTATAAAATGTGTGTTTTTTAATTTACCATGGTAATAAATATTTTTTTATATCAAAAGTGAGAGAAATTTTATTTTTCTAGCTATTTGATTTTTAAATAAAAAGTTAATATGCATTATAAAAAATAAGTGAAAATATGCACTGCTGTCTACAGTGCAGTCCCTACACGTCCAAACGGTGGAGCAGTTCGGCGCTTGCAGATTCTTTATAAAAAAATAATACTAAAAATAAATAATTTAAAAAAACTGAAAATTATTTTTTATTTTTCTGTGTAAATTTTAAAAAATAAAAAATATAATAAAAATAAGATAGCAGTTTTGTAATTAAAAGTGAAACAAGAAAATAAAAATAGAAATTATTTGAGAGAACAAAGAGATGTTCCTCTGCAGATTCCTCTTTCAGCATCATCTTTTTGTTACATGCAAAATAATTCTTGGAATCATCGAAAATGGTATCATTGAACTCTACAAAAATGAAGAGTAACATTCTTGTTTGGTAGCTTTGAGTTCCAACAGTTAGTCTTTGAAAAAGGTTGAATGATGATGTGTTTCTTCCAAGTGAAGTTGGGTAAGAAAACGAGTTAGGGACAGTGTTAAGTTAATTAATTAGTGAGTGATTTGGGTTATATCATTAGATTTTAATTTCTTAATTATGAGATTATGTGTTAATTTGAATTGTGCTTGGCATTATTTAGGGAGAAATGGGTCATATTTTGGAATCGAGTTTGAACATTATATTTAAAGACGTACCATGATGTGACTGAATTAAAGTGAAGGTTTTAGTATAATCAATTTAAAAACAAAACTTTAATACTATTATATAGGTGTTTTACTGTTATTTATTAATTAAAATATTCATGTTTAATATTATCATAAATTATCAAAATAAAATTCTCATTTTAATTAATAAATAGCAGTAACAATCTTTAAAAAACTTCACCAAAATTTTATCCTTAATTTAATAAACTCACCCTTGATTAGTACTTTTCGACAAGCAATTAACAAGCCAAAGATATATATTGAATGAAGAGTGAAAAAGTTAGTGGTAGGCTATCTTCAGTATCTTTCAAAACCTTTGATATTGATGCCTTTAATGGTATCTTTGCCGATATACCCATTCAAGAAATGATAGGGTAGGATAGATATTAGTGACGCTAACAAGATAAGGCAAGTTGAAACACTTTTCATAAATAATGACGCCAATACACCACAAATTTGGAATTTTTTAAGACTTCAGTTTGAAGTTTATTTTTGGTCTAATATCTGACTACTGTTTATATTTTTAAATTCATCATCTACTGGTGTATCTAATTTTTTTTAATTAATAAACAAGGGTTAATGGTTTATCTAAATTAAAATTCAATATAATATTACTTTTCTATTTAAAAGAGAGTGCATTTACTTATACATTTTTAGGATAATGAACAATAAGTTGAACAACTACACCAATCAAGCCTTGTCTTAGTAAGTAATTTCATTAATAAATGTAAGCAAGAATTTTTTCTGATAAAACTTAGCTTTGAAACATGCGGAAAGTCAACCAAATGTGTAAATAAGCACACTATTGTTCAAGCAAAGTAGAAGCAAATAAACATAGCTAGAGCCAATGTTGTTGATTTGATGGCATCAGAGCTGGGGACTTTGCCCTTATCCTTCCTTAAGAAAAGTCCTTGGTATAGAGGCCAATTGATGAGAACCAAAAAGCCACACAAAAGAATTTGCAATACCATTTTCTCATAAGATCCAGTGCCACCTTCTCCTAGGATTGCATCCTTCAACACTCTAAGAAAACAATACAAATTGAGTAATGCAAGTGATGCTAATATAGTGACCATTGGAGAGGAGGTTCCAAATTCCATTATTTCTTTCTCATGCCTTTTGAAAGCATCTTCTTCAGTGACCTTAGCTGTGATTGTAAAAGTTGAGTTTGAGATCCCCAAAACCTTCAAGATGGTGTCAGTGCAAGCAAATAGATAAGAGCTTGTTCTTTTGTATAGCCATATCCTTAGGTCATTCCACCAACCTTGAAATGTGCCCCCACAGTACAAAAACTCCAACATATTATAAGCAGTTTCCCCAATCATCACATATGCGAAAGGTATGAACCATGGACTTGACATCTGATAAATCCATCAATAACCAATTAAACACTTATGATCAGTAAAAAAACCTAGGTATTTAGTTAGAAAAACACACCCATAATAACAAATTTATGCAGGCACATGATGCATGCACTGGTTTTGATTCCAAAAATGATGTACATCTTATCACAAATCAATCACATCTTGAAATCCCAAAGTGAAATAATAAACTGATGTAAACAACGAATAAAATGAAAGGCAAAACTAATGTGTTCGATCTTTAGATGTTGTTAGTGTTGATTACCGATAACAACACAAAAAAGAAAAAGAATTGCGGCAGGGCATGTTAAAACTATGAGAAAACAATGATTGCATTTATTTAAGTAAGCACTTGTGAAAATGAATTATTTTGTTACCTCTGGAAACAAGGGAATGCCTTTGAGAAGGTAGAGTGAAGGGATGATAGAATAATATAGCATTGCAAAACAGTTAGGTGCCCATAAGCAATAAACACAATATCCCATTTGAAGGCCCAAACTGATCCTTCCAAATCCATACCATGCAGGACTATACTTGGAAAGCAAAATTTGTAAGTCTCCTTCAGACCATCTCTTATGCTGAACTAGAGTTTGAGGCAAGGTGGCTGGAGCTAAACCTAAGAATGCTTTCCTTGGTGGGTTGTAGTACACTGATTTCCATCCTTGGGACTGTATAGACAATCCTGTTATCACATCCTCCACTGGACACCCATATTTTAAGCCCATCTGCAATTTATGAAATTACATTATGAAGCTAAATTTAGTCTTGGCATATTTACTCTTATATAATATTATGAGAAGTTTGCAGGATATTTGGTGAATAAATTATGCAGCACTAGACATATGTAGGTAACGCAACATAAAGACCATATAAGTTCTTATATTTAAAAGTTAAAACAAACTAGGTTTAATTCACACTTAAAGAAAATCGTTGTCCAAGCCTTATAAGAAAAATATTTTGCCCATATTTCAAACAAATATAGAACAACATAACGGAGAGTGCACATATGAGAGAGAGGGAGAGGGAGAGGCACATCTTTTCCCCATAGTGTGTTTTCCTCATAGGTGCAGCTTGCAAGAGCCTTTGATGTTTCTTCTAGTTTCTGCAGGTTTGTTTCTTTAAATTGATCATCTTCACTATTCCAATCATTCCTGTATTGATCACTGAACTTCATGCCAATGATAGTGTCTCTCTTGTGAAAGCAAGCACTTCCTATATACAAAGGGCCACCACAACCATCTGCACCTGGGGACTCCACCTTCATTTTTATTTACCAGCAAAAAAAGTATACATAAACATATAACTAACAACAATAATAGCATAATGAATTTAGTGATATAAATTATTTTTTTGAAGAAAATGAACCTTCTTGTACACTTGAAAATTGTCAAAACTATGCCTTTTGATTCCACGAATAACTCACCTCGATAATTGATAATAGACTACCCCCATATAGATCATTCTTAGTGACATTCTCAAAAAACTGAGGAAACTGCACATAAGCAATTTCATGGCCTTTCTCTTCATCCATGAAAAAACAGAGAGCATCTCTTATAGATTGTGAACTGTTTGAGTACATGTCACAGTCTACATTTAGAATTATTTTCCCATTGCTGATGTTCGAAGACACTCTTAACTGCATTTAGACCAAAAAAAAGAATATGAGCACCTCTTGCATATCATCAAGCATATATTTTACACTTGTCACACTTGATTAATCAGGCATCATATATGCGAACACTTAGTTATATCAAAGTTATAATTAAACTCGACCCGATCATTGACTCCTTGGGTATACTAAGTCATTGAGTCACTGAGTAGAATAAATCATGACCATACACACACAAGCACATAATGTGAACCAACTTTTGGTACAAATTACTAGCAATTAGTACAATTTCCTAAATTTCTGATACGTAATAATAGTATTTAACAGTATGAAATGTTATAAAAAATGAATAAATTAACCCTAAAGAAATTTATAATATCATATACCAGTGAATTCATAGCTCCAGCTTTGAAGTTGTGAAAATATTGAGGTCTCTTCTCGCGAGCCAAATACACCAGAGTTGGCAAAACTACCCCTTCTACATCTTTGGAGTTATTAGGGTCCTTGTCATGAAGTAGTATCTAGTAAGCCAAATCAAAACATAACAGTGTAAACAAGTATCAGGGCATGAGTGACAATGGCAAAACTAATACATTAAATTGAATTGAATATGCTTAGGAAAGTAACTCACTTGAAGAATTGTGTCATGCTCACGTCTAGAAGAGTATGAATCCCACTGAGAAAATCCCTTATGCTTTAAACGTGCTTCTTTGGGTACTCCACCCAACTTGGTTGCATCTTCAATTCGTCTTTCCATTTCATCGTACAATTTCTACACATGAAATAAAGAGAACATCAATTCAATTCCTTTTTTTATCTATCAAAAAATTAAAAACAATGTCAGTTTAATTTTCTCAGCTACCTATTTACTTTTCAGACTATTGTACAATAGTTTTTGAAGCATGTAGCATTGATGTATTAAAGTTAAGATGGAAATAAGTGTATTTTTTGAGGTGTTGGAAAAAGTTGGGTGAATACCATCATTGATGTTAAGAATATACCATAAAAACGAAACCATTGATGTCAAGTAAAAAAAATGTTAATAATTATTTTTATAACTAGTTTAGTAACCTTTACAATACACATATATTTTATTTTAAAATAAATATATATAATTTAATAATAAAAGAACAGAATTTTACAACATAAAAAACATCAAAATATAAGATATTTACAAGAAATTTAAAAGTGTATATAAAGTAATAAAAATATTAATTGGCATATCAGTAAATGTTTTGATGCAAACCAAAGTCATAAATGGCAACCGAACAATTTTTTTACTAAAATAATTGACCACTTTTGTACCTTGATAGCTTCCAACTCTTTGGCATGACTAGGGTCACTTGGGTACCCAGATGAGACTATGCCTTTGAAATATGCAGAAGGTGACCTGGGCTCCACCTTGAACCTCTTGCAAAATGGAAGCCAATGCTTTGCAAAATTTGACGCCTCTAGTAGAGCATAGAACGTGATTTCCGACCCAGCATCATCAGAGAGATACACACTCATCTTCTCAGTTGGATAATCATAAGCCATAACAGATAGCACTGTGTTAATCACCATCATTGGTGGCTCAATATCTGGATCTGCTGTGCACACAAAGATGTCCACTCTTGGCAACCTATTCTCATATCTATTACAAAACACATACCCATCAGTTTCCAATTCTTTGCAATACCCATTATTCCATTGCACAAATAGATGCATGAAATGAAAGCTACAAAATGCATGAAATTAAAGCTATAAAATGCAAAAAAATAAAATTTTGCAAACACATTCATTTCCATTAATTTTTCCATGACTTTAATGCAGCCTATTTGGAAAACCGTTTCCCAAACATAATCGATTTTAAACTAAAATTTAGCAATAAAGAGAAGTTTGATATGCTTTTTCATGCTATGTAAATGTCAGTGACAAACTTTAAATTAAAAAAAAAACTCATGCTGATTTCATCTAAATTAATTATTTACTGTGATCACGTGGAATCCCATCCCATAATAGACAGATATATTTAAAAACAAAAGTGTTTAAGAAAAAGTGATATTAAACTAATAATAAAAAAAAATACTAATATAATTACCTTTGAGAGAGTTTGTTCTTGAAGGGTTGCCTAAACACAAGGTTCCATCGAAAAGCTTGAGTGAGGACCCAATAAAAGCCAAACCATAGCTCAGCACCAAACATTCCAAGCCATGCCCATTTTCCATCTTCACCCTTTTTGGTCACTATGTGGCAAAATCTGTATACCCAAATGAAGCATATGGCCACAAATAATGAGATTGCAAAGGATCTATAGATGAGTCTACCTTTGCCCCTTCTTGTCTCAAACAATGGAGAGTACTCACCATTGCCCATACCTACTAATTCTCTTGCTTTGCAACTTGTTTCTTGTGCTATTAGTAACTAGTTGCATTGCATTGCTATTTGTATAGCTAGTATATATATATACACTAAGGTCTTAGCCATTGACATTTGAAAGTTCGTTCATTATTGACCTGGAGATGGCGTTCTCTTGATTTATTTAAAGATAAATAAAGCATCTCTATATGGTGGCCGCCAATAATAAGAGATAGATCTGACGAAGGTACTGATCAGGAATGACGACTGATGAATAAGATTTTTTTGTCTGTTAATTAATTTAAATATATGATAAATGTGGATTTCAAATTAATTATTATAAATTTTAATCAATAATGTTGTTGATATATTAATTATACAATATTATGATAATGAATCAATAAATGATATATTAAATTTATAGTGTATTCTTTTTATACTGAAAAACTATTAGAGTATAATGTATTTATTTAAACTAAAAATGTTGTCCTTCTTTAAAAAAAAAAAAAAAAAGCCCTTTCCAAACAACTATTTCTACAAGAATGGGGTATTTTTAATAAAAATATTTATTATTTAAAAAATGTTAAAGTATATTTTTTTCGAGAAAGAAATCATTCAATTTACTAATTAATATTATTAATAAGCATATTAACGAAATCGAAGAAATAAATAATTGCATTCGATTTATTTTTTATTTATTTATTTTTGTTAACCTCTATTAAACGACACTACTTTGCACACGTTTAACGAAATTAGAATGTTAGTACGTATTATGGACCATAGTAAGGGTGTCTAATAGAAGGGAAAAAAAATTAAGATATCAAATTACAGAGTATTTAACTAGAAGAAGATAAAGGACAAGAAAGGAAACTTCTTATAAATTTTTTTATGTTTCATTTAAAAATTTGAAGAAAAAATAATAAAATTTTTTATCATTTAATTTTGATAGATTAATTCACAAAATTGGGATAATTTGGAGGAAAATTTTGATAGATTAATTACATAATTTCACTATTTTAAACATACAATAATAAATACATTTATTTTTATCGTTTTTATTTTATAATTTAAATATAATGTCTCTCTTTTGAACTACATCATAATAGAGTTAATATTCCTTTTCATTATATAAATTCTGAATTACATCATAATAATAGATGGATAGAAAGTAAATAGTTAATATATATTTATTAGAATTTAACTGTAAATTTAATTTGAAAGTATAAGAGAGAGTGAATTAAAGTTTAAATAACTTATTTATTTTTTAAACTCACAACCTTTTTTATTTGTATACTTTTAAATTTGTTAACCAATCAATATGAAGCTTTAAAAAAATCTAATAAAACTGTAGGATCTAACAAAAACATCTATAAGTTGTTTAATAGAAACACATCAAATTTATCTATTAACATTATTTTATGAATAAATATCCAACTCATCAATTAAAATATTATATTATATTTTTAAAAATATTTTTAGAAAATAAAGTTTAAGATTTATTTACGTTATAAAATTTAAGACTAGTCTTTTAAAGTTTTCTGTTAAATTAATATATTTTAAATTACTAGATTAATAAATTATAGAACATTGTAAACAAATTATTATTCATTTAAAATCAAATAATAGTTCAATTCAGTTTATTTTATTAATTCTTATTTTTAAAATTAAATAAATTTATTAATTTTTATAAAAAAGGAAACAACTAATTGATAAATAGAATAAATTGTAACATTTTAGGATTATTAAATGGTATCAAAGTCAATCGATAAGACACACACAAATTGACTGGACGAATGAGTTTGTGTTCCAAATTCGGCTATGATGACTGTTGAATTGATGTGCCCAAAACTGAAAAGAACTAGACAACAATTTTTTATTCTTGAAATAATTATTATTTTAAATTATATGTAAAGGTTAAAAAAATAACGAAATATTCTTAAAGTTTTTTAAAAAGAATTTTTGAGTATACTATTTTTTATTAACATTTTTATTTCAATTAATAAATGTACCAAAAAGACAATACTAAAATTAAAATATAATCATATTTTATTTTGTAATCTGACAAACAATTGATAATAAATGAAAACTTTAATTATTTACACAAACAAAATATTTTATTACTTTTCTTTGTCATATATATAAGGCCTCTTTAGTATCTATTGTTTGAAAAGAGGAATGTTAGATTATTATTTTTAGTGCATTTTCTTATATATATATATATATATATATATATAATTTTTAAAATAATTATTTTATAAGGTAAATATTTTAATTTTTTTTTTAAAAAGTCACTATATAAAGTGTATAAAAAATATGTTAAAAATATTTTGAAGTTTGAAAATTTATAATGAATAAAACAAGGTTGAATGACAGGGATTTAAACTATGATCATGATACCATATACCCTAAATCTTAAATCACAGCAAGAACATAGTAAAACTTGAATACTAAAAACTAAACTTCATTGTTGTAACTTTTAAATAAGATACACTTACCCACAAGAATGTTGACCATATCATATTTTATTCATATGTCACAGCATCTTCCAACTTTAGGATGGACCAACCAATTGTGGAATGCAACCCATTATATTATATTATATTATATTATATTATATAGTCCAAAATATGAGAGAGGTAACTTCTCTAGGTTTGGCTCCTATCAACTACATCAATGCAATTTAATTCTCCAGTGCAGACTACTCCACTCAATCAATGATAAACCCATCCAATAAAATCAGAGAAATAATTAGAGAAAGAGAAATGTAATAAAGGATGCATTCTTTATATAGATAAAAATTTCAAAATTAAAAAATCTACTTGTTTGAATAAATGAAAGAGTAAAAAAAATGAAAAAAAAAATATTTTAACTTTTATGATATAGCAACTCCTATCTCTTTAAGCATAAAATACAATGAAAATTTTGGTAATACACTAGTAGGATCTTTAGGTACTGCAGCTAAAGTTGAGAACATTTATGTTTGGTAAGATATTTTTTCATTATGTTGTTTTTGGCAAAATTTATATATTATTTTGATAAATAAATTTTTTGACATTTCTAAATTGTTTAAAAACCTTATCAATTGAGTTATAATTCTTTCATTTGAGAATTATCCATTATACATTTAGCTTTATAGTTAAACTTAATTACATTTTTAAATTTTTTTTAACAAGTGATTACATTCTCTTAATTTTAAAAATTAATTAAATTTAGTCATTTTATTATTTTTATATAAAAACCTAAAATTCTTTTTTTACTCAAAAACGAATTAAATTATTTTAAATATTTTTCTATTCAAATCACTCAAAATTAATATATATATATATATATATATATATATATATTAATTTTACCCTACTCAAACTCTAATTTTATACCTGATAAATTTTTTTCTAATATCTACTAAATTCTTTCTTCTATTTTTTAAAAACTATTTTATATCTTAAATTCATCAAAATCTCCTAAATATTCAAGTAAAAAAACTGTTAAAAAATGAAAAACAAAACTAATAATCTCAATCTACATTATAATAACCAATAACATAATAGTCTTTTATCTATCGGTCTTGAAACTCTTATTTATTTTCTCTTCCCCTCTAAACCATTGTTATGTTCCTTGTTCACACCATTCCCTGAGTCTCTATTGAATTAAGCATCCTTAGTCTTCTTAATGAATCCCCAACATGGTTAATTCCATCTCAAAATGAAGCACACTTGATCATGTTTACATGTTTTAGAATGATAAAGGTCAATGCAGATTATGCAGTCATGCTTTGCTTACAACTTGTATCCACCACAACGACATGAGTTAACACCACCACCACCACCATGATCATGTCATCACCATCATTGCTGCCTATACTAAACCAACCCATTTGACAACTCAATGGCTGGCCATGCATGCATGGTGTATGCCCCCGTTTAGGCTTATTTTATTTTATTTTTCAATTCAAGTTTTGTGTACATTTTTCATATTTAAAAACATTGATAGTGTTTAACTATTTACATGAAACTTTTTTTAGCCGTGCACTAAAACTAATATGAACAAAAAAGAGAGCAAAAGAAAAATCATAATAAGAAAATCATGGGGTATAAAATTCACTGTCATTTTTTAGGACATTCAAGTGAAAACAAGATGGGGAAAGATACAATAATAATAATGGAAGTGTAAATAGTATAGGGTCCAATGTCCTATAAAATCCAAGTGTAGGTCAATTGGGTACACTCCAAACCCCACAATAGCTCCATCAAATATCAGAAAGCGATGTGAGAATTGTATGTATATGATATCATATGTTAGCTTTCGGCACCCAAATGAAAAAGAATACAAGAATCATAAACTACAAAAGAAGTCCTTGGAAGTAGTTCACCAACTGGCTAATGTTCATTTTGTCTACTTTCACAATTAAAACAATAAAAATATTATTGGTCCTACTCAATATCTTACCATCCAACAATTTCCCAGGTTAGATTATGTGAGATTACAGTAAAAATCACAGGCTATGGTAGTGTATCAAAAAATAATATACCAATTAGTCTTTAAAAATATCTCTATAATTTAATTTAGTTATTATAATTATAAATATGTTATTTTAATTTTAAAATTATCAAATATATATTCTTGTAATATTTATAATAGAAAATTCAAGAATTAAAATATTCTTATTTATAATTTTTAAAATTAAAATAATATTATTTAATATATATTTTTAATTAAATAAGATCTTTTTCTTGGTATTTAACACAATTTATATTTACAAAAATTAAAACTTAAGATTATATATTTAATATTTATTAATTTTATAAGATAAATAATATTTTATAATTTCAAAGATTAAATTAAGTAATATTTATAATTTTTAAATTCTTTTGATATATTATTCCTTATTAAAGCATCACGTGTCACATGGAAATTAATTTTATAAAATAAATGCAAATAAGAATTTTGAGCATTATTTATTTAATTTTCTTGTACTTTTTGTTTAATTTATTGGCTTTAAATTTTCTGAAATCTCAATTATTGGAGACAAACATGGAGAAATAAGGGAAAATAAAAGGACTTGCCTTTTTGCTGTCTTACATCTCTTTCTCTCACCATCTCTTTCAGGTTCCTGTTTGTGGTCACAGTCACCCACGGGTGTCGTTTTGGACGGTGCTACTGATGACGTGGCGAACCCTCCTTTATTCCCATCCTTTTTCTCACGCTATGCCAAGTCGCAAACACCATAATTAGCATTGTACAATGAGGGCAGAAGCGTCATTTGATTAAACATGGCACCAAAATGCACAAAAGTACAACATTTTGAAACATAAAATGAGGTTTTAAAATAGGAACGGGTGCACCTGATTCCGCACTCTCATCTCTTTGAACTTGACTATAGCTGATACAGAAAATTTGTCTTTTGAACAGGGTTCGGATTTTTCAAACCCACCCATCACTTTCTCTCTCTAACACCATCTCTCTCTCTCTCTCTCTGGAGATTCAATATTAGTGATTTTGTTAACGTCTTGAAAGTTTTTCAGGGTCAGCTTTGTAAAGAGGCCTTGGGAGGTGATTTTTTTTTCTTTTATGATTTTTCGTGCGGATTCTGCAAAAGATGGAAGCTTTAATGGTTTTTGGATTCTGGGTTTCGGAGTATTTTGGGTTTTGTCGGTGGGTTTTTGTTGAATTGTGTTGTGACCAAGCTGCTTTTACGTTCGTTCGTTTTTGTCGTTCTTCGCGTTTTTGCTTCGTTGGTTCTCGTTTCAATTCATGTTCCGTTTGCGGTGTCCGTTGATGTTTTCGGTCGTTTTCGGTCGTTTTCGGGTCGTTTTGACCGAGCTGTTGTGTTCGCCGAGGGACTTCCAATTTGCAGTGTTCTTCACTCAACCGTGGGGGTGTGGAGAATTTTCTGTTCACTTTTTGGAATTTTAAAAAAATATTTTTGAATATTTATTTTTTAATTGTTTCATAATCTGAACATCCTCTAGAATGAAAATTAGAGAGTGGAATTTGAAGTGTTGTGGTATTTATTTTTACATGCAAATTTTGATTTGTCTGCAATTTTTGCATTGTGTTTGGATCCTATTTGCACTGCAGAAAGTTTCGTAACTTCTCAATTCATTGTAAAAATTGGGCTTTGTGAATGACTCTTAACATGCATTATTAGTGCTGCAATATAATTAATTTTTTGGTGGGTTTTATGTTTATGCATTGAGGGTATTATTGTCTGCATAGAAGTTGCTTGTTCTGTTGTGTGAGGAGTATGTTGTTTCTAAAGGTTCTTACTTAATGGGAGATATTCTGGAATCTTGGAGGCTGTGGAAATTAATCCAAAATAAGCTATTGATAGGTCAAACTCAAAAGTAGTTTTAAGAGAGAATCTTTCTGATTAAATGGACCTAAGGGCCAGTAGTATTGCTAGTTTTAGGGTTCTATCATATCTCTTGATTCCTGACACTGCACGACAATGTGTTTTTATTCCCCTTGGTGGGAGAATGATCCCGTGTCTGCCACAAAGAAGTTGTAAAAGGATTTTCGTATCTGGAGTTTTGTTTCTTCAACTTACTTGGTTGTGGTCCTCTTGTATGTTTAACTAAAGTTTTTTTTTTTTTTGAAATATGGGGCTTTTTGAAGTTTGATATTTATAAATTACTAGTTTATGATGATAATACTTTTTATTTTAGTTTCTTTTTTGAAATATATTTTTCGTAACAGATTTGTAAGACGCAATGGTGGCAAAAATCCGGCAAAATGCTACGGAGTCTCCTAATCCAAAACCAGAGGTTGGAGAGATTGACACCAGCCCACCTTTTCAGTCTGTTAAAGATGCTGTCTCTCTATTTGGTGAAGGTGCTTTCTCTGGTGAGAAACCTATCCATAAGAAGGCGAAACCTTATTCTGCTGAGGTAATTCCCATTTTTGTATTTTTAGGTGTTCTCAATTATAAATCCCTTGTGTTGCAAAACTATATTAGAAGATGTATGGTGTATCCTGTACATTTGATGGAGTGGTAACTGTAGCATAAATCTCATATGATTTTCTAGGTAAATCTATTTAATTTTTTATAAACCAAAAATATTTTAAGATTTTAACTTTATGGATGATTAATAGTATGCATATACCTACCTATTCAGTAATAAACTAAATTAGTCCTTGAAACCATGGACATGGCTCGATTTATTCCTTAAAATTACTAGATGATCATTTTAATCCCTAAAATTATCAAACGTTGTCATTATATTCCTTATTTTTGTAATTTAGGGATTAAAATGACTATTGTTTGATGATTTTAAGAACTAAAATGATTTTCTTTTTGTTATTTCAAGGACTAAATTGACCGAGGCTTGTAACATTAGGGATTAATTTGTTATGTTACTCCTTACCTATTTTGCTTTGTAAAAAATTGACAGTAATGTATTGTGTTGAGTTTCTTCCCATTTTTTAAGGAGGCAATCTGACTCTTATAGCAATGCTAGATTAGCTGTGCTTATAATAGGACCAGGAAAAATGCAGATTGAATTGTATTAAATAAATCTGGAAAATTTTCTCTGTACTGACTCAGATATGGTATCAGTTCCAGAAGGTTTTGTATAGTGAATACTAGTGTATTCCTCCCTCTTTTTTTACCCACTTTATCATTCTTGCACCCTTGGGTCTAACAGTTTGCTTTTAAATCACTATTATTCATAAATTAATGTAATATGCCATTTTGAATATCCTTTTTTATATTACATTACAGAAAATATTCTTCCTTTTACCAATTGAACCTATTGTTCTATTTGGTAGCACATATTATATTATACATCTTATGGTAAGTCTTACCTAATCAGCATAGCAATAACTGTTCACTTTTAAGTACTTTGAGTTTTCTGGTAACATTTTCAATTTATTTTAGCATTTATTTAAACAAGATCTGTAGAAAATGGTGTGGAGGATCAATCGGGTTCCTTTATGGTCTGTATTCTGAAGAAAATTGTGTGCACAACTGCACATGTATAGCGAATGAGAATCAGAAACAAGATCTCTGGGGTGTCTCAACACTGTTCTTGGTTGAAAGATATTAAAACCACTTTGGTATAATTTGTTTTTGATGTTCAGATTTTTAAAAAATCTGAGAACAAGTGAATGTAGTGTTCGTCATCTAAGAGGGGAATATTGTATGCATGTGTAGGGGTTAGTACAAGTTTCAGAGGATTTGAGGGTAACGTTACATTTTCCATCCACATTTTTGTCAATTACCATAGGAATTTATGTTATAATTGGACACCGCATAACTTAAGTTGTTCTTTAATCAAGCTGTTCTAACTTCTAACAACTTCTGACCCTCAAAGTTATCTTATCATTATTGTCTATGTCCTCCTTTAAAGGTTAGCTTTGAGTGTACTTTCTCTTTGTCATTGCAATTTACTAGTTTGTTCTTTTGCCAGAGAGTTTTGGCCAAGGAGACACAACTTCATGTAGCCCAAAAAGAGCTGAACAAGTTAAAGGAACAAGTAAAGAATGCTGAAACTACTAAGGCTCAAGCACTTGTGGAGCTTGAAAGGGCTAAAAGGACAGTTGAGGATCTAGCACAAAAGCTAAAAGTTATCAGTGAATCTAGGGAGTTGGCAATCAATGCGACAGAAGCTGCAAAGAGTCAGGCAAAACAACTTAAAGAAGAAAAGTATGGTGACCCTGATGGATCAAATGGTGCTTGGAAAGAAGAGCTAGAAGCTGCAGTTAAAAGGTATGCATCTGTCATGACAGAACTTGACGCTGCAAAGCAAGTACTGAGCAAAACTCGTCAGGAGTGTGATTCATCCTTGGATGCAAGAGATTCTGCTTTGAAGCAAGCAGCAGAAGCTGAAGATGCAAAGAAGGAAAACATGGAAAGAGCAACTGAGCTTTCTAAAGAAATTTCAACTGTAAAGGAGTCAATTGAACAAGCAAAGCTTGCATCTAACGAAGCACAGCAACAGCAAGCAATGATTTTGGCTGAGAAAGATGTTCTAAGACAATCATATAAGGCTACCCTGGAACAATCTGAAAAGAAATTGCTTGCTTTAAAGAAAGAATTCAGTCCTGAGCTCGCCAAAAATCTTGAAGTGCAGCTGGCTGAGACAGTGAGTGAAATTGGGGCCCTCCAAAAGGAAATGGAAAATAAAAGGACATCGGACTTGGATTCTGTGAAAACTGTTACTTTGGAGCTTGATGATGCTAAGGAGTCGCTGCAGAAAGTAGCAGATGAAGAAAGCTCTCTCAGAAGCTTGGTTGAAACTCTTAAGGCTGAACTAGAGAATGTAAAGAGAGAACATTCTGATTTGAAGGAGAAAGAATCTGAAACTGAATCCATTGTTGGGAATCTGCATGTCAAGCTACGCAAAAGCAAATCTGAGCTTGAAGCCTGCAAGGCAGAAGAATCGAAAGTTAGTGGTGCATCAGATGAAATGATCTTGACACTTAGCCAGCTGACATCTGAAACTGAAAATGCAAGGCGTGAAGCAGAAGATATGAAGAACAAGACAGCAGAATTGAAGATGGAAGCTGAAGTTACCATGCTTGCATTAGCGGATGCAGAGAAAAAGCTTAAAGTGGCACTTGAAGAAGTAGAAGCAGCAAAAGCAGCTGAGGCAAGTGCTCTTGAACAGATTACAGTGTTAACTGAAAGGACTACTGCTGCACGCACGTCAACATCTGAATCCGGTGCTCTGATTACAATTTCAAAGGATGAGTTTGACTCACTAAGCCGAAAAGTTGAGGAGTCTGATAAATTAGCTGACATGAAAATGGCCGCAGCCAAGGCCCAGGTTGAAGCTGTGAAGGCCAGTGAAAACGAGGCTCTGAAAAGGTTAGAAACAACTCAGAAGGAGATTGAGGATATTAAGACTGCAACACAGGAGGCCTTGAAAAAGGCTGAGATGGCTGAAGCAGCTAAACGGGTGGTGGAGAGTGAGCTTCGAAGGTGGCGTGAGCGAGAGCAGAAGAAGGCAGCAGAAGCCGCATCACGCATATTGGCTGAGACACAGATGTCATCAGAAACATCTCCTCAGCACTATAGGATTCAAAAGCAGAATCCTCCTCATGCAACAGTGGAGGTGAAGAAGTTAGATAAAGAGAAGGTTTCAGTTTCAAAGAAAGCTCTCTTACCTAATATTAGTGGCATCTTCCAAAGGAAGAAAAACCAGGTTGACGGTGGTTCTCCTTCTTATCTTCCAGGTGAGAACCCTGTATGAGAAATATGCAATTTGTAGTAGCTTGTGCAGCTCTTGAATGTGAGAGGAACCATTTACTTGTGTGTAGTTGAGGAATTTGATCAGATTTTGTCTTTGTAGAATGTTTGAAGGAAATGATTGTGTAGTGTTTATAGTTTGGTGACAGATTCTGGGATGCATAATGTAAATGGAACGAGAAGTAAGATTAAAATCTATTGGTATTTTTCTGTTGATACTAAGCTTTCATATCTTTCTATTTGAACTATATTTGAAGGAAAGGATTGAATAGTGTTAATAGTTTGGTGACAGTTCTCAGAGATGCATCATGTAGAAGGAACCATTATTAGTAAGGCTTTTCTTTTTCTTTTTCTGTTTATAATAAGCTTTCATGTTTGCTGTTTTGAGCTCTTTCATGGGACCTATCTATTTAGGGAAAGTATTATTATGACAATTAATGCCGTATTTGGATTGGAGTCAAATTCTCATTTAAATGAGGATCCATTTTAAAACATGTAGAAATGTGGGTTAGTATGAATTTATATGGTTTTTAACTATGCACTAAATCTATTTTTCCTCCTTCAAATATCATGATGTTTTTATTTTAAATTACTATGGATCTGGGTGGAAAAACTTTTGAAAAATAACTTATGAAAAACTTAATTCATTGCTTCTACACTTTCATTTGTGTTTAAAAAATTTCAAACGTTATTGCTACCACGGATGGAGATTGAAGATTGATAGGTACAAGATGGAGAAAGAAGGAGGTTTAAGCTCAAAAATTTCAAAAGTTAAGGATAGAAAAAAATTATTTTTAAATTTTTTTAAAATTATGTTGTTTTATTTTTAAAATAATCCTTAACATATCATTTTGTAATAAATCATCATTATGTTACTATATTTTTTAACAATAATAACTTTGATGATTGATAATTTTTAATATCAAAAACAAATTTTAATGTAAGGGAGTAGTTTTTTTGTTTAATCTACTCTCTTGCTTCAATTGATCTTTTATACTTATGTTCAAATTATTTAAGGTAAAATTTCAGTTTATATAATTTTAACTTTCTTTATGAAAAAAGATTTATCATTAATTTTATAAATTTTAATGTATGATTAATTATCACTTAAAGCTTATGACTTTATATTTTACTTTTGACTATATATAAACATTTTAACAAAAGTTACTAGTTTTAACACTTAATTTTTAAAATTTGCTAATAGCAAGTGTCAAATTTAGACGTTATTTAATATTTTTTATAAAATATAAGATTGACCTATCAAACAATTGAATCATATATTATGTAAGGTTGATTCAAAATTATATATATCAAATTTTACATAATTTTAATAATTATAAGTATGTGATCCAAAATTTAATATTTTTTATATTTACTTGTTAAAATAAAATAATACTATGAAGTATAATTCATTTTATTTTTTATAGAATTTTGTAGAAATGATCTATTTTCTAAGAATATTTAAATTAACAATTAATTTTAATAATTTCATATCTTATGAAAAGTTATTATAAGATTTGATGTCAATTAATCTAGTCCTATTCACGCATATAATAAAATAATAATTAACAAAAAAACATGAATGTTTATTTATTTTTCAATTTATTCTTTGATTACTTTTGTTTTTCTTACATTAGTAAGAGAATAACTACTTAAAATCCTAATAAATATATTTTTCAAAAGAAACATAATTTATTTGAGATAAAATGTGAAATTTGTTGAATTCCTTGTAAAGATTAGTACTCTTTATATATCATTGTAAGGAATACCTTATTAAAAAAGCTACAATAACAATTTTAATCATAAGATATATAAAGTGAAGAGAAAGAAAACTGTGTATTTATGAAAAATTATTGGAGTAATATGAGATTATGTCATTTTAATTACTCATAATTGGTCATGTGTTATTGATTGATGTTCTACCTTTTAACATGCATAGCATTTATAGAGAAGTAAATAGAGTCACCCCCACTTCATTAAAATTCACCTCTTTCAACTTAAATACACAAAAGCCCTTTTTCTATTATTTGCAACCCTACAAGCATGTGCTTTGAACACATGAACAAAAATGCAATTGTACATTCAACATGAAGTTCATAAACTAACATTTTTTTAGATATTGTGAGATTATTTTAAATTTAATTTTATTAATATTAGTATTTCAATTTAAGTAATTTTTTTATATTATAAATATGAATTTCTATTCTTGAATGAAAATATTTCTAAGAGTAATTCTTATCTTTATGAAGCCATCTAATACTATTCTTTATGAATTTTTTATTTAATTTTACTTTGAAATAATCATATTTGTGCTAAATTAAAAAAACATTTTGCATAAATTAAATTTCAAATTTATTATAATTTTAATTATTTTTAATCTTAAATTTCAATACATCATATGATGTCTTAATTCTAATAATTTATTATTTTTATTTTAAAAATAATTTTATTTTAGTACATTGTATAAAAAATTTTACATTATTAATCAATTAAAATATAACATTATATGGATTTATATTAAATATTATAAAACTCCATGATTTTCATTGTATGGCAATTTATGATTAGATAACAGCGTCAAATTATTTTATACTATCATTGGATTTCATTTAAATCATTTTAAAAATCGTATCATTTTAAGTTAAACTTGTTTATTATAAAAATATTTAGTTAATAAATTTTAAAATATAATCTATAAAGTTAAACTTAATCATAATTACAAAAATGATTTTTTTTCAAGGATAAACATGTCTTAAAAAAAGTACAGTTAATAATATCTCTATTGTATTTATTATATTATTTAATATTTAATTAAAAAATTATATTTATGATATATTTTAATTTATTGATAAAATAATTTTTAACGATTTAAATATTCAAACAAAAATTTTCTGTTCCAAATTTTTACTCGTGCGACCAGGAGTTGCACATACTGATTTAAGAATAAAAACTAAATTTAACTAAGAATGACAATGTGAGTATGCTAAAATAGTGCTATGCTTTTAAAAAAGAAAAATAATAAATTTTAATCATTAATAAAAAAATAATTATTTTAATCTATTTATTAATAATTATTGGATCAAAATCTATTTCTTAAGATATTACTTTGAGAAATTCAAATTTATTACTAAAATAGAGACAACTAACACAACAGATGTAGATTTAATCTAATGATAAGCATTTAATTATCCATATATATTGTAATAAATAACATGTTTTTATTAAAAATATAATATTTAATATCATAATACATTAAATTATGAAACTTATATAAATTTTTATTATGTATCTTTAAATATATATGAAAATCGTCTCAGTGATATAGATTTAAGTGTATAATAAGAACATCACAATCAACCCTGAGAATGACAAATGTCAAATTTATAAACCCAATCTCACATAAAAACATCCTACATCCGACTGCAGAAGAACGCAGTCTCTCCTCCAAAGACAAAACATCATCAAAGAGAAAGCACTGCACTGTCTCGCAAGTTGCAATCACTGCCACACTCACTCACTCACTCTCTCACACTCACCATTCTCATTCTTCACCTCAAAAGCTTCCAACTTCAGCGTTTTGAAGATGATGGGTAGCACCAACAACCCCTCTTCAAATTTCTTGTGCCGCCGCCACGTTTTCCTCTGCTACAAGAACCCCACCGTGTGGCCACCGCGCATTGAGGCTGCAGAGTTTGATCGTTTGCCCAGGTTGCTCTATGCTGCCATTAATGCCAGAAAAGCTGATATAAAAAAAGAGGTACTTCATTTTTATTTTGGTTTGGTTTTTGTGCCTTTTAACTTTATTTTTTAATCTTTAGTTTTTGTTGAAATTTTTTTTTCTCCCTATTTTTGCTTGTAAGTAGAGTTTGTTGGGTCTAGGGAGCTATAGCTTGTGGAGGAGATGATAAAGAGATGTTGTACCTAGGGGCATTATATTGTACCCTTGGGAAGAACTTACTAGCAAATGTTTCAATTAAGTGAGGTGGGCTTGTGGAACTAGTTTTGAGATCTTTTGTTGTTTTATAGATTTTTTTTTCTCAGGGATATGGATATTTGGTGGTGAGTGGAAAGGAATGTGATGAAATCTAATGGAACAGGATGAAATTAAGTTGACATTCTGTTGTTTGATTATTATTTTTATGATGGAGCTGTTATCTGTCTTGGTTTATTACCAATTTGTTTGAAGATTATTTTAATCTAATCATGTTAGTTTAGTTCCTTAGAGGGTGTTTGGTTTATTTTTTGTTTTGAGGAATGCTAGCAGCGTACGTACTCTTTAATACACTTCTTGATTGGTGAATCTTTTATAAAGTCAAAGTAATTTTTAAAAAGTATTAAATTTATGATGTAAGTATTTTGACTTTTTAAAAAATGGACCAATCACATGAACTATGTTGAACAATGTGCTCAAAAGAGTGTATTGTTAGCATTTCTCTTTCTGTTTTTCTCTTGAGTTGATATATGTTTCATTGATGATTTAAAAAATGTCACTTTATATTCATTCTGTTTTTCCATTTACATTTCCTTGTTTTCACTATCCTATTCATGAAATTCTGAGAACAGGAACTGGAATGAAAGAAATGTGACATTGATGTAATTATTGATGAAAATATGTCGACTGAAAATGAATATTTGAATACAAACCAAACACCCTTTAATGTTATTCTGACTGTGGCTAATTGCCTTGGGCTTATCATTTACTAGATCTGCTTAACGATATGTGAGGGGAATGATGGGACTGAAACATCAAATGGAGATGTACTAATTTTTCCAGACATGATCAGATACAGGTTAGTACTTAGTTCAAATTCTGTTTTACAGCTGATTCTGTATAAAGTTTATCTTTTTTTCCCCCTAATGAATTCCATACCAACAGCAATTTTAGTGACATTGCAGGAGGTTAACCCACTTTGATGTTGAGACATTTGTTGAAGAAGTTCTGGTAAAAGAAGGCGAATGGCTTCCTGGAAACCCTGAATCCTTAAAAGCTTCATATGTTTTTGTGTGTTCACATGGATCCCGTGATCGTAGGTGTGGGGTTTTTGGACCTGTTTTGGTCAGTAGATTCAGGGAAGCGATAGAGTTACATGGTCTTCAGGGTAAAGTGTTGATTAGCCCGTGCTCGCACATCGGGGAACATAAGTATGTGGGGAACGTCATTATATTTGGTTCAAGCATCAATGGAGAAGTCACTGGGCACTTGTAAGGAGGAGATTTCCCTGGTTATTGACATTTCTTTTGGTGACAAAAATTTCCACATATTCTTTAAAATCTGGATATACCCTTATAACTTTGTGTTTTATTTTCTAATAACTTACCAGTATTCTTTTTAACTAAACCATGTAGGTATGGATATGTTACACCAGATGATGTACCTTTATTGTTTCACCAGCATATCATCGAAGGGGAGATTTTTGACTCACTATGGAGGTAAATTTTTTCTATAATATTTTTTTAGCATTTAATTTTAGATGTTTTATTTTCTTTTAGTTCCATCCTCTAAGACAATAGCTGGGTTATCTCTCTAGCTTGCTTTCTTTTACATAATGTTTGTCAGAGTAGGCCAATTGTGGTGAAATTTTAGCTATATTTGTAAAATTGTCATTCCCAAGTCAGAATATCTTTAAATCAGAAAGAAATAGAAGATTAAAAGGAGTGAACTGGCAAATTTGAAAGGCTTTTGGAGTTAGTTTTTCAGATTCTTTCACCCCTACAGCATGCTTAAATTTCATTTTTCTGTTAGAGATGTAATATAAAACCATTCATGTGTGTCTCTTCACCCAATAGGTTAAGCTTTTGGGATAGTTGGTTCTTGACATGATATCAGAGCCTCTCATGACCAAGTGATCTATAGTTTGATCCTTATTGCTTCCATTTTTTGAATAAAAAGTTAAATTTCAGCACACAGTAGGTGAGCTTCGGGATTATCCACACTTCAAGGGGGTGTATCAGTACTTCTTCGTCTAATAGCTTAAGCTTTTGGAATAGTTGGTTCATGACATTTTCATCGATGGTGTAATTTGGAATAGCTTAACCTCCTTATACAAACTTTGGTTTCTGTGTTTTCAAATTGAAATTGTTGTCAAGCTTCAAGGTATTAGAGGGATGTGCATACAATGAATAACTCCTGTAGCACTATTGCTTTCTCTTCCATAGAATGTTCAGAAAACCTGTGTTCTTTCAAACCTGATTTTTGCATGCTGAACTCCTATACACAATCAAATATAACCATTTTGATAACAGTCCCTGGAAAAATAGCTTCTCTTCATTTTGTTGTTGCTATGTGTTTTTATATTTATCATCAGGGGTCAAATTGGTCTATCAGAAGACGAACAGAGGAAAAAGCAAGAACAAAGGCTACAGCTGAATGGCGCAAGAAATTTAGAAGTAGGCACAGAAAGGATGATGAAGATGAAGAATCGTGAGCCAAGCACTGCAGGGTTTAGACTCCACGACAACTTTTCGAGCTGCTGCCAAGCAGATCAAGAGAGCTGTTGCCTAGAAGATGAGGAGAATTGTTGCAACAACAATGTATTAGTGGAAACGACTCAAATGGAAGAGATTTCAGCTAATAATAAGAGTAGCAAGAATGTGAATGCCATTTCTCGTATCAATAAGGGCAAAGGAGCATCGCACAAGTTTAGTTCCCTGTCAACATGGTTTGACAGCTGGGAGCAAGAAGACACTTATGCTACTCTTGCTGTTGTCTGTGCTGCTGTGTCAGTTGCCATTGCTTATAGCTGCTACAAGCAGCTGAGATGAGAAGAATCAAGTCAACAATTGGTTGCATTGTTGTTTAGCAGTGGATTAGATAACTTATGCTTTGTTATATCTTCATTTTTCAGTGCATAGATTAATTTCTTACTGACATGCATGGAAATGAGTATCTGAAATCTTGACTACTTCTGGAACATAAAATACTTTTGGCTCAGGCACTTGGAATTCATCACATTGCTTCATCTGTACATTCATGAGATCTTTGCCTGGGAATGTTCAAATTGAATACTAGTAGTTTATTTAGGTGAAATTGGTTTGTAACATTTATTAATTTGATCTAAAGCAAATTTACTTGTGGTGTTTGATGCGATGCAAATTACAGATATTTTTTAGTTTATTTATTTTTAATTATTTTAGTTAGTTTCGTTACACCATTTTTAATCTTTTGGAGTCATTACTAACAGGAGGGTCTTCATTTGCAGAGTGGTTTTGTGCATAAATGCTCTTTAAAGTCATTTTAGAGAGTGGTTATGCACCAACTAATAAAATTTTAAAATGTAATAGCAACTTCTAATTTAAAAAAACACATAAGGGGTGAGATGTTGCTCAACTTGCAACAGGAGTGTGAAGTCCATGGCATGCACGGTGGTTGGCATTTGGCATGATGAAGGGTTAGTGGTGACTGGATTTTGTTTCAAGCACAGTAGTGAGGATTATTTTTGGCATGGTGGTGTTGATTATGCTCAGTTTGTGACAAATGATGTGATGATTAGAGCAATGATTTTGTAGTGACGAGATTGAATGACAATGATAGTTGAAATGTTGGCAATAACTCGAGGACAAGGTGTCCGGTGGTACAAAGTGATGTGATTATGGTTTAATAGTGAAGCCATGGTTAGACGCAATGATGAAGTATGAATTTGTAATAAGGTGTGAGATAGCGATTCATGTTATTGGACATAACGGTGAGAAAGGAGCTTATGTGGTGATTGATGTGGTTTGGAAGTCAAATATTAATGGTTTGGACTATGACAATGACAATTCATGTTTACATGATACTTGAAGAGTAGTTATGAATGATTTTTTTAATTATATTTAACTTTGTATAATGATATTGTTTGAATTGTATTTAAAGATAATGCAAAATTGTTTCTTAATGTCTTTTTTTTAAGTTAGTTCTCTTTGGTAAAATTAGTTAAAAAGATTGTAAATAAATTAACTAAAAGCTTATAACTTTACAAATAGCAGATTGAATTAGAGATATTTAATAAAGCTAGTTGAAATATATTAAAATACTAAAAGGGATATATATAATATTATATTAATATAATATTATAATTAAATGAGAAGAGAGAGATTTAAATTTATACTAATGTATAATTTATTTAAAAAAATAAGAGTAAACATAAGATAAAATTGCTAGTAAATATAAGCTGAATTTTCCTTCAACAAACTTTTCAAAAACTAGCTTTTAAAAGCTTTAAGCTCCTTTTATTTTCTTGTTACCAGATAATTTTACTAGCTTATTTTGTTTTTTGAAAAATTTACATGCTCTTAAATTATGTAAATTTATATTACCAAACACAACTTAGTGTTCATGATGGCATCTAAGGTTATATCATCCTAAATGTGGTGCATTAGCATCAGCATCAGCACACCATTTACATCAGCAGCAAAATAAAGTTTTTTTAGTAAATATTTAAATTAATCTTTTTAGGATTATATGGATGATAGATCTTAGTTTTAAAATTTAAAAGCCTATTGTTTATCCATGATTTTTATAGTAATTCATTTATTTATTTTTTTACTGTGGTTCATATTTAAAAAAAATTAAAGTAAAAAACATTTTATAAAATTAGAGATTAATTAAAAAATTAAAATGTTTACTCAATTTCAAGATGCCAAGCAACCTCCACGAACCTTGTCAGTGATGACAAGCAACAATTAGAATGATGACCGCCCCAACATGTTTCACTTTCACATTAGTTCCTAATTGTTTTTTGTTCTAACTGTGTAAGGAACTAAAATTGAAAATAGGAAAACATTTTGGGACTAAATGATAATCACTTTGAAATTATAGAAATTTCCGGAAACTTATTATGGAAAATTAATTTCATTGACTTACAGGTACATCACTTTTTTTTTTAGTTACAAAAATATTCTTTTTTTTTTTCATTTTTACTATTGTTATAAAAAAATTTGCAAAATAAAAAAAAAATAAAGTACTATTTTTATAATTAAAAGTAAGAACAAAAATTTCTTAAACTAAATACTAACTTCCTCCGTGTTCACTAATTTCTTTGTGCAATTAACTTTTGTCAACAATTTTAAAAAAATAGTTCATACAACACTTTTTTTTTTATCACATTCTTAGTTATAATTAAAATTTATTAAAAATTACAAAAAATATATAAGACCTACTCAAATTTAATGTCTTTTTTATAGTTTTATAATTTTTAATAAATTTTAACTAATAACTTAAAATGAAATAAAAGAGTAAGAAAATGTTTCTAACATTTCTCATCGTATTTTTTTTTCTTGCATTAATTTTTCCTAGCTAATCATGATTGATTTTACAAACCTTTATTGGTGATGAGATCACATAATTTTACCTTGGTTTCATATCAATAACAAACAAATCTGGGTTTTGATGCTGAAAGGATGAAGCATGCTCTCAAACCCAACAGAATCTAACACGTTGTCTAACCGGGCTTAGATCATTCAGTGATTATGTTAATTAATTCTAACAACTCATCACACTAGGGTGATTATTTTCTTGAACTCTTCCAGTAACCTTCAAAATGGTATTGAAGTTGGTTCCATACATACGAGTAACAATGATGCTAAATAACAATGTACCGAGACAGTCATAGGAATTGTAGCATGATGCAATCATTTCTACACTGAACAGATGTCATATACTCATCATCCCGAGGTGGTTATAAATATTAGATTAAGTCTAAAGAAACTTGCACCGAGTTGATGCAAATATTTCAATATTACATCTAATAACCGGGTATAAACTATGACCCTTATAAAATACAAGTATAACACTCCTTATCCAAAAGGGATTATAAAGTAATCAACAAATAAAAATGGCTCAGGAGTGATGCCAAAAACAGTGTTACTAGCTTTCAATGCCCATTAACAGTAAGACCATTTAGTGAGTTGGTGAAGCCATTCTGATTTTCCAATTTGTGGAATTCAGATTCAATGGTTTTGGCTATTTTGGTATCATCTGGGTCTGGCTCTGGTATGTCTACATAGAAGGAGCCTTGTCTGATTGGCGGTGATATTGACTCCATTATAATAGCTTGCTGCTTGACGTAATTGTAGAGTTGTTGATGGAAGACATGATTGAAGGAGAAACAATTTTCAGTGCTTCCTGTTGCATTATGTTTGGATGACTTGGAATCTTCTTTTCTGCAGAAGTGTGGGAGGGATGCATAGTCCATTACCTATTATTATGCACAAGTTTTAAAAGAACTATTCAGTATGTCAAAAGTCTTGGTAGTTTGAACAAATCTAAGAAGAAAGGACAAATTTGATTCAGTTATGTTACGTTTTATGTCTTGATGAAATTCAAACACCACCATGAGAGAGAGAGAAGGAGAGAGATAAGATTCTTAATGACAAGAATAATTATAAAGAGGATGAAGATATACCACATCCTCCACAATGCAGAGGTAGGATATCATGCAGATCTTGTAAAATTTTACCGTTTCTAACCAGTTATAAAGGAAATATGTAAAATCATATTTCATATGAAAAATTAAATAATAGCATCATTAGAATAGTAATTTGACAGCATTGAGATGGAAAATAGAAAATAAAATCCAAAAGCATGATGATGCTTCTATCAGCACCAAACGACACAGTAGGTACTCGAAGATAATGTTATGTTTACCTTCAGTAATTCCTCCTTCCCACAACCTTGCAGCACCTGGATTTTCCTCCTTGTTCTTTCTTGCAAGAGAGGCTTTACAACCTTCCAATTATTATTGAAGTAAAAAGATTTCAGATGTTAATATTTGGATTTTGAATTGTTTATGAAATTAAGGATAAAAGTGAAGCAATCCAGACTCTTCAAACGCAAAAGTATGCACAAACCTTCCAACATGCTGAGAATACATATGGTGCATTAACAATATAGTATGTGTCTGTCTTTTCTGGGTAGTTCAAGTCATCTATTGTAGCTATAGCAGTCAACAACTGCAGAAGGTGATAAAACAGAAATTGTCAACTATAAAAGCATCAAGCAGATGGAAGGAGTGAGATTTGAGAAACCTCAACTGCACTTCAATTGCAACGGCAACTACAATATATGACAAAATAGTACAAGACAATGGACTTTCAATGTTTAAACTGTGAAGCTAAAAGGGAGAAGGGAAAAAATACATTCTTCCTAAATTACAGGCATACCCTCAATTGGTTCAGTGCTGAAAATTTTAAACCAGTCATATCCAAGACTTTCACACAGGTGCCAATATATCGTCCATGCTTCTTCGTAGCTGTTGGCTAAAATAAAATTTTCAAATAAGTAGATAAGTCATCTAAACTTATAAGAATAACTAAACAGCTCAAGGTACTCACCAAGATCACCCGATCCCTATATTCATTCATTTGGATGTATGACTGTATATAGTATTTGTCCTGAAAACAACCAACAATTTTATATGGATAACTGCTTTGAATTTAGATGCAACATTTGAAGAATGTAAGTAGACAACAAACAAGAATTGAACAACAGAAGCACTCATGTAGGATCAAGCAATTATTAATGTCTAATGCAGAATCCTTGTAATATGTTAAAGTTTCTAACATATTGAAAAGCCCCTAACAAGGAAAGCAAAATAGACTTCCACTCTGCAGCATATGTATTGTATTGTAAAGGTATAATGAAAACAGAAGGTACATGATCCTTACAGATGCTTTGTCATATGTACTGAGCCCAACACCAACAGCAATGACCGGTAGACCCTGGCATAATTCAGCCAAAAATGAAAGAAATTATGCATCACTTATAGATAGAAGCACTTCAGATTATTCAAAAAGATGCCATTTCTCATTTCTTATAATAATAAGACATGTAGGGTGAAGGCAGGGAAGAACCATGAGGAAGGATGAATATAAAGCTTAAAATTCATATCAGTGATAAAAAAACTTTTATAACTTAAACATGAGTACCTCCTTTGAGTAACCAGACATTCCTATGAGTTGAGAATCTCGCACAGCTCTGTACAAATCCGCAGGGATAGGCTTCTGTTATACAAAAAGATTAAACACAACAACGCAGCACCATTATGATCCAAATGAGAAATAAACATTTATTCTATGATAAAAGTGTGATGGACAGATATGACTACGATTATGTCCAGTGACCATGTGAATTTCATATGTATAGTGGTTTTACCCAAACTTCCACACCCAAAATGATACAGTTTCTGTAGTTTTAACACCAACATGCGTCAGTTTGTCAAAAGTATAAACATTTTGAACTAATAAATGTTTTAAACTGATGGGGTTGACAGTTGAATTTGATCCATCTAAAAAATAGATGAATTAAAAGTTACTCATTCATGACAAAAAGGAATTAAATTATAAGTTTACAAGGTTTAGTACCAATATTAAAGGCTATGTACACGCTTCATTGAACAAATTTGATCTTAGAACCAACTTATGGCTCTTGTACTGTCAATATCAGACTATTAACATGTGTAAGAGATTGGCGTTTAGAGGAAGGGAGAGTGTGACAACTTTGAAGGTTTAAGCTTCAGCTGTATTAAATGTTGAACTTTTCATTAAATACTTTCCAATTTTTATTGCTTAACAAATCTCTTTATGGTACTAGTTAGCAAACCCACTAAATAAACAAAATACACACACAAACATTCGTTTAGGAATGTTCCAAAATCATCAGATATCTTCAGCTATTTCTCTTAATAAATATAAATATCTTCAGATTGAGCTCTTCATCTATATTTTTCATCTAAATAGTGTAACTCTCCCATTGTTTATATTACAGCTAGATTTAAATAAATGGTAAATGAGGTTTTGTGAGACATTTGAGCTTCCCTAAATCTTAGATGCGAGATATTTTAGAAACCTGAGATGGCAGAATGAATTCAGCAAAGAAGTCTTATGATATGATGACCATAAAAAAGATATTCAGAAACTAACTGCATAATGAAGTAACTCACCGCTAAAATATTGTCAATCTCATTCTCCACTCTCCACTTCAAAGACTCAATTAACTGTAACAAAATAAATAGTTAGTAAAGTATATACATCCAAAGAGGAAAGATCAAGACTAAAATGTAATGCTAAGAGTGAACAAGGCAAAAATTCCAACTAAAAGGCTTTACTAAACAGAATAAATAGATCTAACTAACCATCTTATGGGCTTTGGAAACATTCCAGTCCCTTGCTCTGAGAAACCGTATCAATGTTTCAGTTGGATAACCCTGGTGCACATTCTGAAATATAAAGAGAAAGCTTTCAGGAAAAGTTATTTACTCTCCCTAGTTAGGACAAAATCACATAACCATGGTAGGCAAATAGTACAAAAAATGTAGCTATTAAATAAATAAGATGAGAAAACATTAATCTTTATATTGGTGCATAATCACCAAATTCACTTAGATTGTCTTCAAGACCCTTCCACAAACATGAAAAGACCAACTGTACTGAGTCTTAACTTCAATCCTTTGGACACCCTTTACAATCTAATGCTAACGCATAAAATTTCTTAGTAACTGGGAGGCACCATTGATCCAGATCAATTAGGCAATAGGCAACAAAATTTAATTTTTGGCCTTCAAAATTATTTAATTTTTTTCTTAATCTAAGATGGAAAAAAAATGTTTTTTTTTTTCCTTTTTATCAAATCAGATTGCAGATCACCAATCACTACTACCATCCTTTTTTTTTTCTTTAGTTTCTCAACCCCCAAGATCAAGCAAAAACAAAGAACATTAAAAGCCAAACCTGGAATGTGTTCTTCTGTTGCTCATCCACTACAAGACACAGAAAGAGAAAAAAAAAAAAAAAAAGAACCTTTGTGAGTGATCACCGTAGATCATAGAAGAACAAAAGAATGCAAACATGTGATGCACACCATTTTCCATAAGGGACTGCAACTGCTTAATTGCCTCTTGATTTCCAACACCCATCTTCTTGTTCAGCTCTCAGACAACTCGAGACTGAAAAAAGCAAAATTCAGAAGCCAAAGTAGCTGAGAAATTTGCAGGGAAAATCTGAACCTGGGTTTTGAAATTCAGATCCTTTAAAGTACCCCAAGAAGCTAATGTTCACAAAAACTTGAACTGATTTGGAAATAGCAACTGAGAGACAGAAAAAGAGGGGTATGCGGAAGGAGAAGGAGCAAACCCTTACAAAATTATATCTTTGGCTCTGTGAAAGCATCAAAACATGGACTTGGAAGTGATTTTGTACTATGTTGCAGCTTCCTATGTAGGAAAGAAAATTGAGTGGTCAACATAACCAAGAAAAAAGTGGGAAACTGTTAAAAACAAATAACCAACAACGGATGATGAGGAGATTTTTTAATTTATATATTACTGTATAAATAAAAGAGCAGGAGACTTTTAAATGCTTGCCAAAAATGGTTACCAACATTGTCCAATTAACTTTTTTTAGCATAAATTTCAAAGCTCGAACTTATATCTATGTCTTTAAGGAGTTTAAATTTTTAATTTAGATCGATACATGTTTATAAAAATAAAATTAAGACTTTTTTTTAATTTATATATTATTATTATTATTGACTTTTCTAAATTGGTAACACAAACATCCTTTTATTTTATTAATCGAAAGAATTACTTATAAAATAAATATTAAATCAACTTGGAATAAATTATTTTAATTTATTTAATAATTTTTAATTTGAATATTGAAGACAACTATAAAAAAAATATTTTTGATTTTAAAAAAGTTTATTATTTTTATTATAGAAGGCACAAGAAAAACAACACACGTGTTTCTCTCCGAGTAGCTTTTGTTAACTCATCGTCATTGGCACAAAATTTAATACCGAAAAATTAGCTAAACTTGTTCAAAAATATGATAAATTCTAAAAAAAAAGTTATGTAAATAAATAAATATTAAATTATAAAATTACATATTTATAAATATTTATTTTTTAAAAAATGATAAATTATTAATATAAGCATATAATCTTATTTAGCAGTAAAATTGAGAAAATTTAATTTTTATAGTAAATTATTAAGAGAAACAATATATATATATATATATATATATATATATATTAAATAACTCACACTAAATGGTTATTAAACATAAAAATTAAAAAAAGAAATTGTTGGTGATGAAAGAAAAGCAATGTGGATGGAAGTGGGAAAGAAAAGGAGCTTTCACATTGATGAATGATGATCTGAGGTAGCAATTGCTATTAAACATATCCATCTGTGGCCAACACTCTTCCACCCATCTCTCAATAAAACTTCAAATGTCAAATTTCATCAATAGCCCCACCAACAAATCTCAATACATCTGTTATTCTAACCATGCATTTTACAAAACTCTATCATATTTTCATTATTTTGTTACAGTGAATTATATCTTTGGTTGTTTTTTTTTTCATTACTGCATTTTTTCCAGCTCCAATTCTCTATCTCTCCCTCTTTTCTTCTCTATTTCTCTTCATAACCAAAAAGAGTGTAAGATAATAAGTGGGTGTTGAGGACCCCATCATTAATTAAAATATGTAAAGTAGTGAACATAATCCTAAGTGTCCCCTTAAGTGGTTGGTTAAATTGTAAGATATGAACTTTTACTATGCAAATTTTCTATCATACATTTCACTTCTTTCTTATCTTATAATTCTTTTTTCCTGTTCTCTTCTATAAGGCTCACTATGGTTCTCCCCTAGAAAAATATAACTCAGATTATTTGTTTATGTAAATAATTTCCCTCTTCACCAATTTCTTTTATCGTTGAATCAATTTGAATATGATAAATTATATACACATTTTAAAAATAACATATGCATCATTTTTTATAATTAGTAGTTTATTTCATTAACACAAATTTTACTATTAAAAATTAATTTAACGTCAAGCTGTTAATGCATGATTTAAAAAAAAATATAGTGTGTTTGAAAACTAAATTAGATAGTGGTTGAGAGAATATGTGCAATATTTTAGGGGTAAATCTTGAGGAATAATACTAAAGGTTTTGTTTTCTTTTATATTATGAACAAACGATGGTGTTTTATATTCTATATTCTAAAGCAAGAATAATTAATAGAACTCTCGTGTGAATTGCAGATCATGTCCTTAAAATATATTGGAAGAGATCAACCTCACTTTCACGGATATCATGCATAAATATTTACATGAAAAACTTTCACCGAATTTTTAAAAAAATTGCATGATGCAGAAATAATATAAGTCTAAGGGCTAATATGTGTTGAAATTAAATATTAAATTTAGATATTTATATTATTTGATATTTTTTTGGAATTTATATTTATCAATTTAACGATTATATTATTAATACTATTTTTACAATTATATGTATAAAATTTTACATATTTTTTTGACACTGAAGTGAATTCAAAGCATCAGGATTAAATATATAAAAGAAATTTTTTTAAAAGTAATCAATAATCCCACTTTGAATTTAATGAAAGTAAAATTTTTAAATTAGTTTCATGAAATTTATTTTTTAAATAAATTTAAAAAAAATTAAAAAATTGAAATAAAAATGTATCAACAAAACAATATAAAAGAAGAGCAAGAAAAGATTTATAAAACAAAAGGAGGATCAGGAGTGAGAAATATTTTTACTTATTATTTCGAGAATAAAAAGTTATTATATTTAACATTATATATATGCGAACATGTAACATTATATTTAGATAGGTACATTGTGTACGACAGCAAGAATGGTTGACGTTATTTTGTTTTGCAAGAAAGGGATGGGGCGGTGCCACGGTAGAATGTCAGAGTGACACAGAATTTTTTATGCCAAATACGAAACTTCAATTAACTAAAAGGCTTTGAAAGTTGAAACAGTCAAATCGATTAATCTGGAAATTATTAGCTTCTACCAGAACATCACTTTGATTAACATTCAACATGTAGATGCAGGCAATAAGTTGAACTTTCCTCTCTTAATTTAACTTCTAATCAAACTTTTCTTTCTGATTTGTACCCAAAAAGTAATAATAATCTTGTGCTAATAATTTTATTTAAAAAAAAGGTATAAATTTTCAGCACCATAATATATAACAACTTTTTTGTGCATCTATTTTATCATAAATAAAACTATTTTCATTTTCCTCATGGAATTAGTAACTTAGCCAAGACTTCGACAAATCAATATTTTCTTGAATTTCTCCCCAAAATTTAGAAGGAAAAAAAAAATAGTGCGCGCCACTCTCCCATGTGTTTCATCTTTGTAACTTTTCCACTTTGTTGTTCTGATTAATTTTAAGTGTAATAGCTTTCACATGCTTAGAGATCATGTGGTATCACATGTATGTCATCAGATAAACAATATTCTAAGCACCTCAAAGTTCAGAATTCTTGTCCCCATCTTGTGATTATTGGCATATAGTATCAAAGCATCGGTGATTAGTCAATTATGAAGCATTTAAATCTTTTAATAAAGATAAGGGACTAATTGCTAGATTGATCAAGTTTCAATTGTTTAGGAAAATATTACATTTCCTTTTTGTTAAGAATATTAAAGCCATCCAGTTGTAGTATAATCTCAATGCACTATTTGAGGCCAAATTCTAAGTCACATTTCCCACTAGATATTATGCTAAAAGAAACACATGCGTTTGAAAGTTGATATCTATGAGCCATAAAGAAATCTCATCTCTTATGTAATTTTACGATTTGGTTTCTTTTCTGTGTTTCTTTTGAGTACCTTTCCCTTTGTTAATCCTATAGAAATCAGAAGTTTAGCAGTTGTTTTCAGAATCTTTGAAAATATCAGAAGAATCAGATGAACAAATTAAAGTTAAAGACACAATATTACTTTTATCTATTATGAACAAGAAAAAAGAAACTTAATACTTACTTTGCATTAGATATATATGTCAATCTTTGTCTTTGTTTAAAGTTTCTTAATGGCCAATAAAATAGAAATATAAATTAAGACAAGAAGGAATTAGGAAAGAACATAGAAACATGGCAAAAGGGAAGAAAGAGATAGATAATGCCAAAGTGGCACACTAGTCACAGAATTGTAAGCTTTTCCACGTGTAAGATGCTCTAATAATGCAGAATTACATTGGTCACAAATTTGTAAAAAAGGGAGAATCATGCCATTTAATATTAAAAGGTGGCAATGTGGTATGCCTGCATGAAGAATGACAAAAGCTATGTTGTTTCTGTATGATATTGATTCATGACAGATTGGATTGGGAAAATTACATGGAACTAATTTAGTCCTTCAAAAATTGAGAGCCACTTCAATTTAGCTTTTTTAGATAAGTTAGCATTAATATATTTTTCTTATCAATAAAAATGACATCAATTCAATTCTCTAATTACTGAAAAAAAAGGGAACATTAATTTAGTCTTTCAATAGGACAAAACAGCATATAGTAATCCAACTTCTGGTTTGTGCATAAAAATGATTATCTTAATGTTATTTTCATATTAAGGAACTAAATTAATGTTACATATTTATCAGGATTAAAATGATATTAACTTATCTAATCATGACAAAATAAATATTTATTCTATCATCGTCTATGTATCCATATAAACGCTGTACTTTATATTACAGTATCAAGGTCTGATAACATTTTTTATGGAACAAAATTCTTAATTGATCCTGGTCTGCACTATTTGTGGTTGAGTAATATTTGAGTTTATCTTATGTATGTTGACTTGTGGAAGTCGTATAAATATTAAGTTGTGTAGTATAATAATCATTTTGTTGTAAGACCATGTAAAACTTATGTTTCTGATTTAAGTGATTATCTCTTGACCGGAAAAAAAAAAACACAATTAATATGCTAAACTTATAGCATGATTAGTAAGTTTTAATTTTGATAAAATGCTTTTTTAAGCAATTATTTCTAAAATAAAAGAAATCAAATACACACTAATACTGATAAATCACATTAGAAATTATTTTCTTTCCATGATTAACAAAAAGAATGAACAAAAGATGTTTTCATATGACTTCACTTTGGACTGCCCTTCAAACATTTCACTTCAGACTTCACTTTCCTCCAAACATATCCACATATAATGACATAATAAATCCAACTCTTCATATTATCGCACGCATGTGGTTTTACCCAAAAAAAAAAAATTGATGAGGAAAAGCCAAATAAATAAATGAACACAATTAATCTTACAGATTTTATTTTATTTTATTTTATTGCATAAAAACTAATCTTGCATTTAAATCCTTACTTCGGCAAGTTGAACAACACAACTTTTATACATAATGCAAGTCCAAAAGCTATTGTTGTGGAACAAAAAGTTTTGCTGCCTCTACATGTAAAGCACAAACCGACATTGATTTGATAGTCCATCATTCATAGTTCTGTACAATGGCAAAGCATGCTAAAATGTTAGGATGTAGTCAAAATCAAGATTCTACATATGATCGGAAAGAGGATGAAAGACTCATAGGATCGTAACACGAATTCATAAAATCTTACAAATGAGGGAAGGTAGTAACCCTAAATTCAAACCAGAGACAGGAACATACTAAAAACAAAGAGAGAAAAGAGGAGAAGGAAAAGATGGATCAAGGATGGAAAGACTATTTTATCCCCTAAAAAAGACTTCAAACAAAGTCATTTTAAGGGTCAAAAGGAAAAGTCAGTATATTTTTAAAAACTAAGAAGTTTTTTTTACCCTTAAAAAATTCTAAAATTTGCTTCATTTTGAGGATAGAAAGGGAAAGTTGACCACTTATACTCCAACAGCACTGTTGCATTGCAAATGAGACTACGATAGCTGCAAATATAGATTAAATGGTCACCACAACAAAATGCTCTGCTTTGACAAGGTCGTCGGTACAAATAAGGTCATTGAGAGCAAAGGCTATAGAAATCGCAGAACAGAGGAACGAAGTCACAAATTAGAGGAGAGGTTTAGGGATCGCAAAACAAAATCAATTTTAGGGTTTCAAGCAAACTGAATCACAAAGTGGGTCACTAGTCATTAGGTTAAAAATTGGGTTTAAAACAAGAGGAGGATCATCAGATCTTACCGGTTTTATGTTCGAGCACGGCGATCTCACTCAATCTTGCTAAATCACAATTCTGACACCGAGCTGGCACGTAAAGGGGTTGGAGATCGTAAAATACCGGCATGCGATTTTGACTACCATTAGATCAATTGGACTGGCTTTTGTTCATTGAATGTCAGCAACAAATGGGGACATGAGAGACTTTTAACGTAAAATAAAAGTTCCATTTCCAATAAAAGGGAAATGCTAATTGCTATATGGACAAGTTGGGGAATAGTAAGTAGAAATATTCAAGTGCTGTTAGGAGCAAACGAATTGTATTTGCTCTACAAAATTCAATCTCAGTTGGGGGTCTGCAAAGCGTCAATCCCATCCTCTTTTATAAAACCAATTATAATATCTACCAGATTTGGACAAAAAAATCATGGCAATGTAGACATGCACAGCTTAGCTATGAGTAAGGAAAGAACTTCTATATTGTAGATAAAAATTTGTCCTCAGAAAATAAAATGGAATAATAACAGAACTGATCATGGACAACATTTTTCTTCATTTCATTGATTTTAAGACAGCAAAAAGAAGAATCAAGAAAGCTCAGTAATCACACGTTCACATTTATCTTCCAGAATCTTCACAGCTTCCGTAAACAGCACTTCAGGGGATAATGCTCCAGTTGATTCAATAGTAACTAGACAAACAGGTCAAAAGAAATAAATGAAAGATCTTTCTGGAAATTTTAAACATTAATCCTTGTCAGAAATATTGTCAATCCCAAATTTGCACAAAATTTAGTTGGAAGAAAAACACATGTTCATACGCCTAAAAGTTCATAAACTTAAGATGACATCATTTTTATTATGCTCATAAGCTTAGAAATTCTAATCCTATGAATTCAATATGCCATGTAATACTTACATATGAAGTGATCTTTAACTCGGCGTAACGATACCCGATCTTCCCATTCTTTGCCCCCTCTGATACATTCCCTACACAAAGTGCACTTCCGTGGTTCGGCTACCCGTGCTCTTCTTCTACCTACTCAACGCCACATCAGCAAGTTAAAAAGTACCAAAGAAATAGGAATTGAGAGCACAGGTTATCGATCATTAGCAATAACATAAGAGCAACACAATGCAGGCACTGATTCAAAACCAATGGCACTTGTTGAACATAATAATTCTTTGCCATCACAGGACACAACATAAAGATATAAAAATAATTGATACCAGGAGCACTGACACAAGCTGAACTACCTTTTCCAATGTCTTCAATATCAAACACTTTAACTGGACATTTTTTTGTTAATTCCTCAGCCAGCTCATCTTCAACATCTTCCAAGAGTATAACCTAGAGAAGAAAAACAAAGTTTACATATGCAAGGTTTTTGCAAATTTTTGGCAGCAAGTGAATGTAACCAGTAGACAAGATATATATATTATATTCGCTTACCTCTGGAAGCATTCGATACCAAGCAGTGGCAACTGGGGACCACTTTGCATGTGTCTTACCAATGCCTTTAACTGCATGCGCTTCAAGTTCAATTTCCTACAATAGTATGTGTTTATGATACTCAGTAATAAGTATGACTTCCAGTCTATGATCAAGAGAGAGGAGAAAAAGCAGTTGGCTGGAACCATGAGCATTTAAATAAACGTTGAAGTAGAATCAGGGTGGAAAGAGAACATCACAAGGACACTACAATAAAAATGCCTAATTTTAATGAGTGTTCCAATTTATCACTTGTAATTAAACAACTCATCTGGCATGAAATAGGTTAGCTAGGAGAAAGTACCCAAGAAAAACTTAATTGATCCCTCTCTAGACACTAAGCCATAAACTGTGTCTGAGCGATGACACTTGATTTAGAGAATAACGTTTTACCTGACCAGGTCCAAGTTTAGCTAATATAATATCAAGATCTGTAGGACGAAGTGGATCGCTGGAAAATTCAGGAAGTGAGTCTTGGCTGCAAGTAAAAGATGTAAATGTTTTTGGTTTTGAACCTGCATTTGGTTTCGCATCTTCACAGAGAAGCTCACTCCCATTAGGCAACCACTTTAGTTTATCTGATTTCACTGCATTATATCATAATATCATCAGAGAAGAAATATTGTTAAAGGGTTGAGTATGAAGTTAAACAACTGAATAAGAAATTAAAAGCAACATAAGTTTATCAAGCAAGAGCTTCAAGTCATTTACCAGTAATTCGAGGATGACCCCTTTGACAACGAACATGTAGCTTGAAGACAATGGTGTTCTTTTCATTCTTGTCACCCCCTGCATTTTCTATTCAAAAGAAAAAAGAAAGACAAAAATAAAAAACATTCAACCCTGTGCCCCTGCCATATAAGGGGTGTCCACTGAAAAATGGATATAATATTTGAATATTTCCACTTTTCAAGTTATTATACAAGAAAGTCTTTGGTTAGTGTTCATATATACCTGGATATTCAAATAGCCTGGGATCAGCACGGATTGGAATGAGACCCAATCTATGGGCAAGAACTTCATCTTGTATAACTGATGTATTATTGGCAATATATACTCTTTCAATAGCCATTGTTGGAACCTAATTTATGACAACCATATCAAAATTTGATTATCTCCACCAGTACTACAGTACTATTAATAACCTAATCAAAGTATTGTACAAAGGGCAATGCATAAAAACAAAAATAAAACTAATGTCTGATGTTAATAGACATACATAACTGGAGTATTTTTAGGTGGCAGGCTTGCTGAAACAGTCCATAAAAGAAATTTACATTCAACAAAAACAACAGAGAAAGTGAATTAACCCCCCCCCCCCCCCTCTCTTTCTCTCATTTAGTGTGTCCCCTATGGCTCTTCACAAATTTAAAGAAAAATTTATTCTGGTAGACGGCACCACATTTTCTAATTTATATTAATTATATCCATAAGTATCCTAATGTAAGTTGCCTGAATATGAAAGAAAACTTTTTGGTGAATAATCAAATTCACAAGTTGTTGGCATATGAAAGAAAAATTGCAATTTAACAAATGCATCATACAATTTTATCGCAGGAATAAAGATTATATGAAACTTTTATGAAGGATTGTCATATTGCATTTTTATCCAGGGCAGATGGAAAACAAGACAAAAGTATTATATGACAATATTTTGCAAACAAGATAAATTAACTTGGTAAATACCATGACATAATACATTGTAAAACACACGAATTACATATTAAATCATCTCGGAATGTGGTAAAGTATGTGTTAGGCACTTAGGTGGTTAAACTATCAACAAAAAATCCATAAAGGTTGAATTATTTCCACTGCAAAAAAATGCCAAAATTCACAGGTTATCCTACAGCTAGCACACCAAATAATAAGTTGGAGGCTTCATTTTCTATTCTTAAATACTTAATACAAATGTAAATTAAGAAAAAAAACTGTTTTGAGATTATGGTGAAGCATAAATACATCACCTCTGCTATAAGGATTCTCCGAAATGCATTAGCAATTGCTGGATCAATACCAATCATATCAAACTCAAGGAAATCATCCTTCAACTCCTTCACTTCGACCTTGAAGTTCTGACTGAAATTATCCAACTGCAGACTATTATCAACTCCCAAAGCTGCATATGCACCAGAATATTGTATCGTATCTGTCTACAAATATCAACACAGAAAACTGTTAATAACAAAAAACCAATTCCTATCAGTAACAAAAACACAAAAATTTAGAAACAGTGAATATTTCAGCAATTTCTTCAGAAAAAAAAAACTCAGAAAAAATGAATAGAGGAACAGGAAATCAAAAGTTGGATTGCCACCAAAAGTTATGCTTTCTTTTTCCTTAAAATACACAATACGCAATATTCTAAAATACAAAACTAGTGTGATACTTCATATCTAACTTTTATGCTTCGACCTCCCCAATTGAAAATTTAGAAACATTTTTCAATTGGGTATTCAAAAAACGAAAATTTCAATCAAAAAAGAGATAAAAAAAATGAAGTAGTGGGAAAAGGGGTAAAATTTAAAGACTAAAAAACATGAAGGGAAATAGGAGTTACATGCTGAGGAGCATCACTGTTGCAAAGAACACGTGTCCTGAGAAGTTCGAGGTGTGGAGGAAGCTTAGATGGAACACTCTCCAAGCTCATAATGTAATCAAGTCCTCCTCCACCACTCTGTTCTTGCTCTTGTTCTTCAAACTCCGACATTGATTCATCTTCCTCTGACATCTTTGTTTCTCTATCTCTCTCTCTTAGCTTCCCTTTGGATTAGCGATTCGTTTATGAAGAATGGAGAAAGCAGTAACAAGAAGCACAAACCTCCGGCGAGAAAGAGTTGAGAAAGCGATAACGATGGAAGGTAGGGTTCTTCTGGGTGTATAAGCAGAAACAATGAGGGGTTTAGGGTTTACGGGGTCAATGATTCATGACGAAAATTAAAACGGTGTCGTTTCTCCAAGCTAATTATTTTTTCCGTCAATTCAATATTTTTTTTACCATTAATGCTTTTGGTTATTTAATATTTTCAATGTTTTATAAGATACACGACCTTAAAATTTCATGGGTTTACCAACGTCATTCAAAAGCCTTAAGATAATTAGATAATTGAAAAATGTAAACATAAAAAAAGAAAACATTTGGAGTCTGTTTTTCGAAATCTACGAAAAATAGTTTCTAAAACAAACAATTTTGCAGCTTGAAAGCACCATTTTAAAACTTGTTTAAACATACCCATATCTGATATAAATTTAATGCTTTTTCATTAGGTTTTCTTACGAAAAAATGTCGTATTAAGATACTTAAATAATTTGTAAGAAAATGAATGAAAACACAAAAAAAAAAAAGAGGTTTGATGTTTCTTTAAAGAAGTTACAACGAATAATAGCAATTTAAAAAAAAACATTATTAATGAAATATAAAAATATCTTCGCTCTTGCATAAAATGTAAATAAAATTCAATTTTATATTATGTTTAAAGAAATATATAATAAAATGTTTTGATTATTAATTTAATAAAAAAATTATATATTGTAGTAAAATTTTTAATTTTATATATAATAAATAGTATTCTATATTGAATATTATAATTATAATACAATATTATATTTAGTGCTTGTATTTTTATGCATGATAATTAAATGAATATATTATAATTGAAGAGAGAAAAAAGTATGAAGTGGACAAAATAGTGATTAAAATTGAGATTCAATTTTACAAATTGAACATAGAAGCATGTATTTTAGATATAGATAGATTAAAAAAAAATGTTTGGCTCTTGAAATATAAATAGGTAAGTCACCTTATAATTGTATAGATTTAAGTTCAAATATTATTACCATTTCAACATTTTGGTGAGAGTCGAAGCTAGCTTTGCAAGGCTCCACACTATTTTTTTTTTCTTTTTGAGAATTTTACTTTCTTTTCCAAAAGAGTGCAATCTTTTTCTTTTAAAATCTAACGATTACAAAACACTCATTTATCATTTCAAGAAATTGCGATCAAATAACAATATTATTGATGCTGGTGTATATTTTACTCATATATATGTAATTTATGTCTTCATCAATAATTTATTGATAAATTTCAAACGTCTTTCTTCGAATGTATTTGATGTAAAGTTCACTTCAAAACGTTCATTTATTAAGTATAACTCCAACAATGTGCAATTTATGCTCTTCTGTCATGAAAATTGACTGTTAGCTAAAAAATAGATGAATATAAAAAAAATAATGACATTTTAAGCTGAACGATACAACTAAAACATGTCAAAACTCAATATATATATATATATATAAAATAAACACTTCAAAGGACTATGCCTAAAGAGAAATATCGCCGCACCCTCTCTAAATAAGATAAAGAACCCTTTGGTGATTATTTGATCCAATGCTCTAAGCCTCGAATTTTAATATCACATATATAAGACGCCTTCAAACATTAAATCTGCTTTTTCAATGAAACATTCTGAAATCGTTAAGTGCCATAGAACATGTCTTTTCGTCCACCCTTCTAAATCGTAGCAGAAGTAGTAGGATAAAATATAAATTGTTCATTACGTTGATTTGAAGCAGATTCCAGCACTAGTTATCTATATAGGATATGCGTTATTTTATGACTGAGGTTTTATGGGCCTTTTCACCATCAGTCAATATAGCTAAAGAGATCATTCACAATACATGTCAGAAACTCTCATCTATATTCCAAAATTATATCAAGTCCGTTCTAGCACCTCTAATGATTTCAAAAGGAACATTGAATAAAACGATGTACCAAATAAGATCTCATATCAAAACATAATCGTGAACTTAGCAGTGAAGGTACAAACTTTGGAACCGTGATATCATTTGAAGAAGTGCAATCCTTACAAAGGATATAGCTAACGGGCAGGACAATAAAGATAATAATTAGAAAATATAATCAAATTAATTAATGCCACAAAAGAGAAGGAAAATTGTTTCTAATTTTTACAGCTTTGTAGATGGGAGTTAAAATATACCTTAGCTATATAATCTCTAACAAAACAAAATTGGGCCCTATGATTGGGGCATGCAACTGATGTAAGGATACACACGTTTACGGCAATCATCCCAGCACTCCCATGCTGTTAGAATCTGACTCAATTCTGCTCTAAAACTCCACAGTTTACAACCAACGCTTCTTCTATTGCTACTGCTCTTCAATCATTTTCCGTTCTTTTGCTTACCGCCTTTTCTCTTTTTTTCTCTTAAAGCATTTCTCTTCTCCTCCCTGCAGGAATCACAAAACAATTAGATTTTCATAGGAAGGCTTATACATATCCATTGAGTGCTATGAATTTATTGAAAATAAAGATATCTTGATAATTAGTATGGTCTAAAGGTTTACGTCAAACACAATATTAACCTGGCTTTTGAAATCTCCTCCTTAGATGGAAATTGCCTTTTATTCCTCTTTTTGGGTTCAGACTCAGAAGATTCTTTGCCATTTTCTTTTAGGCCATTACTTGGTTTTGATGAGAGTTTCCTTTTCTTCATCTTTTTGGATTCGGATTCAGAAGATAGATTCCCATTTACTTTGATGCCACTGCTTGATTTATCCTCTTCGTTCACAAGCTTAGTACCTTCTTCATTCTCCAATGTTTCTGATGGGTTTACACTTGGCTTTGAGCTGCTCATTTTTTTCAACTGCAATAGAAGAGAATATAAAAACAATTAAATTTTCAGCTTGCTGCAGTCATTCTCTCCAAATAAAAAATGTTGAATTTTTTTAACTAAGGTTGGACAATTGATAATGGAAACAAAATTGATGATTTCTCTATCGTACTCTCGTAAGTATAATTGAAGTTAAACTCCAACAAAGATTATGATAAGGTTCAAACCATGAATGTAAATTGTTTCTAGTGAGAAGTTTGCAGACTTTTACAATTTTTATCTAATCAAAATTTAATTTAGTAAATTAAACCAGTATCCATAGTACTGCATCACGTTGTCAACATCCAAACCATTCCTACTTCCTAGCAGTTAAAAGACAAACACAACATATATCATTCCACACTGGCCTTCTATATTTGCTAATTATCGAAAATGCATCATCAAATAAATATAAAACTAAACTGCATAACAGAATATTTTATGGGGGAAGGAGTTCTAAAGTTTTTCATGCATAGTAAGTAAATGTGGACATGTAAAACAATTTTTATAAATAAGCATACATACCTTTGCAACAAAAAATCCATCCATATTGTGTACGTGGGGGTAGAAACGCCTTGTCTTTTCTAAAGATGGGTGAAAGCGTTGCTCCCTAAACCGGATAAACCTGATGGAAAGCAAATGTCACAATATACATAATTCCTAATAATCAAAATCAGAGATAGGAGGGAAAAAAAGGAATGTAATTGTTACCCTGGACGACCAAAGTCAAGTCCACAAGGAACCAGTTTAACATCCCGCTTTTTGAGTGCATAATCAATAACTGCTTCATTCTGCAGAGAATTTGATGAATGAACTTTATAAACATAGTTTACTAAAAACAAGGCATGCCAGCAGCTCAATAGATGCAACTCATAAACACACCTCAGCAACCATAATTGAACATGTAGAATAAACAATGTATCCCCCAGATTTGGAATTAGCATCCACCATGTCAATTGCAGCAAGAATGAGCTCCTATAGAAGACAAAGGAAATTATTAAACAAAGAGTAAAGAAAGGACAATAGCAAGATATAAAAAAGTTACATATTATTCAGGTTTAACCGTTTAAGATATGATTTTACTAATAACAAATAGAAATTTTATTGCAAAAAAAGCAGAACAGAAAAATATTGCCATTATTTTAAGGCAGATTAGATAAGATCAATAATTCAGTATTCTAGAATCTAGATCAGTTCAGTTGATTTCAATCATCATAGGTATAGTGGGAAGAAAAAACATCAAACAAAAGAATACAAATACTCATCAATCTTCCAAAATTATATCACAGCTTATTCTGGAGGAGGAAGGAACATAAAGAAAAAATTTAAAAAGTATAGAGCATAAAATAAGATGCATATTACATTCATCACAATCCCAACCTCATTTTGCTCATCTCTATCAAACAAAACCTTCAGTAAATTTTAATTTACCTTCTGTAGATGGGCACATTTCTGTATATCTTCCAAACTTTTAGAGGTTTTAACAGACTCATCTTTGGATATAACCTGCAGACAAATTATTTTCAGCTCTTTTCTTGGCTTGGCTCTACAAGAACAGACACAAGAAATCTCCCTAAAATTAAACCCTAACATTATTCACTATTTCTTACCCCAGTTCCACTGCAAGGGGCATCCAATAATACTCTGTCGACAACATTGACACCTAAAACCCTTGGAAGCTGAAATGGGACAATAGACATTAAACCGATGTTAGCATTTACAGCACATGCAATATCATTATAGGACTTGCACATGACAGTGAGTCAGTGACATGTGAATATCCAAAGTTGAACCAAAATGATCATGGATACATTTACCAAGGATAACTTACAACAAGTACAACAACAACAACAATGAAATGGACAAAATCAATAAACAAGTCTTGCAATCAAAAGAGCAGAGGATAATTTTCTAGCCCTCAATCTATATATTCACAGGCACCCTTGTATTATAAACTTATAATCACTAACACTTTGCATGATGCCAATATTGTCAATACTATCTAGATATAGTGCCATCTTTTTCAGTTGTGTTGTCTCATGTAACAAATCAATCTGTCAATGCCTGAAGCATATACATTAGTTATGTTTCTCTCTAGCATTTCATAATACTAGGTAGGCGCTCTTGTTTTACCATTAAAAAGAACAGGGAAACCGATTCACCAAGCAATTTGTCAAACCCCAAACAAATTATGTAGAACAGAAAAGTGAGATGGATAGTCAATCAGAAATGCTAACCTCCTTTCCATCATAGTTACAGACCACAGTGTTTGATACACCCATACGATGCAAATTCGCAGTTAGTGACTTAAGCCTTGGTACCTTCATTTCATTTGCAAAAACAATTCCTGCAATGAAAAAATATATTATCACTGGATTACTGGAAAAATGAAAAAAACTAGAACAAAAAATCAACAAATACCAAATAAAGAGCAGCAATTTGTTCAATGACTCAAAATCCTGGATCCAGCAGAGTAATAATACCAACCCAAAAAAATGAGAAGGAAAAATTACAGACATAGCAATTCAAGGAGTTAACACCTCATCGTGCTTTTTTTCTAGTGTGGCAATTTCATAAAACTATTTTGTTGGATTAGATTTTGTTGTCCCTGTAAATATTTTAATACAGCCAAATTTAGTTTTAGTCCTCTTTGTTAATTTTAAAACTATTTAAAGTGGTCCATGGCACCAGTTAGTGGTGATCTGGCATGCATCTACCCATGCCACATCAGAGAACATTCTGAGATAACATGTGACCTGGCATGTTTAGTGGATGTGATGTCACCACATTAGTAGTGACAAGTACCACTTCCCAAAATTTTAACTACATTTATAGGAAATAGAAACATTTGATTTTTCTAATTCTAATTTGTGTCCAAAGGCACACAATAAGAACCAATGTATTGTATAATAATTTTTTTATTGAAATAACAATATATCAAAGAATCCAATGCATTGATAACATTAAAAGCTACAATCTCTAATAAAAAAATTCTCTGTATTGATTTCTTATTGTGTGCCCTTAGGCATGCATTAGAAAAAACAAAACATACTTAACCCAAAAATGTTTCATGTAGATGCTGACACTTCTGTTTTGCACATAATATGTAGAGATATAGTATGCTTTTTCATGCAGCAAAAGCATATATAGTAAAGTTTAATCTACAGCTTTGAAACAAAGTTTATGTTAGAACCCAAAGTCAAGATTTGAGTCAAGTTCTGAATCATGTGGAGAATACACCCAAAAAGTGGCTTGTTTACTACAGAAGAAATAAGAAAATAGCAACCAGAATTATTAACGGGGCAGCAAAAAACGTACCAGTATTCTTCATGAGGGCAGCAATGTAAGTTGTTTTACCACCAGGCGCAGCCCTGCAAAAAGCATGGAATTTCTTCATCATGATTGCAAAAGCATTACAAAAATAAAATATGTTCTTCAGTGTAACTCAAACAAATAATTGTTCATTTTAAAAATCTGGAAGATAATAATAAATCTTCTAATTCTAAGCTTCCATGTGTATTGAGAAAATTCATGAACAGAAAGTGTCCTCACTGGGCAACAATAACAGATAATTATATTAAAAAAATTGTTATAAGAGCAGCCTAATAAAAACCAGACTGCCAGAACTTTGTTGTGACTTTTGAATTTACCTTGTCGATATTATTTCCTTAAGCATACATCATTAGCGCCAAATTTCAATAAATTTAATTTGTTTCAAAAGTAAAGTAACACATTAGCCACTATAACTGCACAGTAGTATACTTGCATGAGGTCATTCAAAAGACATGCCAGGTTAAAATACAAGAGAAACACCACAAGGAAGAATACTTCTAGCTACGATCTATTTAAAATAAAGACACTTCTAGGTTCTATCTTAAGGTTTGACCACAAGAAGGATAAAAAGAACAAGGTTGGCATTGCAATAAGCATGAATTGCTACAATTGTTCTAGAATGTCATAATAAAGAACTTAGCAATATACTGCATTATAAAGTGTAAACATTTAAAATAATAATAATTATAAGCATCACACTTTATTTGCTTTGTTTTATAGATATTATGTAAATATACTACAAGCTTGAGCATGGATAACTTTGGTTATTTTTCATCCTCGAGGATCATCATCCAGCATTTGATAATAAAAATTAGATATCTGCATAATAAACCACAACAGAGCAATTGATGCTCTGGAATTTTAAAAGCTTACCAAAGTACACAAAGACTAGACATTCATAATGAATCATTTTTTTTCCTTTTTTGGCTCTATTAGTCTGAGAATATGCAGCAAATGTGTTGCATGTGATAACTATCAATGTATAATTTTAGGAAGGAACTGTAAATTGCCATAGGCACACCACACACCATTAGTTGAGAGTATGGTAAGAAACAGCAGTGATTGGCTCAATCTATTAGTCTGAGAATATGCAGCAAAACTGTTGCATTGGATGTGTGTAATAAATATAAATGATTAATTTTAGGAAGGAACTGTCAATTGCCATAGGCACACCACACACCACTAGCTGAAAGCGCAATAAGGAACTGATGTGATTGGCTCAATCACACTGGGAATATAAGCTCTCAAATATTTGCAAACAAATCTAAGATTAATAATCCATAGAAAATGAATTATACTTACGCCATATCAACAACACGTTCCTTCTCTTGAGGGGCCAAGGCCATCACAGGCAAAAAAGAACTTGCACTTTGAAGCTACAAACAGTTAAAGAACTAGAATTAAGTATAACATGCAATATTAAATGAGAAGCAATGAGAAACCACAATCGTAGAAAATCCACCTACCATGTAGAATCCAGCCATATATTCAGGGGTGGCACCAATTGGCACTTGAGAATCATACACAACAAGTCCAACCTGTGGATAAATAATTTTATCCAAGATCCTAATTAGATTATTGCTAGTATTCATGATATAACTACACAACAAGAAAGAGATATAACATACAAGAAAACTTAGTAATACAAGAATCCTTACCTTTGACCATTTGCTTAATGGATCCAAATTTACTCCTCTATTTATCAAAACATCCGCCAAATCCCGTCTGCGTGTCTGATTGTATGCAGAAGAAGAATTTATAAACTCTATGAGGAACATGGATAAGTCCAAATTAACATATCAACCCAAGATGACAGAAAAGGACAAGCAACCTTCAGTGTGTTAGTCCTCAGACATATAGGACGCGGCTTTTCAAAGGCTTCAATCAGTTCCATAAGTTCAACAACTGGAAACATCTGAGACAAAACAAAAGAGGCATTAGGAAAAATATAAAATAAAAATAATAAATGAACACAAGGGACAAGAGGGAATAGGGAGAAATTAACAAAACATTAGTAACATAATTACTCTAACCTCAACTAAAGCACCAATTAGAAACTCATTGTAGCCATAGTACGAACATATATCTTTTTTAAGCTGTTCAACATAATCCTTCCTCGTTGACCCATCTTGTCTCAAAACCTTAAAATTTGAAAGAACACGAACAACTAGAAAAACAAACACAATCATATCAATTACAACAACTTCTTACTTGACAACCTGAGGATTGTTCATGACAACAGTCAAATATAGTCAACAGCACTTCAAACTTACTCTCTTTAATCCTCCTTTGGAGATTGGGAAGATCAGGTGGGCGCAAAGCCTCGTCATCAAGTTCCTAACAGTAACAAAACAAAGCACCACAGTCAACAGATTTGGTGCACGTTTGGGTCAACAACTTAATAAAGCACTTTTCAAATAAGAGTTGCATAAATGAGCTTAAAAAAGCTTCAAGAAGGATCATAAGCTACTTTCGTAAGCAACAAGAAAGCTCTTCCAAACATCCCCTATGTGCATATGTGAACTAGCTAACTTCAATCAAAATATTTTTGAGAAAAAATTTTGGAAATTAAAAAACAGTTTCTCTATAATTTAAACCAATCCAAACATGTCACAAGGGTCAGAAAAAAAAAAAGGAAACCTGTTTGGTTGGTAGTCTAAACTCATCAGACTCTTCCTTAATGTTGAGCTGTATTTCAGCTTCTGCATCCTCTTCTTCTCTCGCCCTTTCTTCATCAATAGCTCTCGACTTCTCCTCAATATCGTCATCATCCGAATCAGAATCCGAACCCGAACCTGACTCCGAACCTGACGCTTTCTCTGCAAAATAACAGCACAAACATTAAACCGCAGTTGCAACCCCGAACTCAAATGCTACAAAAGCATAACCCACACAGAGAGAGACAGAGAGAAAAGCACCTTCGTCATCGCTTCCTTGGAGGAAATCGTCTACCAATGGATCGTCTCCATCGGAAGATAACTCAGAAGCTGAGTCGTCGCCGAATTCGAGCAGCTGTTGTTGTTGCGGCGCTTCTTCTTCGGATTCGGAGGTAGAATGGTCTTTGAGTTGGGTCTTCTTAGGGTTCTTCGGGGCTTTGAGTGGCTTCGAAGGTTTCTTCCGAGCGGGAGCCATTGAAGGAATGTGTGGCACTTGTGGAGTGTGTTTCGTGTTCTATGCAATTGTATTGTGTGCCTTTCTTTTTTCTCCTGAAAATTTGAAAACGGCTAGGGTTTAAGGTTTACGAGGAAGAATTGCCACGACGTCGTTTTATACTTTTGCAAAAGTAAACTAAAACTAAAACGAGGGTTGGGCAACTGTGTTGTGCCTCTTCCATTTACTGAATGCCTTTTTAATTGCCATATAATATATTGGTTGCTTTAATCCAATTTTTCCCTTCTTACTTGTCTTCAAGAATCCTCTTCATAAAATTTAACTTCATATTAAAATAAAATTTTATAGTTAAGACATGATTTTAATTAATAATTACAATAAAGATGATATATAATGGTGACATCTTAATATTTTACCAAATTTTAACAATTATGGAATAAGTAAGTAAAAACTCCAAATAAAATTATTATCAAAGTAAAAATTTCAATAAATTATATTAATAACGATATATTATCATTTTTTAAGTAACATTGATATAAATCTATAACAATAAATATGATAATGATGAGAACATAAAATGAAAAACTGACAACATAAATTTTAAAAAGTCGTAATTTTTCTTATCTATTTCTTATTTATCAACATCGATGATATTTTTATTTTTAATACTAATAAGTTTTTTGTGAATTTGTACAAGCATCATCATTTATTTTTTTAAAAATAAATATTATAATTATTAATAATAAATATTTTATTTTACTAAGTAAAATTAAAAAATTATGAAAGATCTTAAAATATAAATTAATATTTCTAATTTAAAAAATAAAGGCATGATAAAAAAAAATACCAAACATGGTGAAAAATTTTGATTCTTAAAAGCGCTTCTATTAAAGAATACTTTTTTAAAGATACTCTTGTTTAAGAATATTCGTAAAAATATTTTAATTCAAAAATTTATATTTACAATGGAGATTGATTATTATCTTTTATAATAACAAATTAACATCACATTTATATAATAATAAAATTAAATAAATGTTGTTCAGATTATTACAAAATATTTTAACGCTACAAATATATGAATATTTATCATAACTATTGTCTTATTTAAATTATTCTTTAACATTATTATAAATAATAATAATTTTTTACTATTATAATTTTAAAAAAAATTCGTGAAAATAATAATCATAAGTATTAACACAGTATACTATTTTATTTTAATTTTAAATAAGTTCAAATTACTGGTATATATTGCTATTAGTATTATATGTTTAAGGCTACAAACAAAATAATGTTATAATAGGCAAATAAATATGTAATACTGAAAAATATAAATTATATATATATATATATAATGAAAATTATAATGTACTACGATAATTTGAGGATATTAAAATAAATTATTATTACAATAAAAACTAAATTACAATGTAGAATTAATTTTCAACATAAAATAAACAGTAATAATTGTTTAATCACAAATTCTGATGCAAATTGTACAGTATTGACTTTTTCTACTTCTAAGAAAATCGACTATCCTTCCTATACAGATAGAACCTTAATTGTTGAGTGTTACAGTCATATTGTAGGAAGTTGAGAACTCAATAGGGTAAGGTTATGCATAGTGTCACGTTGAATCAATCTTTATTTCATTGTAACATATAATTTTACATATAAAATACTATGTTTAATTAATTCTGAAAATAATTAAATTTGTTGTCAAATTCTCTAACTAATGTGATAAATTATAATTTTTGTATTGAATTAATAACTCCATACTAAATTTATTATTAACTTTTAAGATAAAATTTTTCAACCATAAATTACATCACTTTAAACAAATTTTTCAACAAAATCAACTCTGCAAAATCAAGTTTACAAACATGTTAGTACATTTTGATAGCCAAAGAGATTGAATTATACAAGGACTCATATTTATTATGTTACATCTTTCTTGAAACTTTTAATAATCCTAGCAATCCTCATTGATTCTGTCACTCACACTTGAAATTACTCCCCCTCAATCAATCCAATAAGAGAAAAATCAAATTCTCAATGTGTTCCTACATAAAAACTTCACAGCACAAAAACATGAAAGAATGGAAATTGACTGTTAGAAATAGTTGTTCTCAATGAGTAGTTGAAATAACATCACTTGTAACTGTTCTTCAGGGAATCATTTTCCCTAATAATGGAATCAAGATCAGCTTCTTGAAGTTGTGGCTGCCAGTTTCAAATGAGTTGCTGAAACAACATCAGTTACTTGTAAATGTTATTCAGGATATTCATTTTCCCTAACAATTGCATCAAGATTAGTTCTTAGTTCGCCCACATCCATGCTTCTGGAAGTAGTGGCTGCCAATTTCATTTCATATTCAGTTACTTCTCTTCTGATTCTATCAGTTGCTAGAATTTTCTCGGATATTTGTTCAAAACCTTTATGGATGCTAACCAAGAGCCTATAAACCTGCAATCCTGTGGGATCTTTCTTTGCTTCCCTGTAAGGATAAGAAAGGAAAAATAAATTGCACATTACTTGCCTTTGGTATTCAACAAAATTAGCCATGACATAAAATAAAAGAATTCATAGCTAGATCCCAGATGATATTCAGGGTGTTTCATTGTCTCTTCATCACTTTGTACCCCTCCATTTGTTTCCCATGTATATTTCCACTTTATTTCTTCTTTCTTGTGTGTGCATAGTCATTAGTATTATTTGTGTGGGCATGTGTGCAAGCTGGCAAAAATAAAACTTTGGATAAGATATGTTTTTGGTCCTCAATTTAGTTTTAGTTCTCTAAGAACTTTGGATTAGATATGTTTTTGGTCCCTATCACCATGCACTAATGATTGGAAATGCATTTAAACCTGTTACTTCAATATGGTCATTGATATGGACTAAGTGGTGATAAGGACTATCTTGAAAAATGTTTAACAAAAAAGAAATTGGAAGACTAAAACCAAATTTAGCCATATTACAGGGTCTAAAACCACATTTAAACATAAAATCATTATACCTAAAGACAATTTCATCTGCAACAGCATATGTTCGATGCAAGCGTTCCTGGATAGAATTACTCTCCAATTGAACCTCCCTGGTATCTTTTAAGATCCGCTCAATGTCAGTATCTTGTTTCCCACTATTTTTTGTAATCTCCTTTATCCTGTCAGTATAAGATTTCCTGGATGCTAGTTTTGGCTGCTTCTCAAGATCTGCATGAAGTTTCAAATGTTCCTCCTCCCTGGAGACAGGGAGAACATCCAAGTCAACAAGGCATATGCATTGTTCTAGTAAATTTTATTATGAGAGGACATCAATCAACTAAGAGACAAACACAGTCAAGATGAAATCAGTTGAACATTTGACACACTCAATACATTAAATAAGGTGGAGTGTATTTGTGCTTCAACTACAAATTAAAGATGCAAAACACACAAAATGACACAAATTTTCAAAGCCTTGCTGCACTGGGGCTATTGATCTCTTTTATGTGTTTCTTCACTCTTTCAAGAAAGCATACAGTTGCAGACATACAGTTTATCTCAGTCAGCTCATTTATTGCAAAATTGAACAAAATGGCCTTTGTGCATAAAGAACTAGAGGAATTAGGAAAGAGAACTAATAAGTTTCCCATTTCTACCAGTCATGAAAATAAAAAAGATATAGAAGTTAGCCATCTTCATTTAAGCAATATTTGAAGGGAATTAAGAAGTGTGCATGAGAAAAAGTTGCATGTTAAGACCACAATTCCCAAACAAAACTAGAAAACATGTGACTCATTGATAGTCTGCAGCTAGGGTTTCACAAAGATGTGTTAAGCGCAGGCTCATCTTGATCCATCGTTTTACTTTGCATTTCAACCTGAATTTGCTTACTTTTCCCTAGAATTTTGTTTCAGTTGGCTAAAACAATGTAAAATGAGCTTTGGATATGTACCTCTTTATAATTTCAGATAAAATAAACTGCTCTTCCTGCTGCACTTCTCTCATCCTTTGAAGCATTTCTAGTGCATCTGGATTGTTTGAATATAGAGACTCCTCAAGACTTATCTTTCTCTCCTCCAAAGGTTTTCTTACAACATCCCTGTGACACATTCAAATCCAGCGAAGCTAATTATCATTCAACTGCCTGCACTCTCTCGTAAGAAAGGAAAGAAAATATTCTGTGCACAAAAAGAATCAGTTTTATCTTACAAAAGTGATACACACACACACACAAATTTATTGGAGAGGTTAGATTTGAGTATTGAACTATTCTATGTTGCGCCCATTCCAACCCAGAATTAAAGATAACCATATAACAGATGTAATTATTGAATAAGTAACTTTTGGTAAATAGCATATGAACAATTTGACCTACCACTCTGATTCCAAAGTCAAAAGGTAATTCCTCTTAGCTTTTACTTGTTCATTCAACTGGTCAATGTAGAAGTCAATAGAATGTTGGTTATTAAATGCCATTTCAGCTGCTTCCTTCATCACTTCCAATTCTCGTTCAAGATGCTCAAGTTCGGAAGTCCGTACAGTAACTTCATCAATCAGTTTTTTCTCCTGAATTTGAAATTTATTAGTTTCAAATCTTATGTGGTTAAGCATCAGACCTAAAGAAAAGAAACACACCATCCATATACTTCAATCTAGCATACTCAATAGTTATAGCACAAGACAAAATATGACCTTTTGTATCTATAATACTTTGTTATACACATTTCACATTTGGACATATTATAAAAAGAAACGAGAGAATTCTAAATATAATCATATTTTCCCAACTAGACATCAATAATACCTTATGTTTCAATACTGACAAATGTCCATCCCTAAGATGAACAGGATTCTCTTCATTTCCAAATGAACCTCTTCCAGTCCCAACGTTTGCTTCAGGCAACTCCTCCTCATTTAATACACTATTCAATTCATGCTTGATAGAACCTTCCATCTTGAAGTTGGATTTATCCTTGCTGGCCTGACTGATGGAGGCATCACCCTTGGTACCCTCTGTTCCAGGTGTCTGCGTCTCCATTCTGTGATCATTCAACTTGCTTTCAACTTTAGAGCAATCACCTATCACCCCTTTAAAAATCTTTGTAAGCTATATTCTCATAGTTTTTTCTAGCACTTGTAGAGGTATGGCCAGCAACCCTTTCACTTTCAGATGGTTCAGAAATCCTCTCCACCTAGAATATAATTAATTTAAACAGATCTTCTTCAGATGGATACAGGAACAGTCAAACAGCCACAAGTAAAAGATATATCCTATTTTTATGTATAAATGCAGAACATAAGAATACAAGAACCGTAATGAGAAGAAAAACAAGCAGAGACTCCACATTAGCAACAGCCATCACAGATGTCAGATACTATTTAAAAACATTTCACACAAGAAAGGTCATACACCTCCTGTACCAAAAAGCTAGGAGGCAAAGACAGAAGAAGCACTGCTACAAATATGCAAGTGATTTCTTTAATCACAACAACTGACAAAATAATGCTCCAAACTCCACATGTCAAAAAAAAAAAGCAAATGCGGGGGTTCTACAAAACAACACTTTTAAATCATCTACCATGTCACGTTCACATGGTTTTTAGATTTATTGTACCGAACAGATCACTTTCAATGGACCATGAGCAAATCATATAAATAGATTTAAATGTCATATCCAACCTAAAACCTTAAGATATTAGGTTATGGGTCCTTGTCACTTATATATTGTTCAACTTCTCCATTCATACCCAATGTAAAACTTCTCCATTCATACTTGTTGCCTCAACATTTATCAAATCAAGAAGCTTCAGTTTTGCAAACTATACATTAGCCGGTTATGTTGGATGGCATCACAAGACATGCTTGTGTAGCCTACTGTTAAGTTTTCATAGTTTAGTTCCCGCTCAGAACTGACATAACAACATAACTTATTATTGTAAATTTGTAAACCTACATTCCTAACTTCATTAGAAATGCAAATGCACCAAAAGGTACAAACATGTCAATTGTGTTGGTTCTTATAGAGAAATGAATGAAGTCATCAAAAGATCAGTGTAAAAGAACAATATATCATCATACTCAAAGTTTGATTTCAATGAATGATATCAAGACTTGGTCAATGCTCAATGATTATACACAGACCCAATAACACACATCAGCTTATCATTTACAAACAGAAATCAAATTAAAAAAACTTTTTCTTTTCTTGTTTCCCATATTTTATGTGCCTCAATTCGCCGACCCAGAAGGGAGAAATATGCAAAATTGATCTTTGCGAGTTTGTGACAGTACCTGGTAGAAATTGATATCTTGGGTGTGACCCGAATTCACAACAGCGGAAAGTGTAGGAACTTGGGAACGACGCCGTATAATGGGTCGATGAAAAGTTTGAAGCTTCGAATTTGGGGTGTCCCCTGGAATTCTGAATATTGAGTCTTTACCAGTTAAAAACGATGTCGTATCTTTAATTATACCTTCATTGATTCGTATAAATAAACTAGTAAATTTCGTGCACAGTTATTATTAAATAAAATAATTTTTTTAGGTAAAAAATAACAATATATTTAATAAATTTAAAATATTCTATTATGCTAAATTATATAAATTTATAATAAAACAATAAAATCAAAGAGATAAAAGTTTTAAACTATAAAAATTGAAACAAAATAAAAATAAATAAATGTTCGATGTATGAAAAATTGCATGACATAATAAAAAAATAACACTTAAAAACACTCTTGTATAAAATGATTTTAAAAAAACTATCATTTAATAACTAAAGCATACATATTATGTATAGAAGTGAATAATCATTTATCTCACTGCTTTGAATGCATTATTAACTGCATTATATTATATTTGGTGTTGTAAGATAAACTTCAAAGTAAGGTTAGATGTAGTATGATAAGATGCAAAATTATTTATTTATGTAAATTAATAATTTTCTATGAAAAAAATTATCACATTAAACATTGTAAAATTTTATTACTGAGGAGAAAGTCTCACATTTAGAAGAATTTTCTTACCTAAAACTAAAGGTTTATTCTAGTGTTGATAGTTTTGTTGGTTTGAAATGAATTTTTTTTAACTCTCACATATGTACTTGGTAAAGTGTGCCAACTTCTTTTCATTCTTTAAAATGTTATTTCTATCAGTAGCTTAACTGTTTAATTGCAATCACATTCTTTTCATTCATTTCTTTGTAAAAGAATTGTTGGTTTAATATGAAAAGCAAACCAATGAGTGGAATCTATCTAACGGAATGCTGGAATATCGATGGAAGTGAATTTTATAAATGTTAAGACTCTTCTTAAACCAAAATTTATTCATTTTCTTGACATGTTTTATGCATATCTTAATGGTTGAAAATGTACCAAAAGAAATTGAAAATGGTTAAAAGGGTATGTGAGGACTAGATTACACCAACAATTTGCCATGAAAAGTATGTGTCACACCAACCAAAATTCCACCTCCTTATATATCATGCTATTGGTCTAATGCAGTTGACTCAACATATCAAAATTCAAACTAGCTCTTAGTGATTTCTGTGATCATGGAAGTTGGGAGAGAAGATGAGATTGTGGACATGTCAATGTCACCCCAATTAGTTGGTTCCATTAACAGTGACTTTTGTCACAAGAAGGAGTTTATGTCTCAAGCATACCTTCAAAATAGGTACTCAGAGATTGACATAGAAATTGAAGATTCCAATTTCAAACAAAGTTGTCCCCTCCCCATATTTCTCAAGGTAGAAAACAAGATATTTATTATATGTTATATTCTTAAGATGATAAATACTTTTTTTAATAAAAATTTACTACTTGAAGTTGTTTATTCTCAGTCATAAGAGTAGAGATTAACATTTTCTTACTATTATTGGTTTATTCTCTAAAAATTTGACACACTTAAAAAAAAACAAATGTTTGAGGTAAATAACTTGACTTCTTAGAAAATAAATTAATAATAAAGAATGGGTCAAGAAGTGTGTGTAAAATAAAGTGACAGAAAACATAACTATACTATGTTGACTATTGCCAATGTTTTATACTTCATTTTTCACTAACGTGCAGTTTGAAGATGTAGAGTACAAGGTGAGAAATAGCCTAGCAGACTCTAATAACCCTGTGAAGATAATGGTGTCAAAGGTAGCCACACAACTCAATGTGGAAGAAGATAGATACAAGAAAATTTTGAAAGGCATCACAGGAAGCATTGGGCCTGGTGAAATTCTTGCTCTAATGGGTCCTTCTGGCAGTGGCAAGACAACCTTATTGAGAGTTATAGGAGGAAGATTGCGTAACAATGTAAAGGGAAAAATAACTTATAATGATGTTTGTTATACTCCAGCCATCAAGAGGAGGTTAAGTGGTTAACCAGCTTCATAGACATAATCATGTGTTATGGCAAACACTCGATCCTTTTATAGAACATGAATATGTGCTAATATTGTTATTTTGTTTTTGTTTTTGACCCTACTTCATAGGATTGGATTTGTGGCACAAGAGGATGTGCTTTTCCCACAATTAACTGTAGAAGAAACATTAGTCTTCTCAGCACTCTTGAGGCTTCCAACCAATATGAGCAAGCAACAAAAATATGCAAAAGTGGAGACTACTATCAAGGAGTTAGGCCTTGAAAGGTGTGTTTAATTTGCACCACATTTTAAGACATACAAGTGGGAAATGAAACAAAACTTCCCTTAAATGAAATAAACAAAATTGTTTCCCTAAATAACTTCTTGCATAACAATAGATGTCGCCACACAAAAATAGCTGGAGGATTTCTCAAAGGCATATCAGGAGGAGAAAGGAAAAGAACTAGCATTGGCTATGAAATTCTTGTTGATCCTTCGTTGTTGCTACTTGATGAACCAACTTCTGGCCTTGATTCCACCTCAGCAAACAAACTCCTTCTCACTCTTCAAGGACTTGCTAAGGTGTCTATATCTAAATTATGTGCCCTTTATGATCAAATTCTTAGATGTAGTACACATAAAATCAAATATTTGTTGAAAGTTTCATTTGATTTACCTATAGGCTGGAAGGACCATAATCACAACAATACACCAACCATCAAGCAGAATCTTTCACACGTTTGATAAACTTCTTCTAATATCAGAAGGGTATCCTATTTACTATGGCAAGGCTAGAGAAACAATGGCATACTTTTCATCCTTGAGGTTCATCCCAGAAATACCAATGAATCCTGCAGAATTCTTGCTTGACTTAGCAACGGGACAAGTTAATGACATAAGTGTTCCAACAGACATTGTACAAGACCATGAATCTGATAACCTTTCAAAAGTTGTTATCAAAGTATGAATCCTTTGACATATATATTTATGTACATACTCCATCTCTTACCTTCTTATTAGTTGTTTCTTTACCATGTTAGTATCTACAATTCAAGTACAAAACTTTACTCGAGTCGAAGGAAAAGGAAGAGAACCATAGAACAACAAACACACCAGAACATCTTCAACTAGCCATTCAAGTTAAGAAGGAGTGGACATTGAGTTGGTTGGACCAGTTTGTGATTGTTTCAAGGAGAACATTCAAAGCTAGATGCAAGGACTATTTTGATAAGTTAAGACTAGTTCAAGCACTTGGAGTTGCACTTTTATTGGGGCTCCTTTGGTGGAAATCTTCAATCAATACTGAGGCTCAACTTAGAGATCAAGTAATTAATTTCCATGATATATATTGTTTTCCTCTTATTACAAGATTCAGCTGCTAATCACTATCTTTCGTGCAGGTTGGTTTAGCATTCTACATGTGTATATTTTGGACCTCTTCATGTATTTTTGGAGCAGTTTATGTCTTTCCATTTGAAAAGTACTACTTGATAAAAGAAAGGAAAGCTGACATGTATAGATTAAGTGTATACTATGCATGCAGCACTTTGTGTGATATGGTGGCACATGTTTTCTATCCAACTATTTTCATGGTCATCTTGTACTTCATGGCTGGCTTTAAGAGGACTGTTGCTTGTTTCTTCTTGACACTATTTACTATTTTGTTAATAGCTATAACAAGTCAAGTAAGTTATGTCAATACTTACAAAGTGAGTTAGTGCCTTATCAATCATTTGTTTAAAGCTTTTTAACATGTATTTTTTGTTACTAGGGAGCAGGAGAATTGTTTGGAGCAGCAGTTATGAGTATTAAAAGTGCAGGGATGACTGCTTCTTTGATACTAATGTTGTTTCTTCTTACAGGTGGCTACTATGTCCAGGTATGTCCAACCCTTTTTTAGTGCAAAATCTTTTCCAATAACAAGCAGCAACAATACTACTAAAATGGGAGATAACTAGAATATAAGTTCTTAGAACAATTAATGCAGTTTAAGTATTTTGCATAAACGAGTCATAAAGTTCTAACATCTTTTTGAGGTAAAACTCTCACACTCATTTTTAATTGTGCAGCACATACCAAAGTTCATGGGGTGGTTGAAGTATTTGTCATTTATGTACTATGGTTTTAGGCTTCTTCTGAAGGTGCAATATTCAGGTGACCAACTATATGATTGTGAAAGCAAAAGAGGGTGTAGAACACTACAAAGTTCACCTACATTTGACAATGTAAACTTGAAAGGTGGATTAAAAGAAGTGTGGATTCTACTAGCCATGGCCCTATGCTTCCGGTTATTAGCTTACTTCTGCCTTCGTAGAAGAATTGATGTTCGCAACTAATTCTGATGAAGTTCAATCTTGAAATAATGAAATCTACATTAGTAATTTACCACAATATTATGATTTGAGGGAAATGTGTGAACCTTTTTGCAATAAAGAGAGAAAATAATCAATATGGTCACTCAATAATTGTTTTGTTGCTTAAAAGAAAGCACTATACTGAATTCATTCCTTATCAACCAATTCACACAGTGTGAATTTTGTATTTCATGTCATTGTTGTAGCTAATTTACATCAGATGATGTGAAACAGTAAGATGTATTTTTCAATTCCTAAGCTATTTTCTTGCATTCTTTTTAATAATAAAAGTTATAAAAGTTTATTATGTTTATAAATTATACATTTTCATCTAATTATGACAAGATATTGACATAGTAGCACTCTGATGTGTTATAATATAAAGATTAATATACAAATAAATTTAAATTTGAGAATCAAAATAAAATATAAAATTAATTAATTTAATCGTTGTTTAAATTTTTTTATTAAATAAATTAACTTTATAAAATTTCATAAAAGTAATAGATATTTTATTATATTATTTTATTGTAAAGTATCCATTTGCACTTCATCAATATACATTCCCGGATGTAAGTGAACCTCTCGTTAAGATGTTATTTTCAGATGCTAAGCTACTTCACATGCATTCTTTGTTTAAAGAAAATGTTTGGAAAGTTCATTGTTTTTTTTTTCTTAATTATACGAATTTGTTAGAGGAGCATTAATTATGGCACACAATCTATAATGGTTTTCTTTTTATTAAAGACAAATTAACACTTTTATTAACCTTTTGGTTAGCAAAGAGAAAAACAGCTCAAAGTTGTAAGTAAATATATAAATAAGCATTAAAATAATTAAAGCCATAAGTATATAAACCGAAGGTGTACTTGTATCAATTTTATTTACTACATAAAATGGACCCTTCATATTTTTTTACGTAGGACAACTCATGGACAACTTAGCACTACATAAAAAGGACCCTTCATTCATAAACACAACTATTAGGCTATTATTTAATGATGAGTTAATAAATTGTGAAATAATTTGACTTCTCATATATCTTATTAATGACATATAATTAAATTGTAGCAACTGAAAATGTACTTTGAAAATAATATTTTTTATTTAAAAATTGCTTCTAATATTCAGCATAACTACAAATAAACGAAAAAATAGTTTTTATTTAAGCTTAGCATAATTATTTAATAATAAAAAAAGAAAAATAAATCCTTCATTCTTTGATAAAAAAAGGTTCTCCTTGCATGTATAAGAATACAAAACGACATCGCTACTATTTTAATAGTTTATATAATAAAAATTAATATTAACAACAAATTCATATTATCAACATAATAAACGTAAAAATATACTATTTCCAATTTATAATGGTTTATATATATATATATATATATATATATATAATTTATATGCAATAATTTTTTATTAAAAACTATTAAATATGGCAAGATGTTATATATTTATAAATGTTTTAATATACACTCTTAAATATATGTTAAAAAGTAATTTTTAATTATATTTTAACATATTTTTCAAAAAATTATCATTGGTTATTAAACAAGAAGCTAATTAAACTCTCTTTACTAAAACCTTGACAGGCTGGCACGTTCCTCTTGTTTCCACGATAACAAAACCATAAAATAAAGAGATAAAAAGAAAATGGGATTTCTGAAAAAACACCAAAAAATGAAACCATTCGTTTATCATCTCTCTTCAGCAGTCAAAACCCATTTGAGTTTCTGACGCCACCACTTCCAACAGCCACCAAAACACACACAACACCAACGTTGCTGTCATATCCTCGTCTTCTGTCACTTCATTATTGGTTGGAACTTGGAATAGGAACACAAAACCAAATATCAAATCACCCCTTTCTCTCTCCTATGTTCATGTTCAGCTGAATCAATCAGCGTAGCATGGAACTTGTTCCATACTCTGACCCAAACTCTGCCACCCCAGCATGGCAGGACATGTTCCGATCCGCATCCACCAGACAACCCGCGTCAACCCCTCAACCCCACGCGCCGCCAAGAAAACCTCACGCGCCTTCGACCACACCGCACGCGCCGCCGCAGCCTCAAAATGACGGCGACCCAGATGGGAAAAACGCATTTTCCGGCGATCCCCAGGTACGGTTGGCCCTTTACATAGCCATGGCGCATGCGGGTCTTGCCTTCGCCATTTTCATTCTTTACACTGTCACCAAGCTTTTGGAACAGTACATGAGACCCCTACAATGGGCTGTGTTATGCTCTATCCCTCTAAGAGGCATTCAGCAAACACTTGTTGCGTTTTGGTCTGAACCCCTTCAATTAGGCCTCACAGAAACGGTTCTTGCTGTTCCTGTTGCTGTGTTCAGAGTCTTTGTTGGTACTCTTGTTGAGGTTCGTGAAGCTTCTTTTAGAGTTCTTTTGAGGAAACCAAAGCCTGAGAGCAACCAACTTTCTAGGAAGCGTAGTGGATTTTCAAATTTGCTTCGTTTGCTTGTGTCTTTTGGGATATTCATAATTGCTTATGAGAGGCTTGGTTATTTTGGGGCATTGTCCCTTACGGGGTTAGGGTTCTTGTTCAGCTCAAAGAATGTGGACTCCACTATGCACACTTTGTCTTCTTTCAGGAGTATCAGCTTCAGGCGCAGTACTATTAGTGCTTTTTTCACCAGAGGGATATTGAAAAGGTTGAAGATTATTGTGGCAATAGGGCTTATTGTTGGTATGATTGTAGGGTTTTTGACTGGTGTCATTTTCTTTTCCTATAAGATTGGAGTTGAAGGGAAAGATGCAGTGATATCTCTGAAGTTGCATGTGGAAGAAAGCAATTATGCTGAGAGAATTGGTGTGAAGAAGTGGATGGATGAGAATGATGTTGCTGGGATGGTGGATGGTTACACTACCAAGTTGTATGAGACAGTGTCTGATCAGATAGATGGGTTGGCTGTGCAGTATAATATGACGGAATTTGTGACTGGCATTAAGCATTTTGTGATTTCTACTCCTGTTAACTCCTCGGTCCCTTCAAGAGCTTTGATGACCCCCTCGCCATACACCGAGAAGTTCTTGAGTTTGAAAAGCCGGGTTAGGAACAGGGAATGGAGCCAGATTTATGCAGAACTTGATCTGCTTTTCCGAGAGCTTGTGATCACTCGTGAGGATTTAGTTGAGAAGGCAAAAGGGTTTGCCTTTAAAGGAATTGATGTATCTCAACGTATTTTTGCTAGTAGTAGAACTGTGCTTGGAAGCAGTACAAAATTTATGCTCTCCATTGCATATTCTATAATCTCTGGAGCTGCAGAGGTTTTCAATTTTGTGTCCCAGTCAATGGTATTTATTTGGGTTTTGTATTATCTCATCACATCAGAGTCTGGTGGAGTAACAGAACAAGTGATGCACATGCTTCCAATTACAAACTCCACAAGGATTAGATGCGTTGAAGTTTTAGATAAAGCTATTTCAGGAGTTCTATTAGCCACTGTTGAGATTGCATTTTTTCAAGGTTGTCTTACATGGCTTTTGTTTAGGTTGTACAAAATACATTTCTTGTACATGTCAACTGTTCTTGCCTTCATCAGTCCTCTGCTTCCAATATTTCCATCTTGGCTTGCAACAATCCCAGCAGCCATACAACTAGTGCTGGAAGGCAGATACATAGTGGCCATTGTCTTGTCTATTATTCACCTTTTTCTCATGGATTATGGGGCCTCAGAGATTCTCGAAGACGTGCCTGGGAACAGTGCATATCTCACTGGACTAAGCATCATTGGGGGAATGACATTATTCCCATCTGCTCTTGAGGTAAATTTTTACCCTTCTAGATTTAATCTTCTGATGATTATAGAAGCACCAGTCTCTCACTCTTGACGCTTAATGTTTAGCTGACTCTCAAGGTGGAATGTCGCTCTTCTTGTTTTAGTGTATTAAAATGAAAAAAATCCTTAATTTTGGCTTTTTTTGTCAACTTGCTTCTCTTGCAGATTCTTGTTTTAAAATGGAAAACTGGTAAACCTGCATAACTTGATTAAAATTCTATTTCTAAGCTTTGAAATCTGACTATTAGGTTGTGTGGTCGTCTCTAAACTTTGTAAATAATGTGTCAAAACATTTGGGATCCAGTGAACTGTTCTAGGAACTCTGATTGATATAAATTTCCTGTGAGGCAATAATTTCAATGTTGTAAAGGCTTAAATTTTTTTGATCATGTTTGGTTCAGTCTATCCATGACCTTGTTTAGGTGCATTTCTCTTGCATCCATGACATTGTTAGATTGACTTGAAGGGTGTATGTTGTTTTGTAGGGAGCTATTATGGGTCCATTGATAACTACAGTTATGATTGCACTGAAGGATTTGTATACTGAATTTGTTTTGGAAGAACCTAAGGAATTGGCCAAGAAGAAAGCCAACTAGCTAAGCTTTTCTACCTGTGTCTATAAAAGGAGTTATTTGCAATTGAAGTTTGCTGCAACTGCAGGGTTTGCCTCTAGATTTTTGTGTTGCTCATAGTTATGTAATTTCATTTTTATATGTATCATTTTGTTATCATAATTGGCAGAAATAGGACCTTTTTTTTTTCTTTTTTTTTTTCCTCTTATCCATTTTAGGGGTCATCAAATATTTTCACTTGGTGGCTGTGTTCATTAATTGTACACTTAGATCTGTATTTATTCCTGTAACAATTTTTCTTATTCATTGTACCAAAAGAAAAGAAAGACTCATGCAAGCTTGTCTGGAACGTAATGTCACCTTCAATATTCTTGGATTTAGTAATGAAGATGAGTTTCACTGATATCACTATTATATTAATTATGTGCATTATTTCGCAACTATGCCGTTAGGGATATAAATATATACTTAGAGAACGTTTTTTTAGTGTTTGAATTTATTTAGAGAGCGTTTTAGTCAAAGCCAGAACATATTAAAAAAAAGTGCATCAAATGGGGGTGAAAAGAAAACAGAAAAAAAATGCAGCGATTTTGTTTTTGTTAAAAAGAAAATAAAGTAAAAAATAAAATAAAATGATTTTTAGAAATGCAAATTCAAAATTTATTCTTCTTTTATTTTTTAAAATTAAAATGAAAATTTTCTCTCTCTCCTCTCAGTGAATAAAAAAAATACTATAATATGATTTTTAATACAATTTCAATGTAATTTTTAATTAAAAAAATTAAAATTATGAATTCATTAAACAAATTCTTAAGAGCACTGGTTAATAAAATCTAAAAACTATTCTAACACTTAATTGGATTTTATACAAGAAAAGTGTATGTCAATAAGTCAATCATGTATATGTATATGCTTCCTCCAGCAATAATGGACCCATTGCTATTATAACATAGTTTAGGAAAGATATAAGAAAGACTTTAGAGAGAAAAAAAAAATTGAAATTATTATTTGAGCATAATATATATATATATAACACATAACACAAATTCTTTGGTTTCATCATTGACATCAATTGAGCATATTATACACACATATAAGATACATACAGACAACAACTCCTTGGAGAGAGGAAGTGGTGTATTTTAATTCTCTTAGATAGGGAAAAAAAAAATAGTTCTGAGTGTTATGTTTTATCCTGTTTGTATACAAAAACACTACCTATATATTTCATATCACTTTCTTGCATTGATATAACTATAATAGTATATATGCTATGCCTTTTATTGGCAAAAGTTTTGTAACAAAACAAATTGCAAGAGTCAATAATTTTAATTTATGATTTCACAATAAAAATTATTTTAGTTTTTAATTTTGTAAAAATCACTTATTCTAATCTTTTTTTTTCAATGTCATGTTTTATTGTTGTTTTATATTAAAATAATTTAAACAAATATAATTTTGTAAAGTCAGAAGTTAAAGTAAATTTTTGTAAAGTTAGTGACTAAAATAATTAACACTTATTATTTAAGAGATTAAAATAGATATTTATGTAATAAACCTACTTTTGTTGACTCTTTTGTGAACAGCATTTCTTTAGCACAAGCAACCTCCTTGCTGTTCTGTTTGGGATGATACGAAATAATGCAGACAAAATAATACAAACATGATCATACTGATAAGAAAGCAATAATGTGAAGGAAGATAAAGTTGTGAAAAAGAGAGAGATAATTGATAATTTATTTGAATTGGAAAGCCTGTCAGAATAGTGTTCTATAATCAATCAATTCAATTGTTAGAAAATAATAGAAGGGCCTTTTATAACCCATGTTCTTCTGGCAAAAAACTATTTAATTAACCAATTCAGTTTCTAGGAAATAAAATTAGAGACTTTATAAAATTAGCACATCAAGGAGTGAGATAGAAGAAGAGGAGAAATAAGTGTAGTATAAAATGAGTAAGGTAAAGAAAAGAATTTTGAAAAGTGATGTAAGAAATTAAGATAGTATTACAATAGAAATAACATGATAATTTAGTGGTTTTTTTTTTTTCTTTAGTCTCTTTCATCTAAAAAGTTTTGATAATTTCTATTATAAAGTATTTATACTTTTTTTTATGAAATATATTTTTTATTTATCTTTAATAATAAAGTTGATGAAAGTCATAAAATAAAACTAGTAAAAGAATGAACAGATTTTTAAAATTAAAAATGTTGATAGTAGGATTAAGTTTAATAATATTAAATACAGATAAAATTAACAAGTTGTAATATTTTTAAAAAAATTTAAAGTTAATTAACTTCAATTATTTTTATTGAGCTATGTAATTAAGCTAAAGATAAATTATAAAAAAAATTACGAGTTACTTTCATGTCAAAAATTTGAAAACCCAAACAACAATTATTGCAAACAATATGAAAAGTCCCTTTTTACTATAGATGAAGATCAAGTAACTAATGAAAAGAGGTGTCTAAAAACACTTTCATTATGAAGCATATCCAGTTAGCAATTTTATTAACAACACAACTTTTAAAGAGAAAAAAATATATATATTCACTACTAACCTTTTATCAACAAGATCAATTTTATTTCAAAACCAATAATTATAATAATAATACCACACCATTGCTTCTTTCTGTATGTGCCTCCTCAATCCACATGTTTAATAGTGTTAAGAAATGATTGCTAGTCTGCATCATAACAGCTTATTTTAGAATTCAATGATTTATCTCTTTATTATAGATTAAGAGTATCCTCTATAAGAAGAAAAAATTTTGTATGATTTGAGACTAACATGATCCTGCCCAATTATATTATGCTACATATATAAATTTTATAATTTACAAAAAAGAAATTGATACAAGACTGATCAGATTATAAACAATTTTATGTAAGTTAATATACACTTTTGTGATTAGTAATTACAATTTGATTTCATATTTAATAATAGATTCTTGAAAAATTAAATATTAATTAAGCATGTCAAGTTTCACAAGCAAAGAAGGGAGGACACTCGTGTTTCCATAACTACATAAAGCTTTTTTGGAATAGTAAGATCAGAACAGTAAATCAAACACCAATCTATAAATGCTAGCATGTTTGGAATTTATTGAAAAATCACAAAATTATATAAATAAACGATTATTTTTTCAAAATAAGTTGTGTGCTACGAATCTTCTCTAAGTAACAAATAACTTGAAACAATTATGTCCTAAGAAAATCTAAAGATCCAGAAACAACACTGTTGATGACATAATGAAAGTAACATTAAAGAAAAAAAAAACTGCTACTCACTAACCATGTCATATGTAATTACTGCAAGCTTTAGTATATAAAGGCTTCAAAATCATGACATATAGACATAGTAATAGATCTTCAACAAGAAAACTGTTGTTTTGTTTAGAATCAAATTTTTTAGGTGCAACTTCATGGGCTCAACTCAAAGAAGGAGCAATTTGTTTTTTGGGTCAAGAAGAAGGAAAGGTTAACAGATAATGAAATGTCAACATGAAGCAAAAACATTTCTGGCCCAAATTTTAGTCTATAATGCTTCGTTGGCCTTATTGTGCCTAAAATAAGTCCATTAACTGGTTTTTTTTTTTTTATAGAATTATTTGTAACAGCTTGTTTAGTATTTAAATAATATTTCGTGAGTTTCAAAACTATTTCTTTGGTTTAAAAACAATAAAAAATATAATTCAAACCAATTTTTTTTTTATTTAACAAATGCCAAACACATGAATGGTACTTAGTATGTCTCTGAAAAAAGCTAATAAGTTTTTTAAGTTCATTTTAATTTAATTCAATAACCTTCATATAACTTACTAAAACAAGTTCGTATTTATTTATGTCAATAAATTTTATGGTTTAATTTATAATATAAATATCTTTATATAATAACATTTTATTAAATAAACACTTGGTTAAAGTATTATTTAAACACACTTTTAATCAATTTTATGCTCAACCACACTACTATCGATTGTTTCCATATTATCCATTTTTTGTAGTTTCAGAAAGTGACTAACTTTCCTTTGCAAGAAACCAAAAATTTCAATTATTAACACGTTGCACGTCCCATCCACCAAATGGGGTCAAGTTTAAGTCAAATACGTTACAAACAAGCCTAAACAATTTCTTTTATTTGTTAATTATAAGCTTTTTCTTTCAAATACAGTCACCTAAAATAAGCAACATGTTGGCAGTTTTCATTGGTTAAAAAAGATGAATTCTAGTTGTTCAAGTAACATACGTACCCAGCTCAACTTGTTTTGATTTCCTTTGATACCCTTTATTTAATTTGTGAGGTCATGTCCTTAATTTAAATCATATGTTCACATCAAAATTGATGGATTTTAAATTTTATTCAAGAAATTGGCACTAAATTGGTTTTTAATTTATGCTGTTAAACACGTAAATAAACCATTTATCAATTAACAAACATGAGTATGACTCTTACCCATCAATATCTCATCTGATAAGTTCTTGAAGCCAAGAATAAAATTGTGTAATTTTAGTACAGAAGAAAATGCTGTATAAACAAAAGCTTTGCTGAATGTTGATTTATATTTCTCCTTTTTATTTTCAATGTTCATTTCCAATAATTGCTTAAAAACAATTATCAAACTTTGCTATCATTTCAGGTAGGCCTTCTTTCTATCATATTAATTAAGGGATGTTGACCTATTAAGCTTGCTTGATCCCAGAAGTTTCACTTTGGCTACCAGTAATAAATTTCAAACTTCTTGACAAGTAAGATTAAGTTTATACATGTCAAACTCATTATAATAAATGGAAACTGAAATTCAGTTTTGCCAAACATTTTTTTGACAAGAATAGTTATCATTTTATACAATTTTTAGTCAAGAAGTTTGATATTCATACAACTTTTGCATTCAATATTGCCTCATATATCATGCTTTATCAGATTCTAATATGAAAAAAAGATGGACCCTTTAAACTTAAACAACACTTGCATGCACATTTATGCCAAGTTTCACATAAGAAATATTTGTCCTTACTCATGGTTTGGTGAAAATCTACACATGACCCACTGTGCAAAGTTAACCCACATGAAACTATCTCCATCATTATTCAATGCATGAACCAAACAATTATGTAAGCAACCTTACCTAGATATTGTCATCACTTATATTAAAATATCAAACAGGTAAAAAACAAGCTACCCCAACTGGAAATAATGTGGCTAATGTGCAAAATTGTAGCAATCATTCCTACACCCAAGTAGGGCCACACTCCTCTCCAACACTGACACAAATTGCTGGTTGGATTAGGTGGGCAACCCTTTACCACACCACACAATCTCAAAGATCACTTGTCCCCGCCAGAATTCAAATCAGTTTTTTGCTTTATTTTTATTTAATATCATATAAAGAATGCATTTATGAAGGTCATGATATAAACAAACATTACCCTTAGCAATCCTACGTATGAATCAGATCACCACTTTAAGTCTTATCCACTTGAATTCAAATAGAGAAAAACTATTAAACTTTACTTTAATTCCAAAAAGAAAAAAAAATAAAAAATCTTTGCTTTGGTCCTAATTTTCTCAAAGGAAGAGAGAGAAAGAAATGAGGAAAGATATGAAATATTGAACTTCAATTACTTTCTCAGCAACTCTTACTTCATAGAAAATATAGCTATAGAGGAAGTTGGCCAACGGTTAACTTCCCTCCAAACCCTTCTGAGTCTCTTGTAATCAAAGCAAAGTTCAGTAGTCGATTCTTGGTCACCTTCTGAGTCTCAAACTTCACCTTCCTGACATACCCTTCATACCAATCTTCACCTTCTGTTTCCCACCATCCTTCTATATACACACTTCACTTCCTCTTCTTCTGCTTCAGACTTATCCCTTCTAAGTCTTTTCTTTTCACCATGTTATTGTTAAAAGGTTCATGTCCTTGAAACCTTGGTTTGTAATTGTGAACACACAGTTTGATTTTGGTGTGAAGTTTTTAAGCTGGTGGTGCAGACCCTGGAAATTCTCCAAGTCCAACTAGTCTTCCAATTGGAGACCTTGAACTTCAAGTTCTCATGATATAAGACTGTTCAAAAATATTGGAGCTGGTTTCAACCATTAGACAAATTTTGTTGCTGAATCCTTCTGAAGATGGTATTTTTAAATTAAAGCATGGTGAAATTTCTTGAATGCTTCTTGTCTTTAAATTATTCTCCAAGAGTTCAAATAAGTTGGCGCTCTAATAATTCTTAAATCCTATGTTCAGTGTTGAGAATCAAACAAGACTTGGTCTCAGGCAACACACGTTTTTCAATTTTGGACTACTTCTGATTTGAATACATAAATAGCGGCAAAAGGGGTATCCTCTCTTCATTATCCTCTATTGATTTTGTGAAAAGTTGTAAGTTTGATTCAACTCCAAAGACAAAAAATTCCAATGAATTGTCCATGTCCATCGGAATTGGTGTTTAATTCAAGCAGCATGGCTTCATTTACTTCAAATTCATCATCAGAGCACAGCATGGCCAGTGCACAAAACATTCCTCCTCATGCTTCTTCCACCCCTTCTTTCATGACTAGGGTGGCCATGAGAATTTCTAGATCAAGGTGGTTCACCTTCTTAAGAAGAGTGTTCCATTACCAAAATGGACCAAGATCTGATCTTGATTCTAACCCTTTCAATTCTAGCACTTGGATGATGCTGGAGTTGGTTGCTTTATTGGTTCAAATAACAAGTACAACATTCACCTTGGTCATTTCAAAGAGTGAAAAGCCTATTTGGCCTATGAGGGTATGGATAGCAGGTTATGATATTGGTTGTGTCCTTAATCTGCTGCTACTTTGTGGCCGCTACCATCAACTTCATGTGACTCAAAGGGATTCTCTTAGCCTTTCTGAATTGGAGCAGCAGAGAAACAATGAAGAAACAAGGTACCACATGCTATTATTCACTTAAAGAACTTTCTTTCAGTCATTTTGTCATTAGCAATTGGTTAGTACCAATAAGGTAGAATTATAGGGTACACATTGTTTGAATGTGCTGAAAAATAAAAACTTTGGTCAGAGCCTATTAGAAAATGTTGACAACTTTGCTTCTTTGTCTGAATACAAACACCTTCAAGACAAAATCTTCTGTCACAATTTTTTTAATAATTATACTCTTGAACTTGGAATGATTATTATAGTATTTCAACAAGAAATCATGGAATTTCTAAAGATACAGATTTTTTTCTCCCCCTAAGGTAATGGCCTACCATTTTAGTGTGGTTATTGGTGTTCACATGGGGCACATGGGGAATGAAGATAGGAATAGGAGCTGGAAAGGGGACATAACATTGATGAAGATGAAAAACTTGTAGTTTTAATTTTGTCCCTTAACTTTCATCACATAATTTAGGACATGAAGACAGAATTAACATATTTATTTATAAAGTAATAATAATTTCATAGTGAGAGAAAGAGGAATGAAAAGTAACTAAATTTTTCACTGAAAACATATTTGGTTGATGCAGAATCCACACAATAGATAATTCGGTTTGGCCATGCCAGCCTAATCATAATTGATTGATTAGCCCAATTTTTTTTTTGAATTCGGCTGACCTAACCATACTTTTGTGGGGTCAATAAAGAGACACCAGTCATCAGTCATCAACAAATTTTCAATCCACTGTTTCCAAAGATAATTTATTTACTCCGAAAAATTCCTAGTGAGTAGTAACACATTTTCAAAACACTCTTTTCAATATACATTTTGTTATTAAGTAAAAATTTATAATAGACTTGTTAAATTGGGAATCAGATCCACTAAATTGAATGTAAAACTTACATCATTTTGAGATCAGCAGAAGAAAAAGAAGTAGCTTAATAAAATAGAGTGACGACCAAAAAAATATTAAAAACAAATAGAGTGATGAAATTTAGATTGGGACAGAACCAAATTGGGACAGAAAAATAGATTGCTAAAAACAAATTGAAGCATCTTTGCATTGAATAATTTCCGTAGTCATTCATCCAAGATTACCCTTAATTAGATACAAGATTTTTCTACAAACTTTTTGTCACAATTTGAAAAAGTAATTTAATTAACTTTGTACCATATAGTGTGTACAGGAGCTCACATTTGATGAACAAATGCCGAAGTTCACTAGAGCTTTTCTTTGCCATATGGTTTGTGATGGGCAATGTTTGGGCCTTCGACTCACGTTTTGGATCTTTCCAAAATGCTCCAAAACTCCAAGTGCTCTGCATCATCTTGCTTTCTTGGAATGCAATTTGCTACTCCTTCCCTTTTCTACTGTTTTTGCTTCTGTGTTGTTGTGTGCCACTACTTAGCACCCTCCTTGGATACAACATGAACATGGGTGCCTCTGCTAGAGGAGCTTCTGAAGATCAAATCTCACAACTCCCAAGTTGGAGATATAAAATTGTTCAATTTGACAATGACTCTCAAAGCAGTCAAAGATTGATCGATGAAGATCCAGTAAGTGACATAATTGTTATATATAAAATTACTAGAACTTTGATGTTCATAATATATCTAGTGAAAAAATCATTTCTATATGCAAACAAGAAAGAAAATTTAGACATTACAACCATACATATGTATGGTCAAGATTTAAGGTTAATTAAAGTTACTTTTTTTAATTTCAAAATTTACAGACAATATCATACAAGTTTTATATTTTAATCATGTCTATTTATTTTTAAAACTAAACCTATTAGATTAATCTTAACCATCCATATATGATCGAGATTTAAAAAAAAAAAAAACTCTAAATACATTTTTAATCTTTGCATTGTAGTAAATTTTTAATTTAACCCCTCCAAATAATTTTTTTAGCTTTGATCCCTACAATTTTTTTTTCTTTATATTTATTGTTAGTTCCTATTGCTAATGTGATTCATATTTTTTTGTTAAATTATATCAACGAGAAAGATTAAAAACAAAATATCACTAAAATGTAGGGATCAAGTCAATAATAATAAATTTGGAGGAACTTAAATTAAAAAAATTACTAAAATTAAAGACTAAAATTATGATTAAGCCTAAAAAAGCCAATCTTAACAATTTATTTACATTTTTATGATTAAGACCAATTTTTAACTCTATATATATTGTTTATTTTCATTTATAATTTTATATTGAATTGATAAGTTTGTGTTGTTGGGTGTGGTGACAGGAGGAATGTTGCATTTGCTTAGTCAAATACACAGAGAAAGAAGAAGTTAGGCAATTGCCCTGTTCCCATCTGTTCCACCTAAAATGTGTGGATCAATGGCTAAGAATTATATCATGTTGCCCTCTTTGTAAACAAGGATTACAAAGATAGCCATAGGACCAATCATACAAAACACTCCACAACATTAATCTTATTTTATATTTTATACACCCATTTTATTTTTATTTTTTTTACTATGGTTACATGAGTGAGTTTGTACATGTACAGAAGAGGTCACCAGTAACCAAAATTACATTAAATATACTTGGTTGGTTCATAGGAGTGAATCCAATTACATTTCAAATTAGTTCATTGTCTGTAAAAGTTTCTTTATACTGTGAGTGAGCATCTATGTATTGAATAATGAAGTAAATATTTATATTTGATCCTTAATTATTATATAATAAAATTATTACTTTGTACCACCCTTGCTTTTTTTTTTTTTGTTGATATAATTTTGTCTACTAGAAATTAAACTGTTAATATAAACATTATGAATATGCATAACAATATAATATACTATATTAACAAACAATTTTATCAGTTTAAAAAGTTGATATATTATTAAAACATCAAGCATAATTTATTATACAGTTATTGCAGAATCACACATGTTTGTATTCACAATTTAATTTTAATGAATCAAATACTTACTAACACAAGTAATTTTAATACTCAATATTTCTAATAAATAATAAATTTTACAATGACTTAACTTGAGTAAATGGAATATTGGATATAAAGAATTATAAATTTAAGTTGTGATAAATGTTTCTTTATGCTAAGATATAAAGTTTTATGTTGGTGAATTAAAAAAAAATCAAAAGTTATATAAATAAAAGTACTTCAAGTTTAAAATTATGTCAAATATTTAAAACAAATGAAATTAGCTAAAAAAAAAAAGAGTCAAACAACAACTTCATATACTTAAAAAAATAAGTCTAAAATATTTTTATATGAATTACTATTATTATTTTTTGTGAAATTAGTATTATCTTTAAGTCACTTTAAAAATATTTCGAATAATTCCTAGCAATATTAGCTTAAAACTTGAGTTATATTATTTAAATAATAATTTTTTACAAAATCGTTTATAAGATTATTTTTTTTCTCTCTTTTATCATATAATCTATTTTATCACACTTTTTAATTTTTTTCTTGATATCTCTTTCATAATTACATAATTACATAATTAAAATGATGAAAGTTTGTTATTGTTTTAAAATTTAGATATGCTGGTTTCAGCGCTTCTTTCAAGAAATTGTTTCTTAAACTCCTAAACAAGCTAATAATCTAAACACATTATCCTTAATTAAATGATTTACTTTATAACTAAAGAATAATTATGAATATTACTTAAAAATGGTCAACTGTTGGACTTTAAAATAATTGTAAACACGTGTGCATTTACTATAAAACTAATAATAAATTAAGATAATGATAACATAATTGGACAAAGACTTAATTATCTTCAATTGTAAATTACTTATTGATAATTAACGTGAATACTAAGTAGTAATCTACCGCGAAATGACCACTCTCGTAACTAAAGAAAACAAAAAACAAAACATATGATTTTAATTATTTAACAGTGGAAAATAGAAAAATTACATTCTTATATTTTTTTAAAACTAAAAAAGAGATTTAACACAAAAAAAAAAGAGAAGAAGAAAAAAGAATGCGAGTAAGATTATAAAAAACATGATTAGAGAAAAAAAATAAAAAAGTAAGATAAAATAGTTTATGTGATAAGGTGTCTTTTGGGATTAAAATTTTTAAATATAAAAAGAATGAACTAAATTTAAATTATTTTTTTAAAAAATAAGATACTGAATCAAGAAAAGTCATGGATTCAACTAAAAAAATAAAAATTATTCTTTAAATTATTACTATTATTTTTTTTTAATTTTTTATCTACGGAGAATAAATTATAAAAAGAGATATTGGATAAAAATTAGAAGATAATTTAAACATCATAAATTTTTAAAATATATATCATAAAAATAAAATTAAAAATAAATTTTTATTCTAATATACAAATATTTTACTTACATAAATTAAATTATAAAAAAAATCTTATACAAAGACTAAATATATAATTTAATTAAAAGTTGGAAAAAAAACTAAATATATAATTTAAATAGTTATACTAATTTTAAAATGCCAATTCAAGAACAAGAAGTCCAAGTTCATTGACAATAAAAAATACTACTCCACACAAAAATGGAATGCAAGAAAAAGAACAGAAAAACTATATAAAATTAATAACATAACCATGAACTGGCATGCATGGAGAATTTTCAGGGTTAATATCCCATAAAATGTACCTTAGAATGGTTGAAAATGCCAACAAAGATGATTGAGTGGTACCCCAACAAAAAACCTTCCCTTCAATTAAGTGCCTTTGTTTCATCCTCATTTTGCGTTTGATAAAGGTGGGAACTTGTGGTAAAAAATTGTTGATTTGGTAAAAACCACAAATTTGAAATAGCAAAACTTAGTTAACAGCCCAAAGATTTAGGATGACTCAGGCCCTAAGTTGTTTTTGTAAACTGAATTTTCATTATTTTCTCCTTTGTGGGAAAGCATAGAAAGTGACAATATCAGAACCTTCTCTCTGGTCCTTCTTCCTCAGAATCTATAGCCCCTTGTAAACCTGGTCATTCTTTCTAGGGTGATTTTCATCCTACTTCTTGCTTGCCTTCTCACATAAACAGGTAATTAAGTTTCACTGTTGCTTTCCATCAACATTTCCTTTATGAACTTCCTTTGCCTTCACATTCATTCACAGTACACATAAACATGTTTATTATACAACATGTTCTTTTCTTCAGAAAAATATTAATAAGTACTCGTTGAAGAATTAAAAATAAAAAATTCATTATAAAAAGTACTTACTCTTACTATTTGTTAATTCATTAAATAGTGTCTTTAGGACATTGATTAGCACAAATTCTTTTGTTTATAGGTGAAAACATTATGTTACAAACCATTTTATTTTGTGACACATTTTTTGAGCTTTCATATCAAATCACTTTTTTTTCTAATAAATACCCATTTTTTATCTATATTTGATTGGTCATTCATTAAAAACACCAAACTTTTTTTGTTCATTTAATCAATACCCATTTTTTTTTTCTAATAACATCAATGATTATGGAATGTTAGCAAGTTTTTATCAATTAAAAAGTAGTTACTGAAATATTTTATAGTCTGCTTTGTTATATTTCATTTGTACTTAAAATACTCAAGTAGTATACAAGATATTTGCCAATATTTATCATACACACCAATGGAGCATTTCTTAAAGATTTGTTTGGTTGATTGGTTTATATTACAAAGTAGGAGGTACTTAACTCCATCTTCCCTACCAATCCCAAATGGCAATAAGTATTTTGAGTAAGGATTAAACTGACATATGCATATTTGAGTTAACTTGGGTGAATTAGAGGCAAGGTGAGGATTGTTGTTAATTGAAAAATTGATAGGAAACTTAATATGGAGCCAAAGGTAGAGCAAAAGCCACCAAAGATCAAGGTGATTGATAATATTCCTGAGTTGGACTTGGCTACTCTAAAGAAGAATTCACACATGCTTGTGTCACCAACATCTCAATCAACAATATCAAGAAAAAACTCAAATGGAAGATTGAATTGTCTATGCTCTCCCACCACACATGCTGGCTCCTTCAGATGCAGACATCATCGATCTTCTGGTTTGACTCGTGGTAGATCTGTTGGATCCAATCTTCTTGAATTGGGATCAAAGACAGGCCCAATAAGTGACTCACTCCAAGCTCAGTAACTTGCATGGCAAGTAATGAGGTTGCACATATACAACATCTGCATGCATCTATCTCTTCAGCAGCCAATCATTGTTCAGAGTGTTCATTATCAAATCCTTTAGTTTTTTGAGGATGTCAAATTTTACATCTCTTGAACAAACCCTTCTTGGTGTTCAGACTAATTATGGTGATTGAAAAACTCATAATTGAGTTATTGTAAGGTTGCACATATCCATATATATACATGTGCATACATATATATCATTATGTTTATCGCAACCAATCATTGTTCAGATTTTCCTTCATATGTTCTCTACCTTTTTTTAAGTGTTCTGTAGAGATGATACCAAAAATCGATTCAATCTGATGTTAATCATAAAATCAAAACAAACAAATTGATAGCTAAACAAATTGAAAAACTTAAAAGCATGTTGTTGTATGACGCTTTTAAATTTAAAAACTTATAAATTAAAACTTTAATAATAAATATTTTATTATATTAAGTAAGATTGGATTAAAAAGATAATTTTAAAAAAATAATGTTCCATTCAAGTCCGTGTCATCGTTGAATTTACTTCATGAGGTATTATTTATTTTAACTCTTGAAAATTTAAGGGACGCAATAAAAACTCGAATATTAAAAATAAATTTATTATAATTAAATAAATAAATAATTATAAAAAAGTATTTATAAAAATATAATTTTTGAGAAAAAATAAATAAAAGTAATGGACTCTTTAATTCTTAAAAGAGAAAACATATTTTTTATATAATTTAAAATATATAATTATTGAGAATTTTGACATGGCAAACAATAGATTAACTATTATAAAGTTTATAATTGTAAACATAAGTATTTATATAAAAAATTGATATTTATATAAAGTAATAAAAAGAATTTACAAACATAAACATGTGAATATTTATAAAAAAAATATTAAAATCTTATATAAAATAATAAACATATTTATAAATATAAAAATAGATATTTATGAATTAAAAATAAAAAATTTATAAAGTAATAAAAGAAAGTTAAGTAATGTGATGTTTAAATTTTAGAACAAAATTAATAAAAAGTAAGTAAAAGATAAAATTATTATAATAATTTAATAAATTTTAATTTTAAAATATATTCGTCACTTCCTATAAATGAGAATAATTTATTAAATAAATTATTGTTAACTAATATATTTTTATTTATAATATAGATTTTGATTTAATTTTTAAATATATAGTTTAATTATAAAATAAAATGATTTTATTTTATTTTTATATAATAAATCTCATTGATAATATAAAATTATATTAAATGAAAATAACTTGTATCATGGTTTGAGGTAAAAAAACACAAATCTTTAGGCATATAATTTAAGATGTGATTTTGAACTTTATGTATATAAAAAGCAATTTATTTATTTTTATAATAAAAGATAATAATTTGGAATTAAAATAAATAATAATAATAAGAAGTTTACATCGAATAAAAGGAGATTTCGATTTAGTACTATAGTTTAAGAAAATGAATATGATAACAATAATGATAAAATATTAAATAAAGATGTGGTTGCAATTTGCAAGGTTTCTTGTGAATTGGGACCAAATTGGGTCTTCTTTCTATCTTCTACCTCTGTTACATTAGGTTTTCACTTCTCCCTCGGAGCTACGAATATCGCAAACCCTTCATAGATTTTCGTTCGTACAACTCGCGAATTCGAAAGACATCGACAGCTCCGCGTGAAACGGTACCATGTTTTGTTCCTTTCTGTGAGATCAGTATAAAGATTCATTTTTTATGGTTACCTTTGGTACCCCTTTTGTTGTTGTGTCAACTCAATTTAAAGCTAGGGTTTTGTGTTTAATGGTGCATCATTATTTCCTTTATTTATGTTTTTGGAAGGTGTTGTGGGTGCAGAAGATTTGAATTTTAGGGTTTGTAGAAATAGGTAAAGGAGTTTGGTACTTGTGCTCTAAGATTTCCATATATGCTGTCTGAGGCTAACACTGTACGAGTACATTAGAGCTTGTAATATGAGTACAAGTTTAATTTTGATGCACAATTAATGTATAAGGATTTTACATTGTCATCCAGTGATGTGTTGCTATGTCATTTAATGAGCTCTCTTAATTACAAATCGAGAGATGTCAAAGTCATTCAATGAAGTGCCAACGGTACATATCATTGGCTGATAGTGTAAAACTTTTGTAAATGGATGGAGCATTCGGAAAGAGATTTGTAGGATATGTAGTGGACTAGTGCGAACTAAGTTTCATTCCTATTGTTAGAGAAGGACTTTATTCTTTTCAATCATTTTTAATGGTGATAGCTTTTGTTGTTTGTGACCACTACCCTATGGAAATTCATATGGTAAACAAGGAGGGTAGGAAGTAGTGGAGAATGAGTTATTTGGATGATGTTCAATTTTTTCCACCTTTTGGTATTGATAGGTGATATTATCTTTTATCTTTTTCAGTTGTACTCCTTAACTTTTTTTATTTCTAAAGTGAAGTTTCATTTCTTTGCCAGTTCTCTTCTTGTCTGGTTTCCAATGTTGGCTACTAGTGCAGTTGCATCTTTGCCCAAATTACCACCAGGTAAATGATAAATTCCTACTTTTGTTGCATTTTGATTTTAACTTTTTTTTAGGTTTAGGAAATATGAGATGGGAAAAATTATAGTTGTGAGTCACTTTTATTTTGCATCACCATCATAAATCCATCACAGAGAAATCCTTGGAGCAATATTCATTAATGAATATGTTATTTGTATCCCTTTGATTCTTTATAGGTATGTGAGGACTTGGTGACAAAAGTGTTCAGTTGTGATGATATGACCAGAAGTTCAGATTGAGTCAATTTGATTGTTAATTTACCTGGAAACGAATTTGATATATGCTTTATTGCATTATTGATTGCTATAATCTCATGCTTTTAAAACATCCGCTTGTGTGTTAAAATCCGCATCTAATTTGTTGATTGCTCAATTGATTGGACTCAATTTAAGGCGAAGGTTTAAGCTGTCCCATTGTGCACATTTGCATCAAATTGGCTGCTTTCACATGCAATTTTAGATGTAAAATGCATTGGTATACATTATTTTTTTTCTGTTGGCATGGGTTATAGTAATCGATTAACATCTGCCCTCCATGCACTGATGAAAATGATTGAGAGCATAATTCAATTTTTTAACTTTTTTTATGATCATAAAATGATTGTATTTTTTGTGAACAGTGAGAAGAGTTGGCCACCGCATTGAAGAGAATGCCATTACCACATCTAGCATACCAAGAGGATTACAGACTATTAATAATTCAATATCTCAGAATTGTACACGGTTTCCATTTGGCCCAAGAACTCATTCTACTCAGACTGCAACTATAATATGTGCTGCAGCTTTGGTAATGTCTTTTATTCTTAGTTTATCATCTTTGATGCTTTCCTCTGCTCAAGATTGCGATATTTTCCAATTTCAGTAGTCTCTCAGTTTCCTAATTTTGAATATATTTTTTGTATAGATATTGTTTATTTTGTTCAGACCTTTAAGGCATACATAGTCTAAACACTTGGGGAAAACAGCTTCAGTAGAGGCATATTGTCTTTAATGGCCATTTAGGCTGGAAAAGTTCATATATTGTTTGTTGATTTTAACTCATGGCTTACTGCTTCAAGGCATTAAATATCATACATTTTGTGTACCGAAGATGTGTTTAATGTGTTATCTCCGTTCAGTCTGAGACTTTCTAAGCTCCTCGTGGTCACTTAGACACTTTTTATGCTGTTATTTTCCCCATTTTTTATGCTAAAACTACTAGAAAAATTCGACATATTGCATTCGAGATTTCTTATCTGAACACACGTTCTAAATGTAAAAAAGGCAACACCTTTGTCGATCTCCCTTTACTAATCCCCTCTGATATATACAGAATGCAAGATGTGGTGCAGAGCAAACTCAAACTGTTACTCGTGAGGCTCCTACAATCACCCATGTTCCTGGTAATTGCTGATGACTACCAACATTATTGATTTGTTAAATATGTTAGTTCACTCCCTCGTTGTTGCAGTTTACTTTTGTTTCATTTGTCAAGATTTGTGTATTTTTAACAAATAATTGAGGACCTATTGCCCCTTCTAAATGAAATTCTCTGCTCTTAAACATGGAAAACTGAGCAGGAATTCCTTCAAAACAAAGTCAACTCCATTTTGCTTTGTGTTTACTTATAGGAAAACACTATGAAAAAACATAAATGTTATCTATTACAAGTAGACACTTCCAAAGCATGTTCTAAATTCTCTATCATTGTTTAATTCAACATTCAGGCAAGGAGAAGTCACCACAACTCGATGACGGTGGAACTGGATTTCCCCCTCGTGATGATGATGATGGTGGCGGTGGAGGGGGTGGAGGTGGAGGCAACTGGTCTGGTGGATTCTTCTTTTTTGGGTTTCTAGCTTTTCTTGGCTTCATAAAGGATAAGGAAAGCGAAGACACATACAGGGATAACAGAAGAAGGTGAAGAATTGGCCACGCCAAATGCCTGCTTTGCTTGAAGTTTTTGGCTACTGTATTCTTTAATTTCCTTTTTCTCATATATGCATACCATATATTGCATTGGTTAACTTGGGGTACTATGGTTCAGTAAGATGGTGCATACACGCAGAATTTTGTATTATTACTTTACAAATTATAGTCCCTTTGACACTTTAGTATGGAAGGAAATGTAGTAATAATCAATATCAAGTAACATTAGTTTCTTGTTAATCTTGGTATAACTATAGTAGTAATGCATTTTCACTTGTGTTGCAAATTAGCATGATACTTAGATGGAGTTCTCATTTGTTTTAGTTTGTCATCTTTCCCTGTTGCTCACTACATATTCTTACATAATTATAGATTACTGAAAATTAACTTCAGTAACTGTTTAAATTGCTAAGAGAAAGTTTCAATTATAAAAATTTGAGCAAAAATTATTAAAAATTAATTATTGAATTCTACTAAATTAACAAAGATTTCTTACAAATAAAAAAGACTACTTTTATAGATATATAAATAATAATCACAGGTCAAATATTTCTTCATTCTTGTATTTAATGAATAAGTTAAATTAATGTAACTTTCTAAAGTTTGAGAATTTTAAATAGATAGTTATACTTTAAGGGTTGCTAAACTAATAAACTATTTTCAATTAAATTTCTTCGCTGCACTTTTATTACAATTCCGTCAAAATTGGATTAAAAACAACTTGATCCCTCTTAAAAATAAAGTATTTTGCATCTAGTTTTGCTGAACTCTTAACCCAGAGACCTAATTAAAAGACATTAGAAGTTTAAAAGTCCGAGAACAAACTTTTAAAACACAAATTTATATAGATTAAGATATTAATTTGACACAGTCACGTATTCAAACATTTAAAAATTACAACCATTGCTATTTTTTCGGATAAGGGTTTTGCCCAATATTATAGTAATACTAAAGATAAACTCAAGTAAAGGAAGAGAAAAAAAACACTGATTATTAAACCCTCAGAAACAATAAATCCAAATTTTAGTTAACTATAAATAAAATTAGAATCCAACAATTAAGAACCACAAACAACTGAACACTGATACTTTCGATCCATCTTGAGAAATGTGGTCCCCTAAATAATTTAAAATCGCCATAGTAAATAAATTAAACATGCATTCTTAATAATCCTTATCATTGACTTTCTCTATGTTATACCAAATAACAAACATTAGCAATAAATGTTAAATACCACCTCAGATATTTTATATTAATTGATATTCATCACGTATCATTTATATACCTAACCCACGTGATTATTTAAAGGATTAACGATTGCATTAAAAAATTTCAATTCAACACGTAGTCGTTAATGACTGTTAACGTCTTAAATGCATTTTTCTATTATTTAAAATGACTCTGCATCCGTTTTCTTTTTCCTTGAGTTATACACAAAATTGCTCAAGAGTAACAGTATTCACCACGGTGTTATTCTGATACCCACCAAATCTCCCCCCGAAAAAGAAAAGAGCTCTATACAAAAAAGCACGGTCACAATAAACCGAAAATAAAAAAATAAAAAAAAGCGAGAACAAATCAAACAGAAGCATCATGGATCTGTAATAAGCCCTCAGAAACTAAATAAAACCAATAGGTGATATAGTAAGAGGAAAAGGGTAACAATATTCCAAACATTGAACACGCCCCCCCTCTCCCCCATGTTAGCTGTCCGCACATAGGGTCACTGCTTATCTTGTTGGCCTAGTCCATGTAGTCTCCGACGTGATAGTGTTACCATAATAAACCTGCTTTGTGCTCTCATCCCAGTAAGCCTGCAAAAAAAATTGAAACTTATATGATCAAAATGTCACAATACAATATTTATGCACCAATTTCATGGTTTCAAAAAATATACTAGTAAATACAAAATTTCAATACTCTTGAACTGCTGTAGTTTCAACTTTCAATATCTACCTTGTTGCAATCAACACAACACTGGTTGGTTTTACTAGTATCAAGGAAATATAAGAGAATCCCAAGTATAGAAACGCAATATTTGCGCAAGTTTACCAGAGGAACATCCAAGAAGAGGAAACACCAAGTTAGCTCACTTAAAGCAGAAGAAATATAAAATTGTGTATTCAGAGCGCTTTTAACCCAGCCTCCTCAAATCCAATTTCACCTTCAATGTTTGCTTAAAAGCTTGCTTTGTTAAAGCACATAGGATAGGATCCTTAAAACAAACCTGCCAATTAGATGGGAGACCCTTACAGAGTTCAATCAGATCAGGCTGTTGCTGGTTATGCTCAATTGCATCTTGTGTACCAACAGATTCACTTGCTGCGCGCGCTCTCTTTCGTTTGACCTTCTCTCGCCTGTATAAAACATGTAATCTCATTATTGTGCATAATCTGGACAATGGCTGGATGTAAAATTGAAAGGTTTCTCGAGTCCCATACCAATCACCACCTAAAGGCTGAAAATTAGCATTATCTTTGGCCTCTCCACTTGCAATTTGCTTGGCATGCCACTCCTAAAAGCAAAGAAATTTGAGAAACAAAATTGAATCACTACAATGTTCTGTGAAGGTAAGTTCCGCATGCAAACCTCTATTTCCCTTTGGCGCTTTCTTTCTAAGACCTCATACACACTCTCAGGTTCTTCCTCTTCTTCAAGCAACTCCTCTTTAGCTGCCTTCCACTAATAATAATAAACAACCAAAAACAAAGTAGACAGGACAAATATTAGAAACTAAGATGGATTTTATGTTGGAGAGAAAATAATCCAGGTACTAAGAAAAATTAAAATATAATTTTATTTAAAAAGCTACCTTATCCACCAAACTTGAAACCTTCTTATTAGATTTTAATGAGGATCCAACTGCAACTGCTCGCTTTCTACGTCCAGCTGAGAAAAAGATGAGGAAAGAAAGTAATCATGAGGAGGGAACATTTCAACCAATACTACCAAGTAATTGTAACTGAATATCATCAAATCTGAAAAACTTATTTCCTACAACCTAGGAATATATGCATCTACTAGAATTGTAGGGTGCTTACAAGGCCAATAAATCAGGCCCCTATATTTTACCAGCTAAATTTGAAGCAGGTTAACCTACAGTAACACGAAACTTGCTCAGAATATGTACCTTTTGTATGTGCTTTCGATACTAATGATGAAGCATTGTTGTCTGCAGCAGCTTCAACTGTAGCTGGTGGCAATGAAACACCATCATCAACTGAAACAGTTGCAGGTGCATGGATTCTAGATGAAGACGGAACATCATTTGATGCCCTGTCAGCCCCACCAACACCAGAATCATTAATATTGATAGCAGGTATGGACTTTGTAACAGCTCCTGAAAAATTCAGAGAAATCAAATTGACGAAAAAAGTGACATAACTGAGTTGGACTAGAATATTCACCATAATAAAAATAGAAATATTTCACTATCAACTATTCTGCCGGTACCAATACTGACGTACCATCTTGGAGCTCATAATAAGAAACAGGATCAGTTGGATTGATCATAACTTGAGCGTTTTCACTATACATATTAGGAACGGCACTATTATAGTAAAGCTGTGCAGGTGGCATAGCAATATGTCCATATATATTACTGCTCGGGACTTCAGCTGCTGTCTGCCCATAATAATCAGCACTAGCACCAGGATAAGATACAGTATATTGAGCATAAGAAAAGGGCTGTCCTGTCTCTGTGTATGATGGGAGAGCAGTATAAGAAGGTGCTAGTGGATCACCAGGAGGAGGGGGGACCTGATCATTGTCAGGTGGTGGTGGTGGTGGCACCTGCTCATTATCAGGAGGTGGTGGAGGAATCCATTCATCATCCGGAGGAGGAGGAACAACAAACTCATCCTCACGCAACACAGAATGGTAGTCAACAGGTGGATTCAAATGAACCATTTGACCTGTTTGCACAAAATCCTTTGCAACTGACCCATCAGTGAGAGGTGTATTGCCTGAGGAATTCATATCTTCAACTTCCATGTCCACATCCATATCAACATCTTCTCCAACATTATACCCATGTTGATGAGTTGATTCCTCTGGATTTATAGTTGCTTCAACTTGTGTATTAACTTCACCTGTTTGCATTTTACTACCAGGGGAATCAGACAATGGAACATGCTGAGCATTGGTGGAAATTTTATTGTTGATATCTTCTAATAAAACTAAAGCCGAAGCACCAGCCTGAGACCCATCAGAAACATCAGAAGTAAGAAGGCTCCCTTTGTTTTCATTGGGATCTACGTCCAACTCATTTCTCGTGCCATTCTGTTGCTCACCTAATCCTTCAGAGACTGGGACATGTTTATTCTCAACTTCATTATGCACTATATTAGCAGGTTGCAACAAATCATCATTGATTAAACTTTCAAGTACTTTTATCTTTCCGTCAGAATGCACCCAGAATGGATGCAAAGATGATCCATGAGAAGCAAGAGACCTAAAATCAGAGAGCCTAATCTCAATCTCTAGCATGTACTTTGAGAAGGAGTCCTTGACTTGCAGATTTCCATTTGACCTGTATAGTATTATATTAGTTATTTAAAACAGGAAGAAATAAGTTTTTGACAGTATCAAATAATCAAACAAAATATTGCAAATAAATGATGCATAACAACTGAAATAATATACTTACTTTGTCAGTGATTTCAGCCTCTCTAATAAACTCTCACTCTGTTTGACGAGACGGGATGGAAAATCAGTGTCCAACTGCTGTTCTTCAACACTAAACTTGGAAACAGAAGAATGATCTCCACCATAACATAAATCTACATGACCATCATTTTTTATCAATTCATTTCCATTAATATCATTTATGCATTCACCACTACTTCCATTCATTTGAGACCCATGACCATACAATTCTTTATTAGAAGTCACAGTGGTTTCCAAAGAACCATCAACTGTGAATGCATCAGAAGTATCTTGCATCACAGCTGAGGACACATTGGAATGATTTACACCAACAACAGCACTCTCTATTTTATCATTGACAGAAGCAGGAGGTATCAAATCATTAGCCGACTGATCCACTTGAGACAAAACCTGGGGCACTTCCCATGAAGTTTCCCCAGTTTCAATGTTCCAGTAATAATAGCGTTGGCTTTCCTCATGCATCACCATCTTCCACCCAAAACCAACATCTGTGACAACTCGTTCATCAAAACTTTCAGAAACATACATTTGATCTTTGGAACCCACTTCATTTTGGAAATTACCAGTAGCACCATGAATTTCATTTCTTTCACTGCATTCAACATCAACTGATGTAGAATTTTGTATTGCACTCTCTTGTCCATTATTATGAGCAACAGGATCTACAGAGACACTGTTGTCTAAATCTTTCAATCCTTCATCAAGTGCACCTCTAGCCTGACAAAAATAAAACACCTCAGTATATGTAGTACTTAAAGACATAGCTTAATCATTATTAGATTAAGTACAGTATACAATCATTCCACAGACTATATCAAATAGTGCAATGAATTGCAAAAACAATTATGCACAGGTCTTATTTTTAGATAACGAGATAAATATGAACATCATTACACGGGAACAAGTCCTAGTAAAATGATTTCCAATCAAAGTATTCATCAATTGAAAATAATATGCCTCTGATAAAACAGGACAGTGAAAAAAAATTACAAATTTGCTAACTAATGCAAGAGACACAGATAATTGGTAATTTATAGCTGAACCAGGAATACAGGATCTCACTCTCAAATAATGCCAGTCTATTATGCCCAATCCGTAAATTATTAACAAAGGAATTGTAAAACCACACTAACATTGAACCAGGCCCAATATGGACATGATCCCCTCATGCCATAAGAGTCAAGAGATAATCAATTACGGAGATTATTATATCAATTTGAACACCACACAAGGCCAGCCACAAATATGAGAATCACTGAATCAGACACATATTTGAACGACAAAACAAAACTTCTGAATTAAAATACACATGTTGGCAGTACAATACCTCTTCATTGAGCAAGAGGCTCTCTGTTTTCATATCATTAGGCTCTTTGCTTGACCCCCCATCCACTTCATCATCACTATATTGCCCAAGTAATAGCAGGGGATTCTGTGGTGGTTGACCTGAAGACAAAAAGGCAGCATGTTAGAAACTATGAAAATACTGGATTATTAACCATGTAATAGCAAGAAAATTTGACAAAAATGCCAAAAAGATTAAAAAACTATAAAAGACAAGTGCTGCAAATGACAAGAAAGACAAAAGGAAGCTTAAGGATGCAAATAGATTCACAAGCATTTTAGCTTGTATCATCAGAGTCACCACCTGTTACAGATGGGAAATGTCAGTAAGGCACCAAGCAAATAAAGCCAGAAACATACGAACCGATAAAACTTTCTACAGTCTGAACCTTCGAAATCCCCTGATGCAGCCAAAAGGAAGGGAAAACAATTGGGAGTCATTCATATTTCAATGTGGCAGGGCCGACCTCATCTGAAATGAATGTTCCCAAGACCACAGCAGCACTACAGTCTGAGAAAAGTTTCTTGGGGCAAACAACAAAACATGTCTTGTACATATAGTTCCATATTTCCACCAATTAATGTTGAGCACTCATGTCCTCTAAATATAGTCCTTTTGAAGAAAACTGACAGAACCCACCTGAAGAAGAGGGTGAATTGGGTAAGCCCTCACGATGTTGTGAATCGATATCTCCTCCCGCATCACCATGTACAGTGGAGCCACCCAACTCTCCTGGAGAGGTATAAAATTAAAAACTAACACTTAACTGAAATACATTAAAAACCACGTCCATAATCTGAGACACTAAGTGCATTTTTGTTTGCATTTTAAAATAAAAAAATTGGTATATTTTTTTTATTTTAAAAAGAGAAAAATCCTTTTAAAAATACAAACAAAACCTTTAATAGGTGCATTATACTCAAGACTCAACGCATACAGTTCAAAATCACTAATCTAATACCGCAGAACATATCTTATGTACTACTCCAGAAGTCATTTGCACGTTCAAAAGCATTGCACTGGTACCAATTTTTTCTAAAATACACACATAAATCTATGGATTTACAAACTACCACAGTGGAATGTAGATAAAACTCTGCTCACATGTAAAATTCCAAACTTTTATTTGCCCAAGACAAAAGCTGAAAAGCATAATATTTTTTTATAAATAATACAATATAAGATAAGATTTATTACAATATGTATAATATTTGATTCGACAAGTCTTCAAATATGAAATTAACAAATGTACATACAAATTTTAACAAGATGCAATAAAACCATAGAGCAAAAATAACAACATAATATAACAATTTGATTCATCGTCTCATAATACTAAGTTAACAATTTTAATATTCCTTTCAGTTTCAATTAAAAAAAAACATAAAAGTTTACAATTACAAATATATGGACGAAATTAGGGTTTCCATGTTGGAAGCAATCCGAAAAATAACCTCAAAATAAATAAAAATTGATAAAAGAGCTTAAAGGAAGGAAAGGGAGTGAATACCAGAGGGTTCCGCGAAAAGATCGAGTTTGACTCTGCGACCAGCGTTGCTGAGAGCCGCAAGGCGACGCTCTTTTCTCTTCCCCATTCGATTCCCTCTTCCAATTTCGATTGAATAAACGCTTCGAGGCGTCAAGTGTGGAAGAAACGGAGTTACGGTTTCTAGGGTTTACGCGTTGCTAATGCTATCTTTTGCATTTGAATCTCTGATACGAGAAAACCCAAAACAAAGAAGAAAAAGAAGGGTCGGGCCACGGGTATCGGATCTTGAATCTTCGGATGTGGGTTGGGTCTCTCCAGGTTACGTGTCTGGACTCGTTCATACAATGCGTTAGCTACCTTTTTTTTATTTTTTTTTAAATTGACAATTATGATTATTTTAATATTTTAAAAATTAAATGTTTTTTAGACTACTAATTTTTATTATTTATTATATATATTTAATATAAAATTAACGATTATATTATTTTATGAATAAATGATAAAAAATATCCTTTTTTAAAGTATCATAAAAATTATTTCGGTGTAAATAATATCTTTATTTAACATGTGTTCAAATGAAAATAAATAAAATATTGTAAATTTTATTATAAAATAAGTAATCAACGAAAATTTACATCAATTTACGAATTGAAATCATAACACGTGTTATACTTAGTTCAAATGACTCATGATGTGATGCATAGCTTTTGTGTTCTTGATTAGGTTTATTTTTTATTATTTTTTTCTTTTACTTAAGATGAACTCTCTTAGATTTAGATCTCTTAAAATTGTTTTGTAGTGTTTCTTGTTAGTTTTGAGCTTTTTAAACCTGTATAATATATAAAAATAATAAAAAAGTAAATATATTTATTATTTTGAAATTGAAAATATTTAAAAGTTTCTTTATTTATTAGTCAAAAATATATAAACAATAAACAATTTTTATTTTAAGTTTGCTTTATCCTTTTACTCCTATTCATCTTTCTAATTATTCTCTTATGCAGTTTGTAATATAAGAACGAATGAATTTATTATCAGTCTAAAATATTAATTGTTATTCTTTTTAAAATTTGTTTATGTAAGACCTTTTTTTTCATTAATTAAATTAATAATTATATTTCAATAGAAAATCTTGAATGAGAAGTGGTATTACACATTTTTTTAATAATAATAAACACTTATAGTAAACACTAAATAAAAAAAATTCAGTTTTTTGATCTTACAAATATACCACTTGTTTAGTTTTTTATAAAATTAATTATATATTCTTATCTATTACTATCTTAGTACTTTATAAAGTAAGAAAGTATTAAATAAAAAAAAAGTGTATGATTTATCTTAATTTTAGTATTATTCTAATACTTGCTATTGAATTATTTTATATTATAATGATTTATCTTTTACAATTTAAAAAAATAAATTAAAAAATACCTAACCGTATAAAAAAGATGTGTGTGTACTTCTGAAGAAACTTTTGATACGGTGCGGTGCGCGAGTGAAGATCACGCGGACTAAGTGTAAGCTTCGTTGCGTGGGTTTCAGTATTGGTAGAGTTAGGTCATTTTTTATTTCACTTACAAATTTAAACTTTAAAACTTTATTAGAAAAAATAAGTGTTGATATTGTTTTTGAATAATATCAGAATAGACTAAAATGAATTTTAACATTTTGAAATGTCAAAAGCAATCACTGTTTAAATATTAGTTTAATATTTGTCAAACACAAGTATTATTAAAGTATAAATATTTTATTTATATAATAAATTTAAATTCATGAGATGCAAATTTTTATTTTAAAAATCAAAAAATATCTAAAAATTAAAAAATAATAAATTTGAATGCTGATTTCTTGTCAAATGAATAAATTTTATAATTTTTTATTAAAAAATAAAATAACAAACATTTTATTGTATTATTTTATTTTAATAGTATTATATTTTAAAAATATAAATAAATATTAAATTTTAAACAACATATTTATAAATATTTAAATTATACAAATTTAAATATAAGTCACTTTCTACGTTTACAAAGATTGAGGACGAAAGAAGGTACAACTTTGATTAGCCTTCGGTTGTCTTTTTCATCAATAATTGAGATGGGATATGCAACGAAAAACAAAAATTGTTAATTTTTTTAAATGAAAAATAATCACTTTTTAAAACTCTATTAATAATAAGTTAGAAAAAATAATAAAATTTTTATTTCAATTGCTATAAGATAAATTTCGTATAACTTTAAATAATTGTTTATATATGTGAAAAATTTTCAAAAAGTAAAATATAAATGAGTAAGTATGACATTAAATAAGATATTAAGTATTCAATAAGAAAATTTTAAAATTGAAAAAAATAAATTCTAAAATAAGCTAATAGAACTAATATTATTATGGGATCCAGCTCTTGTTTCATTCAAAGAATATAATATATATATATATATATATATATATATAATTATTAGATGAAAAATAATAGTTGACAACAAAAGGAAATGCATTCTTAAAGTTAATTTTTTGTTGACATTTAAAGTTTGAAATCAACATATATAATTAGAGGTTAAATTTAGTGCATAATTAATTTTTAAAATTTTTACACGGTCAATAAGTTAAAATACATTATGAATGTAAATTTTATATCATATTATTATAAAAATTAATAACTCTTACTGATATAACAATTCATTACACTCTCATAGTGTTTTAATTAAATTCATATAATTATTTACTTTTATTATTCAATTTTTCTTTTTAAGAATGAAATCTTGATAAGTTAATTGTCAATTCTAACAAAGTTCTCGTGATTTTAGTTTGAAACCTTGACTGTTGTTAAGTGTGTATTTGAACTTAAAATTTTCAAATTGTGATTTAAATAGAAGTTTATTTCTTTTAACTTCGGTTCAAATCATAAATTTGAAATCACTGAATATGTAAATTAATTAATACAGGATTGATTTAATTTAATTATTAATCTTGGACTTAAGTTTTAGATATGAAATTACGTCAAATTTTCAAAAGAAATTTTTTAATTCTTATAATAATTTTATTTCTTAAAATAAAATTATTTCTAATAAAAATAAATAAAATTTAGAAAAAACTTGTGAAAATCCAAATATACTCTAAATAGTATGTTGATTTAGTTGACAAGAATAAAAACATTACAACTACAAAATTTGGGTTCACCTTTGCCACTTGAAATCTCTATTGGTAGTAATAGGACATTTCCCTTTTAGTAAACTTGTGGGGAAAAAAACTTAGAATAAAGTGGTGATAAAACACAGTCACTTTAGTTTTACCCCACAAGATAATAATAATAATAACAATAATAATAATAATAATAATAATAATAATAAACCTCTCTTTATGGCCACCCAATTACCATTTTAGACTAGTAGTTGTTTCCCAGGAAGAAGAGAAGTTCTACCTACTTAGCTCTGCATTCTTCTTGCCCTTTTTTAACTATCAATTCCAAAATATTTCCTCCTACTTTTTAAAAGGTGTTGCAGCATATATTATCTAATAAATAAGTGTTTATTAAAATGTGTACATTTGAGCTTAAATTGTCATTTGTGTTTTATACTTATCTTTTGAAAAGGTTTCTATAGTAATATTAAAATATATTTGTAATACTTATATTTTAGTTTCTCAATTTTTTTAATGTCGTGGTTCATACATTTTGACAAATTGTTATTAGTCATTATTACTATTGTAATCTATTAAGGGTTTGTCATAAATTAATAAATTAATCTATGGTTAGATCACTTTAGTGACAGTGACTAAAACAAAATTTTATGAAAATAGAAAAATATTTTTTCAAAAATATAAAAAAATTCTAAAATGTGAAAATATAGAATATATTTAATTCTTAAAACCAATTATTAAAAATAGAATATATAGAAAAATATTATCTTTATCTTGCTTATGGACATTCTTCTCCAACCTCTTGGATTGATTTTTGTTATAATCAGGTTGAAGATTGTAGACTATATTTTTTCTAAGACATTGTATCATATGATAAAAATTCTAAATATCACTGTGTTTTCTTTATTGCGTTGCATGCATTGCAGGCGAAAGGTGAGAGTTTATTTCAACAACCTCACTATTATAACATAAAAAAAAGTCTTCTGTTTTAAACATGAGTGTTGCTTTCACTTGTTATTTCTTATTTAGTAATAAGAGAAACACAAATTATAGGGAGCTATCATTGGTTTATTTGAATAAGAATGTATGAAGATCATAAAAATTGAATTGTTATGGCTATTCATATAAAACAAAGTCTTACATCTCATTTCTTCAAGGTAATATATATATATATATATATATTCCAAGTGCTCTTTGTACCTTATTTTTTTCTATTTTAGAATGAGGTACCATACCCTTCTAAAAGTTGGCGATGAGAAATTCATATTGAGTTGATCAGGGACCTTAAGATATACCAATTTCTTGCTAAGTTATTTACATCTTTAGCAATTTAAAAAATCAGTAAAAATATATTTTCTATTTTAAGGTTTTAAAAACTTTTACGTTTTTAAAAAGAGCAAAAATATTTGTAAATTTTAAAGTTTTACAAGGATGTTTTTATCTATACTCTATTTTCTATCTTGGACATTACTTTTTCTCTCATTTATCACATGGGATTGTGTAAAAAAGAAAAAAAGAAGAAGCTTACATTAGCTTATGAAAATGAATAGAAAACATTTTTTTTATAATTTTATTCAGACAGTTCAAAATCTGTATTCTGTAAGATGGTAATTTTAAAAAAAGAAAATAAAATATATTCTTTTTGGTGGAACAAGCAAAACAAAGTATACGCACTTATAATCTTTTATAAATTATTAAGCAAAATTAATTTTAACAATTCACATACAATTATATGATTAAAACTAAATTTTCTCATTGAAACATTAAGAGTCGAAATTTTCTTATTGTAAAAGTAAATCTCATTATACAATGTGTATTTAGAATCACATTAAAAAAATTATAAATATCAATTTAATAAAAAACATAACTATTAATATTCAAGGAAATATTTATGTTAGTTCAAACATGAATTTAAACATAATATTAATGTATAACTTTATTATTATTTATCTTAAAAGTTACAGGATAGCAAAAGCAAAGCTTTGGAGTTTCAAACGAAAATTTTAAAATGTAGAAATCAAATCTAAACTTAAAAAAAACTACAAAGATATAAATGTATTTAAACTTAAAAAGTTTTAACATTTTGATATTCAATTCACCTCACGAAAAACTCTTTTTAGTAAGAAAGTTGAAGTTAACTTCAAATTTATATTTATATATGTTTGATATATGATAGTTGCTTGGGCCTTGTGGGTTGTACTCTATCTGTCAGCGACCATATCACTTTCGTCACCTTAACAAACACAGATTCCTCAATCATCCTCAGTTTCTCAATCGTAACTGAAGGCCTCGCTACTGAAAACTCTTTTCCAAAGCTTCTAAATCCTCTCTCTCTCTCTCTCTCTCTCTGTTTGTTGATCTTTTGCCTCCAAGGTTTGATTTTTCTCCCCACCCACTTCAGTTTTTTTGCTTTTTAATCCTAGATGAAGCTGCAGAATTTGATTTTAACGAATATTTTGATGTGGGGTTCTTGAATTTTCAGTAAATTTTGTTCCTTTTTTTTGTGTTTGTTTGTCTCTGGATCACATGGATCGATGAGTTTCTCATGCAAATGAGTTAATGAATATGCTAACGGTGACTTGTATTGAAATCAAAATCTAATTTCATGTAAAGTTTATAAATTTGTGTTCTTGTGGTTTGGGGTTGTTGACTTTTGAATCTGATAATTGCTTCTGGAATTTTGACATGCTTTGTGTGTGAAGCTGCATGTGAGATCATGGATTTCTGTTTATCAATTATTAGTAATTGGTGGTTTATATGATCATGGATTTATTGAAATTTTAATTTGTGATATGGCCAATGTAGCCTCATCTCATCTTGTGGAATAAGGCTGGTTTGTTGTTGATGTTGTTTTATGGATGGTTCTATCTGAAGTTCCTTAATCCTTATTAATTTCTTAAATTTCTGACGGTTTATCATGGCAATTAGGGCAAATCTATTTCAACAACCAAACATTTGGAACAATTTTAAGGATGTCTGATAGCATGTGTAGAAACTTGCATTGAATTGCAAACTTATATGCGCAACTTCATGTGTGCTTTAATGTGAGAAGAATGCCTTTGAATGGGGATGCTTTTAATATGCTATGATATGTATTTGCAATTTGATTCTGACCATGGTTAATATACAGAACTTGTTGTACTGTTTTGTTTTTCAATTTGAGTACTTTCTAATATCAGAATGTGATGGATATTTTATTTCAAATCTGAAAACAGATTTTTTTCCTCCATTGCTGCCTTTCAAATTTTGAAGATCTTGCCACTTGATATTGGCTACCAGAAGTTGGAAATGGTTAAAAGGTTCAATTTCCTTGTGCTTGCTTATGGTGACTTTATGAGGAATGAACTCAGTGGAATGTCTAACTCATTTATTCTTGAAACAGTTATGGAGTGTTCTGATTTGCAAGAGATATCATGTTGCAGTGCTTAGAGGGAATTAAGCCTTTATTTGCTTCCCTATTGCGTTGTTGTGATATTGATATCCTTAACCAGCCAAGAGGCCTCGAAGATCCTGAACTTCTTGCTAGAGAGACAGTGTGTATGCTATTAACCTTTCTTTGTGGTTATGATTCATTATTTTTTACTTCTGTTCGTACAAAATTTAATTACAAATGGATTTTTATCTCAACCAATGTGTGTTGATTGAGAATGTGTGCTTCTAAAATTCCATCATATCTTGTGTTATTCCATGATTTCCCTCCCTCTTATTTTGAGGGAGTGTAATTAGTGCTGATCAACACGAAGAAAACCAACACCATAGAAGATGTGATTATCTAGTTTGAATGCTTGTATTGCTGATTCCGTTTAACACTTGTGTTTGGAAATAAATACCTAATATTTGTACTGAAGATAGTACTTTATTTTGCATGTGTGTGCAGTCAGTGTGAGTGAAATAGAAGCACTTTATGAGCTCTTTAAAAAGATCAGCAGCGCTGTAATTGATGATGGGCTGATTAATAAGGTTTGTCTTCTTTGTCATTGGACAACTTGTGTTAGGGCATATTATATTCATTAGTTGAGCTTTTTTCTTTGAGGAAAGAAAACATGTATTGCCTATTAATTTTAAGCTACCATTCCATTTCTATTCCACAAATTCTATTGTTCTCATGTCTTGTCATTTTCTTTATTTAGAGCATTTCAAAACTCTATCAGACGTTATATTCAATTTTTAGATACCATATGCAGGAAGAGTTTCAGTTGGCATTGTTCAAGACAAATAAAAAGGAAAGTCTGTTCGCTGATCGGGTATTGCTCTCCATTCTTTCTATCAGTTTATTATGCAAATATCTTTGTTTTAAAGCATGGAAATCTCTTTCTTTGATCATTTCAAGTTAATGCCAATACATGTGCAAAGAAAATATTGGTTTTCCTCCTTATTTTTACTTTGTATTATTGGATGTTGTGATCTTGCAAATTGGTGTATGTACATGCTATGTCCACTAGAGTTACTTATTTGTTTGTGGGTAGTGCTTGATAATTCATTGAACATGAAATTACCAAAATTATGTTTTACTCACCTTGAAAGGATTATAATTTTAAAAAGCAGCTACTGTGAATGTGTATTCATGTTTGTATGTGTAACTAAAAAGTGAGATGACAATTTGTAATTAGGATTCCAAGTTGGTCACCTACTATTTTATCTGCAAAAGTAATATATGCAGTCCCTTACTTCCATCTTCAAGAATATTCACTTTGCAAATCAGTTCCCTTACTTGTTTTTTGTTTAGTAACTTGTTCAACGATTGATTTATATTATTCAACTTTACGTGTTTCTTGTTTTGTAACTTGTTCTGCGATCAAATCCTATTACTCCTTGTAGTTAGTATCTCATATGATCTTCTGTCTAACTCTCTTAGGTATTTGATTTATTTGACACAAAGCACAATGGGATACTGGGTTTTGAAGAGTTTGCCCGTGCTCTCTCGGTTTTCCATCCAAATGCCCCTATTGATGATAAGATTGAATGTATGTTGTTTCTTTATCTATAATTATTATTTTAGCACAAATTTTCTCTACTTCATCTTTTAACTTTGAGAAAAATGCACAATTGGAATGAACTAATAAAGTGTTTAATTTATTTACATGATTTTTTCTCTCAAATAAACAAAAAATAAATCCGTATAATGTCATGTTTCAGTTTCCTTTCAACTGTATGACCTCAAGCAGCAGGGTTTTATTGAAAGGCAGGAGGTACTTAGTCTTCTTTGGTCCAATTCTATATTTTTTTCTCCTCATTTGCGACAAGCCTGATTTTTGGTTGGTTTTGTATATAGGTGAAGCAAATGGTAGTTGCTACACTTGCTGAATCTGGTATGAACCTATCAGATGATGTTATAGAAAGTATAATTGACAAGGTGCTACCCTATTCTGCCACTTCAATTTCTAATTGTGTATAGGAGTCTTCAAAGTCTCTCTTTCTCTTTCTGAAAATTCACTTGGACAGTTTTAACAAAAAAAAAATGAACTTTTTCAGACTTTTGAGGAAGCTGATACAAAGCATGATGGCAAGATTGACAAGGAAGAGTGGAGAAACCTTGTTTTGCGCCATCCTTCTCTTTTGAAGAACATGACCCTTCAATATCTCAAGTAATTCTTTAATTTATATTTTCTAGTCAATATCTGTGGGTACTCTCTCCAAAGTGGAGAGAGAACCAAATAACATTGTCCTTTATAACAACTGGTCGTGGTTTAAATCATAGTTAAGAAATGGGACTTCGTCCCTACTTTCTTGGAAACTAAAATTGACTGCAGCACCTTTGGTTTTAGTATACTATGAATTAATCTACAAAGATAATGGCATCACATTATGTGAACTACTTCAGCTTCAATCTCTAGATGCATACTCCTCAATTAGATGTAGATCATAGCACATTATATGAAATAGCTCCTTTTTAATTTCACAGTGCATAGTACTTTGATATATTTGCAGTGAACAGCTACTATATTTTTTTCTTTCTTTCTGTTTTTTGTTTTTTGTTTTTTGTCTTTCACTGGCCCTTTCTGATATCCATTTTTTAATGTGTTTGAGCAGGGACATCACCACAACATTCCCAAGCTTTGTATTCCATTCACAAGTAGACGATACTTGAAGGTCAAGTTTTTACTTGATGATTTCTCCTATGGTTTCTTTGCCTTTTGGTTGCTGAGCCACCTCTTGTCTAAAAAAGGCATGGCAGATAGCCTTGCTTACCTTACATTAGTTATACCTTGGAATAAGATTTGTGGATTGGTTTGTTGTGGATAATTTTCATTTTTTCTTGAAACTATCAGACACCTTGTGTTTCTCATATTATCGAAATCAATTCTTCTCAGCTCTAACACAAACGGACCCAATATTGCATAATTGTTAAGTAAGACGAAAGATTGTGTTGATGTACTGCTGCTTCTAATGATATCAACATAAGGAGAAAATAACATAATTTTAGTTGCACTTGAAAATATAAATAAACTAGTCTTTCGTAAGTTAAAAAGAACTTATCTAAGTTTTTAAAAAATAAAATAAAAATAATATTTAAGAAAAAGAGAAATATAAGTTAATTTTAATTTATGAAATATAACGGTTTTTTTTTAAAATTTTTATGCTTTTTTATTTTAAACAATAACTTACCTATAAGTTCTTTTTCCCAATGCCATGAATGCAAGTCATCTTCAATAAATCAATTTTAAAACATTTAACATAAGTGGAAAATGGAAAGTAGGAAAGCTCAGTCTTAATTGATGTATAAAAATTTTCTTAGGTGCCAATGTCTAATTTTATTCACTTAAAAATATCTGCCGGCACCCACAATGGTGCTCTCAACATCGTTTCTACGATTTCAATAAACTAATTGTGTGGTTTCAAGCTAGCTTTTTTTTCCGGATAATGAGATACCAATCAAATGGTTGGCTATATTCCCTAAAACTCGCCTAACGTTAGAACCACGACAACACAAACTTTGGTGTTTAGTCATTTAATCCCTTTCAAGAGAAGTCTGGACCCAAGAGCAAGAAGCTGGAAATAACAGGCTTGCTTGTATTTTAATTCGGAGCATTCAATTTCTGCTTGACAGACATTGGGACTTTCACAGGGCCTTAAGAGAAGATTTTTGCCGATGAGGATACCTCGCAGGTTTGGAAATGTACAGCTATTTATACTAGTCAGCTTCTATTTGGTGCTTTTCTCTTTTGTCAGCAGCGAAACGTACAGAGAATGCATGATCAAGACTACATAGTATAAATAGCTGCGTCCGATGTTTCATTCACAATTTAGACAATCTACTTATATTTACAGACCATAAACATCAATCCTGTCATTAATTTATTTTCAAAAGCTATTTCTTTAAAAATATTAATTTGCTTAATTATACTTTTGAATAAAAGTTAAATATATTACGTTCCTTCTTTTTTTTAAAGGGCGGCCTCGTTAGAAATCTTCCTGGGCACAATAAGAAAACGGCAGAAATAGATTCGATTACTAAAGCTAAAAACAAAAATAACCTAATCCGGGATCATAAAATAAACTCAACTAAATCCAGAAAATTATAGCTAATTTGAATTAAATACTGTCATCAATCCAAGATAAAAAAAAAAAAAAAAAAAGCACCATAGCCAAAATGTAAAGACTCCCCCGCATTATCAATAGTTGCTACTAACAAGCAAGCATGTTGTCAAATTTAATCGACTTCTTCCATCTTGCTACCCTCGGCGTCTGCATCGGCCTCCTCTAGTGGGGGCATGTCAGCATCTGCATCAGCGGCATCCTCGTCGATGCTGAGACCAAGCTTCAACATCCTGTGGATCCTGTTACCGAAAGTGTTTGGGTCGTCTAGGCTGAACCCAGAAGTGAGGAGGGCAGTCTCGAATAGCAAGAGGACAAGGTCCTTCACAGATTTGTCATTCTTGTCCGCATCAGCGCGCTTCCTCAGCTCCTCCATGATGGGATTCTCAGGGTTGATTTCCATTGTCTTCTTGCTTGACATGTACCCAGCCATGCTGTTGTCCCTCAATGCCTGAGCTTTCATAATCCTCTCCATGTTAGCGGTCCACCCATACTCTCCAGTCACGAGACAGCATGGTGAATCAACAACACGATCAGACACCACAACTTTCTCCACCTTGTCACCCAATACATCCTTTATCACCTTGCAGAGACCATCGAATCTCTCCTTGAGCTCTTCCTTCTTCTTTTTCTCGTCTTCACTCTCGTCCAGTTTCAATCCTTCCTTGGTGGCAGAGACCAATTTTTTGCCCTCAAATTCCTTCAGCTGACCAACAGCATACTCATCAATAGCATCAACCATGAAAAGAACTTCATACCCCTTCTTCCTCAGCTTCTCCAAGAAGGGAGAATTCTCAACCGCTTTCTTGCTTTCACCAGTAATGTAGTAGATATCGTTCTGACCTTCCTTCATCCTGGTCACGTAGTCCTTGAGGCTAGTCATCTCATCACCACTCTTGGTAGAGTGGTACCTCAGCAACTCAGCAATCTTTGTCTTGTTCTGAGAATCCTCATGGATACCCAGTTTCAAATTCTTGGAGAAGGCCTCATAGAACTTGTTGTAGTCCTCCTTGTTCTCGGCAATTTCAAAGAAAAGCTCAATGCACTTCTTAACCAAGTTCTTGCGAATGACCTTAAGGATCTTGTTCTGTTGCAGCATTTCTCTTGAAATGTTGAGTGGAAGATCCTCAGAGTCCACAATACCCTTAACAAATCCAAGATATTCTGGAATCAACTCCTCACAGTTGTCCATGATAAAGACACGACGAACATAAAGCTTGATGTTGTTAGGCTTCTTCCTGGTATCAAAGAGATCAAAAGGTGCTCTCTTGGGTACAAAGAGAATAGCCTTGAACTCCAATTGACCCTCAACAGAGAAGTGCTTGACAGCCAAATGCTCTTCCCAATCATTGGTAAGACTCTTGTAGAAAGCAGCATATTCCTCCTTCGTAATCTCTTCTGGCTTCCTCATCCAAATAGGCTTTTGCTTGTTCACCAATGACCACTCATGAGACACCTCCTTAATCTTTTTTTTCTTCTTCTCCTCTTTCTCCTTTTCTTCGTCAACATCCTCCACCTTACCCTCCTCATCCTTCTTCTCTTCCTCGTCCTCATCATCAGAAATCTCCTTCTCAGTAGTCTTCTCCACCCAAAGAGAGATTGGATAGCTAATGAATTCAGAATGCTTCTTAATCAAGTCCTTCAATCGGCGCTCCTCAAGGTACTCAAGCTGATCTTCCTTGAGGAAGAGTGTTATCTTAGTACCCCTGCCAAGATTCTCACCAGATGTATCCCTTGTGACAGTGAATGACCCACCCGCTTGCGATTCCCAAACATACTGCTCATCATCATTGTGCTTAGCGGTAACAACCACCTTCTCAGCAACAAGATATGCAGAGTAGAAACCAACACCGAACTGCCCAATCATGCTGACATCAGCACCAGCAGCCAAGGCTTCCATAAATTCCTTGGTACCAGACCTTGCAATAGTACCCAGGTTGTTCACCAAATCTGAAAAGGAAATAAATCCCGTCGTTAACCATAGATTACCAAGCATACACTGCAACAGAACAGGTTTCACAAGCAGCTGAAAAGTATTCGTAACTTACCAGCCTTGGTCATACCAATACCACTGTCAACAATGGACAGTGTGTTGTTCTCCTTGTCAGGAATAATGTGAATAAACAACTCTGGCTGCGCATCGAGCTTGCTCTTGTCCGTCAAACTCTCAAATCGGATCTTGTCCAAAGCCTACAATAACATATAATCACTATCATACACTCGTCGATAAGAACTTATGCACTGACGAATAAACTATTAATCACACAAACACAATTTCTAGACGTCAAAACAGCCAAAACCAACATCGCCATTAACAACCATACATAACAACCCAAATTGTTTTAATCAACTCAATTTCGTACAATGATCCTGTTCTTCCGAATAAATAGGCATCACTATTCCAGTATGAGAAAATCACCTAAACAAGTACGTTATGATATAGCAAATTTCACAGACAGCATGATAATATTACGAAATATAAACTCAAAACAAGTTAAACAAACTCAAACGAACTCATACGAAGATAAAAACTATAAAAACGAACAAAAACCTCACTATTTCAGACAAAAAAATTCAAAAAAATTAGTGTCAATTTAGAATTAAAATAACCGATTTCTCCATCTAAACTCAACTAACTAAACTTAATCCAAGATATAAAAGCGCAACTGTTCGTTAAAGTAAATGAAAAAGTAGAGAAAAAAATCAGATCAAAAAAACGAAAATGTCTCCGAACTAAAACCAAACAGAGACGGGAAAAAAAAAAGAAGAATAAGAAAACTTACATCGGAGGCGTTGCTGATGAGTTCGCGAAGGAAGATCTCCTTGTTGGAGTAGAAAGTGTTGATGATGAGACTGAGAAGCTGGTTGATCTCAGCCTGAAAAGAGAATGTTTCAGTCTCCGCCATTAGTGATCTATGCGAGCGAGAGAAGAGGAAATGAGGTTAGGGTTCAGAGAAAGAAATGAAAATGAGGCGCTGGAGGAGAAGTGAGAGGTTAAGTTTATATAGGGAGGAGTTAACTAGGGTTTCTAGATCCTTCTATGACAGATGCTTGCTTATATAGTGATGACTTCATTTCTAGATCCTTCTTTGACCGACTCGTCGTTGTTAAGTTAAACAAAGCCTTGGTTTGGTTTGGTTGGGCCAAAGTTCAAAATGGGAATCGCATCGCACCATGGTTCACGCATGGTCCCATTTTGAATCTCTTTTTTAAAAAATAAATAAAAAAGTATTGAATGAAAATTATTTAATGGATTAAATGACTAAAAAATATGTAATAATAGTAAAAAGATATAATTAAGTTTATTTTTTAAATAGACTAGTAAAATTATTTATAAAATAAAAAGATCTCGTAACTTTTAAAATTAATTTACGAACAATTATTCTAAACTAACATTTAATTTATCAAAAATTAACTTTTAATAAAATTTTCATCTCTCTTAATATTTTAAATAATTTATATTTACATAAATAACTTTAACATTTTTAAAAAAATTTATGTGACATATTTTAATTAATTTTGTAACTAATTTACTTAATAGAACATCCATGTTTTGTCAATTAAAAAATATTATATTGATAATATAATTAAATAAATCAAACATATAAATTACAAGTTGTATAATTTTATTTAAATTGTATGTTTATTATACTTTTGTCGTATAATTTTGTCATTAAAAATGTTAATTAGAAAACTCTCATTATTTTACCGTAACAATATATATTTTTTGAAATGTTCATTAAAATAATATTTATTTATTATTCCCTTCTCCTTTTAAGTTTGTCTGTATCAGTCAAAAGCAGCATATGGATAACATGGACGAATATTTAGTTCCTTCAAGCAGTGGTTAAAGCAACTGATAATTTCACGCTTTTTTTTTTATTTTTAAATCACATTTAGTAATTTTCTTCACAAAATTTTGAATTAAAAAATATAATATGATTCTATTAAAAAAGAAAGAAATTAAAAATAATCATAATTTCTATTTTTCATCCATACGTCAGAGAAAATAAAAGGGTGTGTAGAAATTATTGACGTGAAATTAAAATTTTCTTTATTTTATTTTATTTTTGTCAATATTTAGCTTAATGCTGCACAAAGGGAAAAATAAAAGTGAAGGTTCAAAGTTAATAGCAGTAGCTAAAGCGGGCCACGTGGGTCCATACTCATCAATGAGAATCTTAAGTGATTTTTTTTGGATAGAGTAATGGAGATAAAGCTTTACTCGGTTTTGAGCAACCTGAATTTCTCAAGTTCATAATTGAGTATGGGAGTTTTACCATTTCTCTTTGTTCCACCTCCATGTGCTGCTTTTCTATCTGCATCTCCAAGGTATAATTTTTCCCTTTAATTCATTTTTCTTAACAACTATGAGTGTGTTTAGATTTATGTTTAAATAATATGGATCTACGTTTACTTTAATGTTAGTGGTTATAGTTTCATTTTTACATCTTCATGGTTTTGTTTTGTCTTTGATAAATTTGTCAAATCGTTATTCACTTTATTCCTTCAATCTTATCCGAACTACCTTATGGGGAATTCAGATTTTGGTGTCATCTTTCACTGCACCCTTGAAATGATTGTTATATTCATATATTGTTGTCTCATTTATATTTATTTTTCAGAAATGTTGTGAATTATTCTTATAGCGTTTGGTAATGCCATCAGTTTAGTTCAATTTATGGTATGATATTGAATTATCTGACATGGAGTAGTTATGTTTTAACTTTCAACTCAAACAGTTCACTGAAATTTTTTTCTTGAGAAGCATTTTTATTGATAATGTGCTTCACCTTGCACAAATCCAGGTGCATGGAAAATTCAAATCTCAACTATGCCGTGCCTGACAGAGTCTCCACACTAACAGTGCAAAAGTTTTCGAGAAGAATGATTCTTCAGTTTCTGGGTATTAACAACATGATATATTATGCTTCTACTGCTTTGGCTGCACCAATTATGCCAGACATGAAGGAACCTGAAGTCATACGGTTTGTCTATCTTTTTCCTTTTTTCTTGTATTACATAGTCTTAGTTTTGTGAAATGAAAACTCCCAGTGTATTGTGATATGATTTGTTATTTTTCATGCGAAGCATCTAGGACTTTGAAGCTACGCAGTGGTGTGCTAATTCAAGGTAAACAGTTCTAAAACTTTCAGTTATATTCCGTAAGTAAAATGATGTATGTATGATATAATTTGTTGATGCAAGAACATTTTGAGGTCTAGCAGTGATGAATCTCATTCCTGTTTGATGCGAAGGATTACAATTAACATCTTCTTTTCCTTCTCTTTTGTGTGTTTGAACATTGAAACCCTATGCGATTTACTATCCCATCTTATTGAAAGGAATTAAGCTGTCAAAACAAGTCTTTGTGCATTAATATAGGTATTCACATTATGTTTTTGAATTAGATATTGTTGAAGGGGAAGGACCAGAAGCACATGATGGAGATTTGGTTAAATTCAATTATGTATGCAGGCGTGCAAATGGATACTTTGTTTTCAGGTAATTGCATACTGTGAATTTTCTGTTTACATGATATTACGCTGATTTTACTTCCCACATCATCGTGTGGTTCTCAGACATAGTACTGTTTAATTTCTTTTTTCATACATTTACCCTTTATTGTCCTCAATATCTGACCTAAAACTGTCCTATTGTTGCTTGGTTTCATATTATAATTCATGATAGTACAGTGGACCAATTCAATGGAGAAAGTAAACCTGTTACACTTCCTTTGGATGAGAACCAGGTCAGTGTCAGTTTCTTTCCTTCAGCATGTGGGATGTGAATTGTGAAATGTGTTTGCCATTTAATTTTAGATGGGGTATCTATATATAGTCAGTTTTGGTCATAGATATAGTTACATCGTTCCTTAATTCAATGGAAAAGTAACAAATGAGAAAACAAAAGCAAGAGGGTTAGAAGAGGACTTCAGCAATTATCTATATTTGCAAAGACCTTATCAGTGTTTAACTATATATGTCTGTGAGAAGGGGATCTGAATGCTTGCAATATTCTTAGACCTTGCCATATTCTGTCCACTTAGCTCAATGACTTCCTACATTGCGGTTACATTTCTAGATTCTGAAGTGTGTTTAAAAAGAAACACATAAATATGTAAAGCATGAACAAGACAATTTGGTTCTTTGTGGAGGCATTTTGTTGTTATCTAATAACTCGAATCATTGTTGATTTCTTTCTAACACTCTCAAAGTTGCGGATTCCATTAACCACAAATTTTGACTTTGATATTCTCTAGTTAATAGTTATCCCCTTTTTGATTTTGCCTCATTATTTTTTCTGCATTTAACAAATTTTCCTATTAACATCTGACCATAAAGAGAATATATTAAGATAAATGCTTACCAGTGTTTTAAGTGCACTAATCAAAGAATAAAAAATAGAAAATTTCTATTTAAGTTGAACTTTCACAATGATTTTCAAAGCACTTACAATGCGTTTTGAAATAAAAATTCTCTATTGATTCCATAATTAAGGCACTGGTTAGCAAGATCCATGTATTATTGTAAACTAACTGATTGTTGTTCTTCTGTAAACAAGTAATTGATTAAGTCGTCTCATTATGCAAGTTGCATTTTTGAACAGATGATAGTGGGCTTAAAGGAGGTCTTGACTGGCATGAGAGTTGATGGTATGTTCCAAGATATTGTCAATATTTTCCAAACCAACCAGTATTGCCTTATGAATTTCTTTAATATGTTTACTCCAAACTAAAATAATCTGTCATTCAACATAATGACATTCTCTAGCATTTTCAACCATGAGAAATGCTAGGGAAATAGTTAGCAACATATTCAATTGTCTATGTGGAAATTGTACTTCTCTTGATGTCATTGTGATTACTCTCTTGTGGTATTCACTTATAGGAAAGAGAAGAGCACTGATCCCACCTTCAGCAGGATATGTAAATGAGAACTTGAAACCAATACCTGAAGAGGTAAGATAAGTATGCACTTAACTGCTAATATAATTTGATATAATGATCTTTGATGAAATTAGATTGTAAATAGTAAGTATTCTTGTTGATTGCAGTTTGGTCCTCGTCGCAGCCTTTTTTCTCATGCACAAGAGCCTTTGGTATTCGAAGTTCAACTCGTGAAAATTTTGAGCCCTCCACCATTACCTACATTTTAACTAAATTACTACTTTTTCTCTAATGTCAGCTTGCATTTCATTACTTTAAGCTATATAGTCTTGATCTATTAAGATCTTGGTGGGGGCAAGATTGCAAGAATGAATGTTTCATAAAGAAAGGAATGAGATTAGGAGTGTGTTTAAAAGGGTGTAAAGGATATAGGAGAAGGAAGAACTATAGATGTAAAGAACAGTGACACACTTGAAATTTTTTCTTTTGGTCTTAATGTACTCTACACAATGCAATTGGACATACGAATGATGCAGTTGAATCTACTGGTAACATGATTAACATGTTTAAAGGAGGGAATTCAATTGTGTTGTGTGTGATGCAGATAATCGTTTTGTATTTTAAATTTATGAATAAAATGTAGGATGCTATATATAATCATTAAAATAGACATTATTTATGGTTAATCAGTCATCAAGGAAACTGAGCATTGTTAGTGTTTAAGTCTCTCTTCTTAGCCTTAACGTGAATATCTCTTTTTAGTTAATTTTTCTTTAACATTAATTAAATTAACAGGTAATAAATATTAGAATAAATTGAAATTTTTAAATAAAATAGAAAAATATAATTAAAATGTCAAACTAAAAATTATATTATAATTATAGTTTTATTTAAAAATTACAATTTTTATGAAATTTTATATTATGTAATTTTATATAACACTAACTAAAGCAATTTCAATTAAATTTAATATTAATTGAATTTTTTTTAAATGATGAAATTTTTTTAAAATAAATTTGTTAAAATTATTTTATTTAATATTTTTTTGTAAAATTTTATCAATTTAACGATAAAAGTTGTGTAAGTTGGTAAGGATTGAAAGTGATCTTAAATTTTATTTTCAACATGAGAATCTCATTGGTAAGTGATTTTATAAATGCTTTTTGAACTTTGTTGTATATCTTAGCTTCAGTGAATTTCTAGATTTAACTTGATTAAACTTTTTGTAACCAAAAACTCCAACTACAAAATTAAAAGTAATGTCAAGTAGATAAGTGTATAAAATTTCATAGAATTCCAAAATCAATGAATACTTTGTCAATGAATTTGTTTTAAAGGATACTATACTTTTAAAAATATAAATTAATATCAACTATAAGATAATATATTTATAAATGTTAAATTTATCTAAAATTTGTATCCAAGATTGCTAAAATAGTAGTACCACATAATTTAATGGTTAAATTTGTATTCTATAAAATATTAAAAAATAAAGCAAATGTCAAAGACTTACTTTTAAAATAAATAGATCCCGTTCCTTTTTTAAAAACATATTAATTTAATTTCATATAAATTTTAATTTTTTTAAAGTCCTTATTTACTTATTAATAGAGTAATTATTAATCTTTCTAAATTTTATTTTTTTTATCAATTCGTCTTAATTAAAATAAAAATTATATATTTTTAAAAATAAATATATATTTATTTAATACTTATTTTATAAAGTAATAAAATAATAATTAAAAAAATAAGTAGAAAGATATGCTGAAATTCTTATTAATAACATATACTAAACAATGTCTAATATTCGTTAAAATACACTTTGACAGTATTAAAAATCAATAAAAAGTTTATCAATTACATTTTTTAAATAAAAATATTTCACTTTTAGTTTATTAACAAATAATTTTTTCCACATATTTTTACAAGTCACCTGAAAATGATAAATTGATATGTCATAATTATTACTATTAAATGATGGTGTTGATTATTTTTAAAAAAATTAAAATTTATAAAAACAAAAATCGAATTAGAAGACTGAAAAACACCATTCTAACCAAGCTCTAGAAATCCTTGATACTATTACTGCTTGATTAATTGCTAACTCAGCACACAACAGTAATCCTTTCACCTAATCACAATCACAAACATCATTTCGATTTTCATTTATTTTTCGCATTGGAATCACACGAAAAGAGAGAGAAGGTTTCATAATATCTTCAACTAACGATCTCACTTTCCATTTGTTTGAATTCGAATCTGATTGGGAAGCGAGAAAATGCAGAATTGGTTCTCAGCGCAGGGCGATGAGCAGGAGAAGCCTTCGTCGTCATTGCTGGCCGATTGGAATTCCTACGCATCCACACAATCCTCTCAGGAACCCTCCAATTTGGGACTTCCCTTCGATCTTGAATCCGCCGTTAGATCCGCAAACGACACCGTTTCCGGCACCTTCAGCGTGTAAGCAACCCACTTCACTATTCACATTCCTTTTGCTTCATATCCATACGCATACGATTAAAATAATAATAATTTATAAAATGAAGAGCACAGATAAGAGCTCTATTTATGACCATTTTTCAATTGCTATGCAGAGAAAATGACGTAATTTTCATTTTGTTTTATCTATGGATTGAAACATATAATAGTCAAATTCTTGCATGAGTACAACCAATTTAAATCTCAGATTAACAATTAAGTAAATCCGGAGGACTTTGTTGTCTCTATTATTATTATTATTTACTAGATCTCTGTGTTTTTGATTGTTTGTGTGTATACTCATAGTGTTGATGCAATAATTGTTTTAATTCAATCCTTGGGATGTGATGCAACGGGGTCTAGGGAAAAAAGAAAGCTTTTTAGTTTATTAACTTAATTAGAGCCATGTTAGCTGTTGATTCAGCGGGAAGTTTGATGTCCAACCGGATTCTCGTCAGGCTCTGAGCTGGGCTGTTAGTAAGGGATGAGATAAGACGGCAGCCATGTCATCTTTGAAATTAAATTGTATGTGTGTGTATCCCTATTGCAATCTATAAGTACCTAGATGTCTGTCATATAATACCTTTTTTCCCCTTATAAATTTATAATGTGAGTTGGTGACTTGGTGCAAGGAAGAGCAAAGGGTGCTTATGTGAGTGTCTTTCTTTATACTAGCAAGTTGGATGGGAGCAATCATGATGCACAGGCTTTGGATATTGAACTTTAGCTTACATGGTAAGATTATGTGAACTGTCTCACCACCAAAGCTGACTCTGGCTGTTAACAAGTGCTCTAGGAAGACCAAAATGTTACCCAAATATGTAGGATTTTCAAATCTACCATTCATCTATAATGTGAGTAGATCTTTTGGGCTCATGTCACTTGTGTGTCACTGGTAGCAAACCAACATTCTTTACACCAATGACACTAAACATCTCTATGGCATTTATTAATTCATTCCTTGACATACATTAAAAGTGATCCAAGAAAAGGAATCATCTGTGAGGATGAAGGTCACATTCAGATTGTTGGATACTTTGATGCTCATTGGGTAGTTTTCCCATTTGATAGGAGATTCACCGCTGGCTGTTGTATGACAACCTAATAACTTGGAAAAGTAAGAAATAAAATGCCGTAATGAGGTAAAGTGTTGAAGCAGGATATCAAGTCATTGCATTAGTTATTTGTTAATTCCTTTTGCTCAAACAACTTCATGATATTATATTTGGGGAGATTAAGCTGCACTACGTATTGTCTCAAATCTAGTATTTTATTAGAGGACCAAACACATTGAGATAAATTTCATTTCATTAGAGAAAATATGTTATTTGGAGACATTACTTGATGATGTTTTACCCAAGTCTTTGAGAGGTAAGTTATTTATGTTACAAGCTTTGTGCATATGACAACTTGTATCTTCCAGCATCAAAAAGTGTTGGAAAACATGTAAATAAGGATATTTGTAATCTGTGTTGTTATTATTTTTGGTCCATATAATTTCAGTTCTAATATATAGCTTTGATTCACAGAATTCATCAAACATTTCGTGTTTTTTTTTTTTTTTTTTTTTTTGGTTCCCTTAATAGCAGCATTGTGTTTGACTGGGAGGAGTATTATTTACAGCTATGTAAAGATTTTATTTCTGATTGTAATAATGGGTAAAATTAATCATGTCTTTATTTGAATGATATTTACACCAGCTTCAGTGTAATTTTTCCTTCTTGGTGACAAGTGACAACAATATATTTTCCTAATATCAAAGCAATCATATAAAGGTAAATGTGCATAAACTTTTTCACATCTCTCTTTCATGTCAAAAACTTCACTAATGCAACATAGAAATGGTTGAGTCTTGCTTGGTGTTAGTAAGTTCTTGCTGTCTTTTTGTGATTCTAATGTATGGAAAAATGTTTTCTTTTGTATGCCTTATCTGAATGTGATAGAGAGGTGGGTACAAAAATAGGTTGGGTTAGGGTAGGCTTTATAGGATTGGAGCTTGGTCTGTTTCTCAAATATAAAACTTGAGCTCGACATATTTCCCTGATATGGGTTCTTCATTAAGGCCTGATTTGAGAGCTTATTTAAAGAAAGCCTGCTTTGTTGTAAGGCTCTTTTCATTAAGGCTTTTAAATAGGTAAAAAGATGACTTCTAAATAGGCTAATGGGCTCAAACTTATGTATAAGTCAGCAGATTTAAGTCTTTCAATAGTAAGTATATAGTCTCAAAACATTATAGTCAAAATTTAATAATATATTATTATTATAAATAGGTCAACTTGTGTCAGGCTGCAAGGCTTTTTCAAATTCAATTACACAAAGTCTAGTCCTTTTGATTAAACTGGCTTTAAAAAGCATTAACTTGACTTATGTGGTAAATAGGTCTGGCTGGCCTAAGCTTGATGTGGGTTAGGCCACAGACCTTGGACGAGAAGCTTGATCTATTTCCACTTGTACAGAGAGGTCATTTTTATTGTTCTTTAATTTCTTGTCTTGATGGTATAAAATGGCAGCAAAAAAATAGAGTGCATGTTGCAATTCTCCTAATTTTCTTAAAATTGATTTCTATATCATGATAAAAGAGCATGCTGGCAAGCTTTATAACAAAAATAATGGATAGTTTGTCTCATTGTTTAGGGTTTCTAAAGGTGTGAGAGATCTACCTGGCAACTTCCAGTCTGCCACTAGTAATGTTCCTTCTGGCAAAGCACTTGTGTACTTTGGTTTGTTTCTGGCAAGTGGAGTCTTCTTTGTTTTCATAGCATTTACATTGTTCCTGCCTGTCATGGTGGTTATGCCTCAAAAGTTTGCTATATGCTTCACACTTGGGTGTGGATTTATTATTGGATCATTCTTTGCTCTCAAGGGTCCGAAGAATCAGCTTGCTCACATGTTATCCAAGGAGGTAACTTGCAAGAATTTCATTTTCTGTTGCTTGCATGGTGATAATGAACTTGACCAGTTTCTTTATGTTGCTTCAATCAGTTGTTTGGACTTTTTTATGTATATAAAAAAAAAACAAATATTCTCTTTGATATGATTGCGAGTGTTTGCTGCTTCATTCTAATTGTCTCTGTAATTATTTTTCAGAGGCTCCCTTTCACATTGGCTTTTATAGGCAGTATGATTGGTACCATATACGTATCGATGGTGCTTCACAGCTACATTCTCTCCGTGGTATTCTCTGTTGTTCAGGTATCAGTTTCACGCATCCTTAAAATGATTCTTTGTAGCTGCATTCCCCAATCCCCATGTGTTATTGTTTGCATTTGCCGTTGATTTGAAGTATGCTCAAGCTTTTTAACTTTTGAATATAATCTTGAATTTATTATAGCAATTAGCAAAATTTCCTTCAATGTAGCAAAATCAATCTAAATTTAAGAGCTACTATTTCCACACTCCTGGTGGCTGGCTTTATGTGACGAGTGTGTAATGTGTGGTTAACATGGTTCCCAGGCTTCCAGCAACCGGGCTTGTGGAAATAGGTCATGCTGACAAATTTTCGTATATATTCTTCAGTCTTGTTCCTTTCTAAAACTATCTGTCTTGCATTAAAATTAAAATCTTGACTTCATTTGCAGGTTCTCTCACTTGGCTACTATGCTATATCATACTTTCCTGGCGGATCTACTGGAATGAAATTTCTGACTTCTGCTCTTACCTCTTCAATAATGAAATGTTTTGGGCGGTGACCCTGTTTTTGGTTAATATAGGAGTTGAGGTCAGATCTGTGTCTATATTGTAGTTGACATGTAAATTTTGTCTCCTAAGATCTATCAGCTGAAGTTTCAAACTGACCTAAGAGTATAACTGAGTTGAAGCATCATCTAACACTTTCTGGGTTTATGTTTGTTGCCACTTCCGAGATCTGAGTGAAAAAATTGATTTGCCTCTTAGCCTCAAGTTTGTATAACCGAATTAACATTGTCTGGTTGATGAAGTAAATTGTTGCTATCTTCCTCTTCCCTTAACGCAATAGATTTTAAAATAATTCTTTTTCACCTATGGGCATGGTAGAATATTAAACCCACGTCTTGAAAACCTGTAACATGTTTTTTTAGATCTTAAATTTGGATATATGTTTTCTAATTTTTCAAAATCCCTTTCAACAAGCTGGTAAAATAGATTATTATTATTTTTAAATAAGCTAAATCAAATATGTCCTTTAATGCCAACTGAACTATAAGCTCTACGGGGGATAAATTCTCTCATGTTGAATTTTTACATGATGGGAAATGGATGGGTCTTTCTCTATGCTCATAATATTATTCCTATTTCAAATTAAGTGACGTTTTTACAATTTTTTTTTTTATTTTGACATTTTAAGATTTTAATGAAAATTAATGTTATTATTTCAATTCTATGTTAAATAAATAATAAATATAATTTTTAGCATTATGTTTTAATTTTTAACAAACAAAATAATTAATAAGAATAGCTTAGTAAAATTATTTTACTAATTAAGATGCTTATTATTTTTCTTAATCTTTATAAAGTTTTAGACATCGATCAATTTGAAATGGAGGGAGTAATAAGGTAAGACCTAATTAAAATTTAGCAGAATTTACTGGGAGAGACAAACCCAAAAATTTCACAGGACCAGAGAATCTATTTCTAGCTTATTGGCATATTATATTTTGTATTATTAACCTAATTGGTTATTCATGGCCTTCGGATCACAATCTGAAATGTCTTGTTTCGAATTAATGGCAAAACCTGATGAGAGAAACTAAATAAGGGCCAGAGGTATTGCACCCAATTAATTCCATTTCTAATTAAGTGAAAATTGCTTGAGCAGATGCAAGTAAACAAACTTGGTGATGTTCCTTGATTAAATGTCTCTGCCAACTAATGCGGAGTGCCACATTTTTCCCATGGACTTATCTGTTATATTTCATATTGCAGCTTTGTTGGTGGGTAAGGAGAATGATTACTATGCATTTTGCAATGATGGACACACCAGAGAAATTGGCTTGCTTTTAACCAGAGGCTGGATATCAAAGCAAAGATTATAAGTGGGATTCTTTAATATATGTTTGGGAGATGATTTTTAGAGAAAAAGAAAGTAAACAACGTATTTTACTTTTAAAATTAAATAATTATATATCATTTATAATGATAAATATATGATTAATATATTAAATTTATATATATTTTATTTTAAAAAATATTAATTTTAAATATATTTATTTTTAAAAAAAATTTGGTTTCCACTCCTTTAGAGCTCTTCCCTCCAAAACCTCTCTTTCCAAACAAATGCTCACTTATTACACCCTCTCATCTTATGTTAATACTAATAAAATTCTAATGTTATGTAGACATCATCTTGCTTCTATCAAAGTTAATCCTCTGAGACAAGATGATTTTATCACTCCTTATTGGACTGTGATGCTTGTTGGTTAGATGGTACCATCAGTGGTTGAAATGGAATCATCAGATGAAATCTTCACTGATTTGCAGATCCTTTCAAACAATATGCAGAAATCTGCTTGAAGCTGCCACTCTATGGCCCCCCCTCCGCCAGTCTTTTTTTGTCCCCCGTTCTTTTAGACATATGGTTAAATTAGATGCTATAAAGAGACATGACCTTTTCCGGGTTTAAAGGATCAAAGTATGTTCCAATGTATCTTTTGACCTGCCTAATATATGTTAGGAGTTATTGGATTATGCTTCAGGGGATTTTCTTAACAGATTCACTTCATCATGAAATGATGTTAGTGTGAATTACAAGTTGCACTAGCTTAAGACCATCGACCCTTCTATACAATAGTCATAGATGGAAACGTGTTCATGTTATATATTAGATGAATACTTCAAATATTTTACTTGTATTTTTTATAATACTTTTACTTTTAAAACTTTTATGCCAATATAAATTTAACATCATAATAATAATTTGGTGAATTTTAGTATTTTATTACATTTATAATGACTTGTACTCGTTTAATTTTTTTACTTATGATAACAGATTTTGTTTATTTTACATTTATTTTATTTTATTTTTATTATAATTATGTTGTATCATATGATTTTTACAGTTATCATTTTTTTATTCCTATGTTATATTGTATTTACATCTCGAGCCATATTTATGTTTTGTAGGTAGGAACTGTTGAAAAATAGATTTAAAGAGCTATTTGTACATAAGGGGAATACTGGTAACATGTTTTAATAAAATTTTTAATATGTTTTTTTGTGATTGGTTAGGTTTATTTTCTTGCATATAATAGCTCAAGGAGTTACTTTGTAAGTATGAACTTGAATAAGGAAACTTTTTTTTTTTTTTTCAGAACCAATAAAAGTGATCTAAGTAAAATGAAAAGAAAGGAACACTCATCCTCAAGCCCCAAATCAGGTACCTTTTTAATTTCCAAAGTGTAATGAGGCAAAAAAGACTTGGAATACCAACGTTGACTCGTGGAGTTGATTGGACAAGCTCAACGTAGTGTGGTTCAGGTAAAAAGGAAGAATTTTTAAACTCTCACTTCGTATCCATTACTTCATCTTTGTAATAATTTATAGTATTTGGAAAGTTATAAGGGAGCAGAAACCCTGAATTTAAGGAAATATTTAGACAACAATAATGGGTGAGACTATGATTTGACCTTTTAATATAAAGATTATGTGTGATCAAGAGATGGTTCCATACGGTATATTATTTTAATAATGGAATTATTGAAAGGTATAAGTCACATTCATAGAGAGAAAACAAAAGCTGAAGTCAGTGGAGCACTTTGAATCGTTTTAAAAAACGAAAGTGAAGTTAAGGAGAAAAACAAACTTGAGTAAAATTAATGAATCCATGCATGCATGTTGTAAGCATTTCCTCATTGAGAGGGCCACAATGTCACGAACCTTTGTCTCAATTAGAAATGAGATCGAAATTGGTTAAAAAACTTTATTGATTGTTTCTACTTATTTTAAAAAATGATATTAAATTACTTGGCATTTTTGATAAATAAAAATTTCATATTGTATATAGCACATTATTTTCCTTAAAAATAAATGATAAACCTTAAAACCATCCATATGTTGTATCAAACTACTGAAAAGGCACTTCATGCATCAAACTATGGCTGTAGGAAAGTCATTATATACTTGTATTTGGATTTACTATAATTAAAACCATTGTAATAGTGTGACACAACATAAGTTGTTGATAGAATTACACTTATATATCAACAATTTGTGCTCCATCAAGTCATTAAATGTAATAAATATGTTAAAGTATATATGTTTAAGTGTATGTTTATTTTTAATATTTATTTGTAAAACATAAAAACTGAAGCAAATAGTATGGTATTTACATTTCAACTACCTAATAAGCTTTTGTAGATAAATCTATTTATTTTCATTTTAATCTCCCCCATGAACGAGCTAGGACTAGTACTTACTAACTCTACACTAACTATATTTATACAGCATGCAAGAAATAAAAGTTACCAAAAACTTGAAGGCACATAAAAATACATAAGAAAATGGTAAGTTTTTTTTTTTAAGAGGCTGATGCTACTCACTTATGCAGGACTAAACCTAATTATTTATGAAATGCCAATGTTTTCATAGATTGAAATTTCCCTAGATCAATTGGCTTTTTATTTTATTTTATTTTCTAGAAAAGTTGTCCATTCAGCTAGTCTTCATCTCTAGGATTTTGGGAGATGATCACATATTAGAGACAACTAGCCAAATAATTAGAACAAAACAATACTCCAATTGTTATTCTAATAGACAACAAGGATTTGTCATGTAGATATTTAATTGAATGAGGATTAAGCCCCTCCATACGTGTGCAAATCGATATACAGTGCCTAAAAGTATATGGTTTTGGAAGCCATGGACCCTATAATTGCATTTTGATGGGATTTCATTTTGTCAATGACAAATGTTGTTTTGGATCTAACGATCAGAAACACTGTTGGGGACTCAAAAGTCCACTTGATGTACATCCAATATCCCAATTGCTGAATCCACTGCACGTGTGCCATGCATTAAGGACAAAAGTTCTCATATGATATTGTACAATATTAGCATATACCAAGGGCTCCACCCCCAATGCAAGTAGTAAACTCTCTCACTCCTATTGCTTTCCATTTTCCTCTCATGATTATATATAATTTGAGGCATGGGGAAGCTATTCAATTTCTTTTATGTTAGTTCACGATAATTTAGCTTCTTTAGATGAAAAATATATACTTTAGAGGTGAAGTGTAAAGTTATACTCATTAACTAGAAAACTATTATTTTATTAACTTTATAATTTATTATATTTATTACATATATGTATATATTTTATCACAATTTTGTTTTGCTCTGTTTGTGTTATCAACATTGTTCATTGCATCTGAAGTATTGTTTTTTACGCTCTTATGCCTTTAATTATAATTTTGTTCTTAAATGACATTTTGATTGGTTGAAGAAGGTGGAGAGGAAATAAATTTTAATTAATTATATAATTTATTTCTGTAAGTGTATGTTACACAGTTGAAATAAATAAATAATATTATTACTTTCGCATATCATTAATTTGATGAAAAGTTGGTTATCTTGCAAGAAGTGGTGAGAAGAATTACCCAATTTTTTAATTATGTATGTACATACTCTTTTTCTCAGGTGCATATGTGGTTGGTTTATATATATATATATATATATATATATATATATATATATATTCTTATTATTTTTAAAAAAATATGTTAATAAGTTACACTTTTAAAACTTTTCAACAAATTTAAATTATAATTTATTATCATACTCATTAAAAAAAAAAAAAAACACTAGAGGAGGTATATATAAAAGGGCTCATTATTGTCAATACACTCTAATGTTTTTTTGAGAAGGAACACTTCAGTAAAATTACACAAGTGAAAATATTACAGCAAATTCAAAGACAATTCATTAATATACCCTTTAATTTAATTAAAAATGAAATTGTTTATTAACAAATTCCATAAAAGTACAT